TTCTTTCAAAACTGGCTCTGGGTTCACGGTTACTTTGTTAACGAAGAACCAGGTGACACCGTCGAACGAAGCGCACATTTCGGCGGACAGTAAAGTTTGGCTCCGCAGCGTGAAGACCGGAAGGTCGCAGTAATGCCTGGCCGCCGCGCCGCCGAACAGTGACTGCGGGGAGAATTCCCCAGCCTGGGTCGCGAACTTCTGGTCGACGGCCAAAACCCTCCCGGCGCCTAACAGATCTTCATCTTCAAAGGGCTTCCTGATGCCTATTCCGCATGACAAATGCTTGCCCTCTCCGCGTAACACAAACTGGATTCCTGTAGTTGTTGGTCACGCAATACTTATACAGACTTTTTTGAAATCCAAAGACAGCATGACAAGTTGCAATCTTCCAAACCCAGACACTTTTACAATCCATACGAAGGTGTGCGCTGCAACATTTGTGGCCAGTTCCTCCGGGATCGGCTGCCCAGCAGACTGCGCCAGACTGTACGCGAAGATTGCGAACGCCTCCCGTTGCTGCGTCAATACCGCGTCCTTTGTCAACTCAAATATTACGACTCGCTGACTGTCGGGATTCTCGGGGAGGATCTTGATGTACGGAGTGAAGGTCAGCGCATTCAGAGCCTCGGCGGTGGTGGAGCCGGTGGCCGCCTTCGCGGATGAGCTGCTAGCGCCTGCCGCCGTTCCTGGGACCCCTGCGCTTTTTCCTGCTTGCATCGCTTTGACCATCGCCTTGCCACGTGCGTCGACCTCCTTCCAAGCTTCACACGTCTTTCGCTGCGAGTCCTTGCATGCCTTCTGCAGCTTCTTGCGCAAAGCCTCCAACTTTGGGTCGGACTTGGCCAGGGCGAGCATTGCAGCCTTCTCGGACTCCGGGCCGCCGCCGTTGCTGCCCTCGCGTCGCTGGCCGAGATATACCTCGAGGGAATGCAGGCTCTTCTTCTGGTCCGCGAGCGGGAGGCAGAGGCTCCCGAGAAAGGCCGCAGCATCGAACTCCAGGGGGAACTCTCGCAGAGTCGGGTGAAGTTCGCAGGCGCACCGGTCCAAAATCAGGCAGCAAGTGAGGCCGCAGAGAATGACGGCGCTCAGCCCGAGCAGGTCCTGTTTCTGTGTGGAGTCGCCAGCGCCGTCGGCTGTGTCGCCACCGCTGGCACCGTGCAGCTCTTGGCCCAACTGCGTAGAGCGCTGCAGCAGCTCGGTCAGTGGCCCCCGCAGCAGCCGCCGCCCGTCCTCGTCCGTGGCTGTTAAATCGTCGAGCGCTTTCGCGGTTACTCGTCCGGAGTCGAGATAACCCCACAGGGCCGCGATGTTTTCCTGCACATCCAGCAGCGTTTCGGCAAAACCTTCGCGCCCTCGCTGCATCCGGGTGCGAATGCCTTGGATCCCGAGAAATCGACAAATGCCCAAGAGGTTGTGGAGGTTCGTCACGACGCGCACGACGTCGTCGTCTTCTTTCGGGGACTTGGATGCTTTCCCGCCTACCTTCGCCGGCGGCGCGGAAAGATCAGCAGGCAACAATCGCCGCCGCGCAAAGTCGGGCTGCGGTTCCGGAGCAGTGGGCACACCTGAAGACGCGATCTCCGATGGCTTTGCAGTGGCTTCTAGCTGCATCTTCCACGATTCAATGCTGGAGATCGAAAACGGCCACTTCTCATCCACATCCTCCCGCGTTAGGGACACGGTGCAATCCGGCTGTCGGGGGTCCAGGGAGCTTTCGACCGTTCTGATCAAGTCGGTGGCCGCGTCGACGGCCTCGTTTGTCGCTACGCGCTCTGGGTCAAACGACGCGCTGGTACCTGGAGTCGGAAGATGGCAAGATGAGAGAGTAGACAACGTCTGTGTATAATGCGTGTAGGAACCGATGACTCACGGTGCCGCACTGCATACGGGGGCGTCTTACTTCATGAGAAACGTCGAGTTCTTTGTAAAAGAGAATTGGAAGTATTTAGCTACACGTGGCTGCTGATCGATGAGGAATAAAAACGCATCTACGAGCCTTCTACCTTCATGTCTTTTTTGTAATTTCAACAGTCGCCGCGCCAGCTTTCGACTGCCCTCAATAAACGCTGATAGCCTGGTCACCTTCGTCAAGTCCTGCACGGTAAGTTCCTGGTCATCGGGCGCGGCCATCTGCTGGAGCTGCCAACACAGATACCGATGCCAAAGTCTTTTTGGAAGCAGTGGATCACCCAAAACTTGATCGCCGTAAAATTTCAAAATGGACCGAATCGCAGCCCACGAAGCACTCCGCCGCCAGCCCGAATGGTTATCGTACGGAACGTCGCGGACCTTGAACGTCGTCTTCCGGGTGTTGGGCGCCGGCTCAGCACCGGCCGTTTGCAAGAAAAGCTGTGTGATCATTTCCGTGTTCGATCCCGTGCTTGCACGCCGCTGCTGCGTCTTCCTCTTGGGCTCATTTATCAAGACGGCCGGCTCCGCCTCTTGCGCGCCAAAATCTAAATCGAAATCAAGCTCCTCTGCATAAAACTCCTCTTCAGCAGCTGCGCCCGGCATGAAGTCATCAGCATTATCAACACCGAAAGCGTCCTCTATGACGATCGGACTTTTTCCGTCTTTTCGTAGCTTCACCGCTGCGGCGCCGCGCTTTTGCTTCTTTGCTGCAGGCGACTTCGGCCCAAATTCGTCGTCGCTCGCTTCCAGTTTTAGGCGCTGGGGCTCCGGTCGCGCTGGCGTTGACCCTAATTTACTGTCTGGGGTATTCGAAAAATCCGCAAGGACGCCAGCGAAGTCCGGGTCGCGTGCCTGCTCGTATTCGACAAAATGCCGCTGCTCCGGGACGCTTTGCATCGTGAACATTTCCATGGTGTCGGATTGCTGAGAAGGAAGAGAAAGGAAGTGTCACAAGTCATCAAAGGATGTTGCAGTGAATCTTCAATTGGTGACAAAAACAAGCCGCGAATCCAAGGTGTCTGACGCTGCCAGAGAGTTCTTAGGCCGTCTGCAATGAATATGGCACACATCTTCAAGCGGCAAATATGTAAAATAAGAGCAGGGCCACCCGCGCGCCTGGTGCCCTGCTGGTGTTCGAAATCGAATGCAAAAAAATAAGACGGGAAATTTGAATTATAAGTACCTTTATCAGTGGAAGTTGCACCTGCCACGAGCTGGCCATCACTACGCTGCCCTGCAATTTCTCAAACACGAGCATCGTGTTTAGGGAGCGGACCCAGGCGGCAGCACAGTCCCCCGTCTTCAAGGCGGACAGCTGCTGTGCCAGCCGGCCGCCGTTGAGTCCGCCGCCTTCAACGTCGTGTGCAGCCGAAAACTGCTGCAGAAAACTACGCAGCTTCTTGAGGTTTTTCGATTCGTGTCCAGGGAAGGACTCCGCTGACCAAAATGCCGCAGGGCGCGAGCCCAGAAACTCGAAAAAGTTATCCATGGTTCGGGTCTGGTTCTCATTTTCCTGCATGGTGGCTGGCAGACCCAAAGGTAGGAACAGACTGTTGAAGGCACTGTATCCCGCCGGCAACGCCTGGAAGTCGAGCTTGTCCTTGGACCCGACCTTCAGGTCGAAGAGGGGATCCCCTCCGTCGATGCTCTGCCTGTCCTCCATGGTCGACCGCGAGAAATCCTCAACCGCGGTGACTCAAAGGCAAAGCTGTAGTCGCCGGTGTCGCGGGAGTTGTGCTGGAAACATCGTAAAAACTGATGCCCAACACCTTAATGGTCGTTCGCTTTTCACAATTCATTTTTGTCTATATTGTAAACACATAATTGTCATGTAAGAGTTTGTCGAAGAATCAATTTTTGCGGTATCTGGTGCATTACGCCATTTTTACGTGTGGGTCAAAGTCAATCATGGCTTGTACGAATCCAGAATTTAAAATTAGCCAGCATCGCATCGATAAAAAGTAAAACAATGAATTAATAACTTGAAAGAAAAATACGACGTCAACTATAAAGTTGAAACATCAATGTCGCCTAGGGTACAACTCTCTATCTAACTTTCTCCAACATATTTATAGATGCACACTGTCTGAAATTATGATTGATTCAGCTTATACGTAGATTCATCGAGAGTGAGTCGTTGGCTAAACTAGGGCCAAGAGTCAAAACAGGTTACACTGCACCATGTGCTAGTCTATATCTGATACGACGAGTGCGAGTCACGACATCCTTCCATCTGGCCAACGACATCCTTCCATCTGACTTCACGTACTGTCTCTTGTACGCACGCATCTGTCCGAACCTTGTTCGCATACACGCACGCTTCAATCTTTCAGCTTGAGACCGATGCCCTGTTATCGTGAAGGATCGTGTTAATACTCGCTGCATTCGGCACCTAATCAAGAGCACATCAAACCTTCATCTGCATTCGGCGCTTAATCAAGAGCACATCAAACCTTCACCTTCAGTCCGTTTTTCTCACCCAGCAACAAGATCTTTACATCGGTAGTTCATCAGAACTTTCACATCCCCCACTGGGCACTATCACAAAGTCGTACTAGGAAACACCGAGCATCGGTTTAACCTGCTAGATCCTGGTAGGTAGTCGTAGTCGACCGAGCTGGTACATTTCGCAGATCTTTGCATGAATCGCAGACGGCATGGCGCGTATCAAAGCTCCTGTTACGCCTTACCTTGCATTCCATTTCCTGCAGCTGATCTTCTTACTGCATTACCAAGAACCAGCACACGAACTGCACCTGGTGATCTTCACAACAGCCATGAGCCGATCGCTCACTCACAACAGCACTACAACTACAATCGTCCGAGACGGGACCGATAGAGGAGGGTTTCACCCTCAGACGAGTATCATCATTTTCATGCTCGAGACACGAAGCAGATTGACCGAGAAAGATTTTGAACTTCAACGGACGGAAAAATTGCATTTGACCAAGGGCCAACTTTTTCGCCTGCCTCGCAGCAAACGAGTCCACACCGACACACTCATGAATTGACACGTCGTACGAAATGACCACAAGAACAGAATGCCCCGCGCAGGTACCTTCGGGCTCCTAGTTCATCACTCTCGAAAAATGCAGTGAGTACACTAATGAAATGAGAAAAATGGGAATGAGTTCGTCTCTTTCGCGCAAGATGCGTGGTAGGCTTACAAATCAGTTTCGAATACTCTCATGCGCGACAGTCGTCAACTTCCAAAAAAATTCGATACGTTGTCTTCATGTTCCAGAAGGGGATGGTAATTCGTATTTGTCAACAATCGTATGCAAGTAGCATCGAAAAGCAAGTGCGATGCCACTGGCCTGCGAAAAAGGAAATCGATTGTGGAATAGAACGCATTTTTACTTTGGCCTTTCTCCACAGAGTAGCGTGTCGGTTTTGTCTCGCCAAGAATAAAGGCAAGAAAAATACTACTTACTCTAGAGGAATAATACTGCGTGCTCTATTGCCGCTGTGAGGTTGACAGTGCAGATTCAGATACTAGTTAAGTACGCTTTTCATTCATATCATCTTGCGGTCGACTAGTTTTTTCCGAATGCTTCGGCTCCAGTCACCATACCACCGCACCCTAGCAGTCGTCCCATGGGAGAAGTGGGTAGCTCACCGCCAAGATTGCGACACTCAATATAGAAGTGGCGTAGCGCAGCCAACGGGCTCCTCACAAAGGGCGAGTTGATTCCGAGAATCTCCCGCGCTCGTCCAGGACGTACAAACCCGTCCGCTTCAATCTCATTCGCTGCCACGCTTGCGCCCGGGTCTCGACACAAGCCCAGGTACCCGTTGAGTTTAACCCGGAGTGCCGGTCCGGGGAACAACGTCCCTGCATAGAGATGCAGCGGAAGAAAGTCGACCACTTCGAAGTTTGGCTGCGCGCAGTTCGGAGTACCGGAGCTTCGCGCTTGACTCGAAAATGAAGGCACGACGGTCGCGATGCGCGACTCGGCATTTTCGTCATCCGGAAGACAAGAGACCGCGAGATCCCGACACCGAAGAGGGTAATCCGCCTGGTCTTGTCTCGCGATCGCCTCAAATTTCCGGAGATTAGGCGTGTCTGCGAATTTTTCTTCCGCCTCGTAGTTCGAGATGACAACTACAGCCTCATCACTTGAAGACACAGCGAATCGCACCACCCAAGTCGGAGTCTTGAGAAAGTGCTCACCACCAACGTCTCCCTGAACAGTTCGCAGAAACTCCTTCGAAACCCAAATCTTCTCGCTAAAAAGCTGCAATGCGGGAGTCAACTCGGGGACGGTGTCTGCAAGCGCAACAAAACAAACCTGAAAGTAGTATCTATCATTTCATGAACATTCGATTTGTGCTTTTTAGGACCGACCGCGAGCTACATTTGTATGTTGAATCTGAAAAGGTGGCGCTACACTTTGCGTTGGCTATGCCACGCCGACGTGCTTGCCTTTCTTGCTATTTCAATCTTTCTTTGCGCGTGCACTCGTCAAACATAATATACTTACTCAATTACCTTGAGTTTCTCATTCGGAAACGGTTTGTCCTTGTCGATCGCACGTCGAAGAGCTTCGATTCCGGGGGAAAACTCTGGCTCCCTTGGATCTGGAGCTCCTGCTTTTTCATTTTGCCGTTCCTCCTCCAATTCCTGCTCGAGTTCGCGCTCTTGTTCATCCTCAAGGGCGCATCCGTGTCGCCTGACGTGCGGAACGAGTTTTTCGACCTGCTTCAGGATTTTCTGTGCCAGGGGGTCACCCTTATCAAGCCAAGGCCGAAGCTCAGCACGCGTGCGATCAGGAATTTTCTCGCAAGTCCGCGCATGCTCGTACTGGTCCTTCAATGTCATCACTTCGTCATTTACGCACCCAGCCGCAAACCTACGAAATCCTCTGATATTGGCGGGGTCTTGTTCCCCCTGGTCTTTTGCTTGAGAATCCCTCTCCACTGCCTCTGAAGTTAGAGGAGACGGGAGTGTGCCATCGTTGTTTTCCGCACTGCCGCTGGCGTCGGCCGGTTGCTCATCTCTTCTTGTGTGACTATCGTTGGTTGGCTGCAACAAGGGAGAACTAGTATCGGCACCCTGGGGCGCAGATTTTTCTGGATCGCATAGGTGCTCCCTTCGTAGACACGATTTTTTTACGTTTTGCAGGCCCTGACAGACGTAGTGATTTACCAAGCCAGCCAATTCCTCAACCGTGTTCGACGTCGCCCATTCAATGACGCGGTCTACGTTCGCTACTTCCGTTTCCGCTTGCGATTTCTCCCTTTTTTCTCGCGGAGCAGAAGAGAGCTCTTGCTCCAGCTTATTGATCTCAAGCTCGAGGTCCTCGAGTCTCTGCCTCATTCCCGCGTCGAGCTCCTCGCCGTCCTCCTGCCAAACTTGTAACTTTGCCTGCTTCGCACGCTTGGCCTCAAGGTCCGCCTGGATCTGGTCTCGAGTTAACGCACTTGAGCCTGAAGATAACTGGGCCGCACGCTGCACCAAATGGCGACCAACCTCGGCCGATGCGATAAAGCCGACAGACTGCCCGGCTCCGAGTCCACGCATGCGCCAACAGGTCTGCAGAAGTTTATCGAAGGCGAGCCCTTTCCCAAGCGTGACAAGTCCGCGCGCCCGCGGAGGCAGCGGGAAGTCGGTTCCCCGGGTGTGCCAGTCGTCAACGAAAACAAGGCAATCTTCCATGTTGTTCGACACGAAAGAGGATGCGAATGGGACATCGTCGCCGGTAGAAGATAGCAAGACCCGCTTGTTGTGGTTGTTATCAAAGAAAACTGCAGCCCGAGCATCGGGCCGACGTTCCAGCCACTGGCGGCAAAACTCGCAGCTGTCCAGCTCTAAAACGAGCGCACCGGCGTCGAGTACGACACTGAAAGACCGATCGGACGCAACTGCGTCCAAAACTTGCGAAGACAAAGAGGCGCCGCGTTTTGTCTGCAGAAGCTGGTTGTTCTCTGGCCGTCGCAACCCAGATAAGAGCGTGCCCTTTGCAGCCTGGTTGCAAGCGAGATTTTTTTGGGAAATCGTCGCAGGGCAAACTAGCTTGAGATCGTCGGTGCCAGCGAAGCCGAGCGTCTGGCTTTCCCCTTGATCACGAACTGGAGGGCACAAATCCCAAGGAGTTGCTGTCACTTTCAGTGGGTACCGCCGCGCCTGATCGGGGAGAACAATCTTCATCAGCCAGAAGTTAACCACGTCCATATTCCGGCACAGAGCTGGGCAGAGCTTGTCGTCAAACGTTTTCGAGTCATCGACATTGACACTTTCCAGGTGCGGACAATCAGCCGCCACACGTCCCTCGACGCTCCCGATCCAACCGTTGTAAGTTGCAGCGGCCTCGGCCGGGGATAGCTGCCGCAGCTTGCTGAATACATCCCGAAGATGCGGAGTTGTCAATCCCTGTCGATAGTATGTTGAAAACGTCAACAGGAGCGCCACATCTGGTTGTGCGAATTCGCTCCGAGCGGAGGGCTTGTCCTTCGCGATGTATGGAACCGCGATATCGCACGACGCTCTCCCAATCGGAGCTCCGTACTGCACTCGATAGCGCATAGTAAGGACTTTCTTCAAAACGCCATACAGCAACAGGCCGCGATAGATTCTCGCAAGCTTTCTTATATCTTCGTTCGGCAGTGCGGCAAAATAGTTTGCGGGCCGCTCCTGCAGGACTGCGTGTTCCCAGTTTTTCAAATCTTCATCGGACAGATGTTCCTCGCGGTAACGCTCAAGGAGGCGTATGCGTACCTGCTTCACAATCTTCAGCTGCAGCCGTCCGTAGGCACTACTCTGCTTGGGGTGATCCAGTAGACGCAATGGAGTAAACTGCCCTGCCTGCGGCCGCCCCGGCGCACCTCCTTCAATTTCGATCACGTCTCTGCCAAACTCCGGGTCTGCTAACAATGCTTCGCCTTCCGCCGAAGCGCAGCGTAGTACTAAAGCAGCGGCAGCGTAGCGCTCGTCGCCGCCATCCAGCGCGCTTGCATCACCTAGCGTGTATGCGAGCTGATTGCGCGGCGCTAACATCTCATCGCACTCATCCAGTATGTTTACGCAGTTATCCTCGAGAAAGCGCGCTACGTCGAGAACACCGGAAAAGCTTGTGGCCTCTGGCCGCTCGAGTTTCTTCGCCTTGTTGTGATACGCCAGTGCGATGGTTTTGCACTCCAGCGACATGCGGTCCTCCGGCGTCATGATAAGCATGCCCCCCTCAGCTTGATGGCGTTTTAGATCCAGAAGTAACTTATAGCACTGACCTTGCGAATGGTTCCTCTCCCGCGAGAACCGAAGCGCAAAAACTTTTTTGTTCACAATTCCACCAAGCTTGTGCTGCCAGTCTCTGGCATTGTCGGGTAGCAGCGATGGCAAGACGGTCGCGCGAGTGAGGCGCTTGCTGAATCCTGGGCATGAGTCGATATCTGAGGCACGGGACAATGTGACGTCGCACAATAATTCCGGCAGCAGGGGCATGACCACAGCCGTTTTGCCTTGTCCCATGGAGCACTGAGTCAACTGGTTTTCTGTAGCTCCGGCGAACTCCCGCATGAGAGCGGCTTGGCTATCCCACACGCAAAGGTTGTTGTCCACCTCGAATGCTAACACGCCGGGATACCGCTCTGGTTCGGTCCACCCAATATTGTCTACTTCCTGCTGCAACTTCGTACTCCAGTCATTTTGCGACACCAATAGAAGAATGCGCTTTGCCCTCTGGTAAAGCCTAACCTTCAGAAGATACGTCGTCACGCACGAGAGCAGCCCCAGCAACCTTTGATCAACAGAATTCCCACCTCTGCGAATGCAGTTCACTTCTCGTTGCTTCCGACACCACCACCGTGCAAGCGGTACGGGTGTTATTGGCGCCAAAATTCCGCAGGCGAAAGCCGGAGCTGCAGTGCCATCAGAGGCCGAAGACAGTCTTGTGCTGTGAAATTCTTGTTCGACATCACATCGAGCTTTACGCATGTGGATCTGCATGTCAGCGCACACACGTTTCATATAGCGCTCCATTTCGTCATGTGCAGCAGCTGTCTGAGGCACACGTTGAAGCAGTTCTTTGCCGATCAAGAATTTCTTCGCTGCACTCCAGCTCCTCTCACGGTCTTCCTGCAGATGATTGGCAATGTCTTGCAAGCTTGGCACAACTTGTGCCCGCGGCAGCGAGGATGTAGAAAAAAAAGAGTCGTGATCGTCCGCGGTTGCAACTACGTTTCGACTAGAAGCGGGCGCCGAATGAACGTTTTTGTTGCTCGTAGGACTGGCACCCCGTCGTCGACGTTTGGTCTCTGCCTTTTCGTTGGCCTGTTTCAGGTGGTCCCAGAAGCCGTTAGGGGAGGGCATGAAGAAAAGGCCGCTTAATGCGGATTCAGCTGCTTGATTTTGATCGCCATGCATCTGCCGGTACTGTGCACCGCCACAGTCGATTTTTTCAAACGGCGACTGCGTATCTTCAAAACGTTGCGGCTGCGCGGAACCGCTTTTGGTCGAGCCAGCAGAGGTGCTCAGTGGTGTAATTATTGCCCGCTCTGGTGAGTTCGATGCGATATCAGTAGGATCTCCCAAGGTGGTTGAATTAGTGGAGCGCGGCACGATGACACGATCAGATTTCTTTTCATAAGCGGGTGTGCTTTGAGTCGTCGTTTGAGTCAAGGTGGAGCCCGCACTCACTTCTCGCTGCTGAAAAAGGAAATCCGCTTCTACTGACTCCGTAAACGAGAAGTGCCTGCGCCATCGTCCGTTTCCATGTGGCGGCCCGCCGTAGTCTTGTTTTGGAGAAGCTCTGGTATTGCTTGAACTAGCGCTCACTGCGACATTCCTTTGTGTTTGTTGCACTTGCGAACGCGTTGCGGCTGCTGACCCACTGGAGTTGGTTGCTACACTTCCCCTGTTGAAAATTTCGACAGCGGACGCAGTGGTGCGAATCGCCGATGTCAGATTTTGGACAAATTGGTGCAGCTGGTTTGCGGCTCTCCAACACCCGAACGCACCGTTAATGTCGTTGACGGTATCGTTTATCATCTGCTTTGTCCACATGCGGTTTTGGCCACTTGGGAAGGCAGTCAGAAGTTCACTGGAAAAGTTTTGATTCTGGCAAAATGCCTGCTGCGAAAGTTCTTCGATTTGGCTGATGGCGTCTCGTCCGTCCTCTCGCTTTGCGGCTATGGCGCTGCCTCTCTCTTTTTTATTTTGGCAATGATGCTCAGCAATAGCCCTGATGGTGGCACCGCAGAAGTTCTTCTCCGAAGGTTTGCTGTACTCTGGATGTTGTGGCACTGCTAGTGCTGCCGAGTTGAGCACAGACATCATTGCGCTCGAGTGCTGGCGTGCGATTTGCTGCTGCTGCCAGCGAAGTATCAATAGAGCCGCGGACGTATCATCCTCCGGGCGTTCGAGAAACAAACGAGCGAAAAAAAGGCTTAGCCTGATAGAGTTGTTCTCATGTGTGGCGGGATCCTTCATCAGCTTTTCGCCCATCGCGTAAAGCTCCAAAAACCAATCTCCAATATCGTCTTCAGTTGCCTCTCCGTCGTCTTCCCCAAAACGCTTACGATCCTCCACAAACTCCGCAGCGGCTTTTAGCGCCCAGGGTTGCCGTTCGTCGTGTAGCAGTGTCGTTTTGGGATTGATTCCGCCCGCACATACTGGCAAGCCCTGAAGTTTAGAACGCTGCGTGGAAAGCAGAAGGCTTGGTAATTTGGTCACCACACTCTTGGCCACCATGCACAGACTCTCGCCGTTCTTGAACGAACACAGACCGATCTGTTCCAAGAAATGAAGCTCGTGCGGAAAGAAGACAGGCGTCAGAGAATACGGAGAGAGATAATATTCACGTGATGCCGGCTGCTGCATCGGGGCAAAACAATTTGCATGCTGTCCTTTCGACGGACCTGGCTGGGCACCGTGATGCGGACCGTCATCGCGTGACACGCAGCTACTCGGAAGCGTTCCCGGCCAGCAAGCGACTGCCATGCTGGGGCGGCTAGTGCCCGGAAGAAGATCGTCTTCCGCCAATCCGTACCAAGCACGAAGCCCCGTCGCTGCTATCGCAGCGGGAAATCCTTGATAAATCTCAAGTGGAGTCAGCTGTTGATCGCTAGGACGGTATTCCGCACTTCGTAAGTAGGTCCACATGCTTGATGGCGACAGTCGTGAACCTCGAACCTTTTTCCAAAGATCCAGCCAATCGGTATTTCCCGTGCGAAGCACATGGGATTCAAAAGCTTCGAGCTTACTCAACTTTGTGTTTTCTTGTCCGGTACCGAGTAGTGCTGCGTTCGTTTCGTCGAAAATGATCGAGGCTAAGCACGCGATCGCTTGGGTGGCGCATTGCGGCTCGAGAGTTCCGCTCCAAAGACGGCTACACTTAGCATCTTGTTGTCTCCAAGCGACCATTCCTGTGTGCGACGAAACCTGTGGGCAAAGTGAATCGAAGCTGAAAGAAAAACGTGCTGTTTTTCTTTCTTTTCCTTGTCGTCAGTCTAGTCTAGAAATACTAGAATGAAATTGCACCTCAAAAAAAGACCTCCTCAAATAGAAACTATGGGTATCTACGGTTGTACCTATCATCAAAAGAGCTACAAAAGGACTACGATTAGTACTTTAATTCTCGACCCACTTTTTGTTTTTCAAAAATATATGCAAAACAGGGACAAGAATGGAGAGTATAGGCTGTACAAAGTACGAACCACACGCATCACTTGCAGAACGCGACAGCTGTCAATCATAAAAAACGAAAGATATTCACGCATTAAACATAAGAATAAAAATATGTCACGTGATATCATTCTCATTCGACATCTGTTGGCTCAGATACAAGCAAAAGAATACTTCGGCGAGCTCCACGAGCACCTTGTGGCACGTCTTCAGCTCTGCAAGGTCAGACAAATCTGGCGCACTGGAAATATTTCCCCGGACACGTCCTGAACGCAGAATATCGATAGCCGTGGCTGTTCCTGTCCGGCCGGTAAACGGGTCTACACTTAGTCGTGCTGTCAGGGCCATGAGAAATGCCAGATACAAACTGGCCGATCTGGTTTTGCTCATCGGGTGGAGATCTTGCAGCTCATTTCTCACTTCGTACAAGAAGAAAGGCGGACTGCGCGGCGTTTGCAAAGATATCGATGTACCTCCTGATACAGGGTCCCGTCGAGCGTTCGAGAATGGGAGCAGCAGAACGCTACGCTCGATGTGTGGGTTGCGCTCGCTATCTTCAAGATCTTCCTCGTTCGCAGATGCTGGCCGTTTCTGGCCTGAACCTCCCGACGCAGCTGTTATGGGCTGCCCCCGGGTTACTTCACTTCGGTTTCTGCTCGATCCGTGGGCTTCATCGTCTGCTGTTTGCGTCCCACCTCTTGAAAACCGAAAATTGGACGAAGGGACCGAACACAGAGAGCATGCTGGGGGAAGGGAAGTGAGCAGTAGGCCATGTCGAAGTCCCTGCAGCACGCCGAGACCCTGCTGCTCTTGTGCCACATACCGGTTTCCAATATCAGGAACTTGTATCAAGTTGACTTCCTGATCCCGCAAGCCTTGTTTTTGGAAATGCGGCTGGACATCGGTCAGCAAAGAAGACTTACTCCCAATCCTTTTCCTGTCTTGCTCCAAACGAAGGACATGAAAAACCAAATCATCGAAGCGTGGAAGCTTCACTTTCAACAAAGACAGGCAGTGCTGATGTGCTGCTGCAGCCGCCTCCGCAAATTTTTCGTTGCAGTCGTGGCCTGCGAAAACAAGGACCCACGGTGGAAGCTCCACACGGCAGAAGATGCTACTCCACAAACGTTGCACAACGTCCGAGTTTGGTGACAGCAGTAGCTCGTTAGTTTTGTTGTTGACCAATTCACACGAAGAGAGGCACAGTGTGTAGTCCGCATCACCCTTAATGAAGAGCGGGCAATCGTATCTTTTCGGCCGAAATTCGATCGCAGTACAGAGATCTTCTGGAGATTCTGGCAAAGGCCGATGCACTAGCCAATGGCTGTAATTGATGATCAAGTGATACGGTAAGTCGTCTTTGCTACCGCCATCCAAGTTCAACTTTGAAGCCGCTACTTCCTGTTCGACCATCCCGGGTGTCTCAGTTGCTGCTGCTGCTCCAGTCGTCAAGCCATCTGCTCCCGACAACGCAAAAGAGTTGAAGTAGGCGGTGGCCCCCGGGTGCCTGTGCTCCGACTCATCTGATATTAAGGGTGACGACAACGCGCCATGGAGGTTCAACATGGCTCCAGAGTCGGACATAACCGGCCCACAGTCTTCCATGCCAGTCACGAAAGCGTCGTTGACCGGCGTCATCGAATAATCGAACGAGTCGCCATTTAGAACCAGATCGAGGTCTTCCCCAAGATTCGCAGCCTTTTTGGACGTGAGGCCGCGAGATTTGTTGCTCGCGTCTGCCACCTTCGGAGTTTGGAACGCTGTGGCAGAAAGCAGAACAGCCCGGCGTCCGTTGCGGTCCTCGATAATGACAGGCGGTTTGGACATGTCCGGATGCTGAAAGCTAAAAGTAGCGCCGTCAACTTGTGCTTCAAATGTAGACCCATCAAGACAGGGGGAAACATTGAGACGAGCATCACCGAAGAGACGACAATAGTTAGCGTGCTCGACGATTGACCGCGGCAAACTTCGAATTGGAGCTCCGTTGAAAAGCAGTTCTCCCGAAATCACATTGATATCGATTGTTGTTGAAGACCCGAGCTGTACAGCATCCACCGAAGCGCGATACCAGCAGCTGGACTCCTCGACTTTCTTCTTGATATTGCGGGCAGAGGTTTTAGTGTTGGTCGCCGCATACTTTCCGACGCGCTCCCAGGACACACTCATCAAACCAGATGCTGCAATTCGATTTTTGAACTCCGGCCAATACATGCCAACAAACCGCGTGATTGCCGCATGTTCGTAGTAGGCTGTGCCGGAGTTAGCCAACTCCGACTCGGGACTTCCAGTGTTGTATGCCGGAGGTTCTAGAATTTGGCGTAGGCGACCTTCTACCTCGTTCGCCTTCCGCTCAGCGAGAAGAAACGGCATCCGCATCCATCCGGCCGTATCTGTTGAAGTGAAGTCACGCGGCGACGAATATTCTTTGACGATAGCACGGATGAGCAGCCAAGAGGTGACATCGGGCAACTCCCCCACCGAAGACTGCACTGAAAATGCCCGCCGTAATGAAGAATCTGCAGACGAGGAAGAGGAGGACGAAGATCCTCCAGCAAAACCGATTTGTTCGTGCCCGGAGAATGCCATGCTGCGAAGGAGGAGGGGATGGTCAGCGAACGTCAACGAGGCAGCGATGGCAACATTGAGAATGCGGCGCCGACAGTGCTGCGCCTCTTTCTCTGTTCTGCAGCTTTTTGGACCGTCCTTGCGGAGCTGTTCGATCCAACTGATGCCAACGCTTCGACATTCCCGGAGCAAATCAATTGCATCGCGGCTGTGGCTGTCGTGCTCAAGAACGTACATCCCGATGAAGGTGACGATGAGAAGTGTTGTACATTTGTCCCAATTCAATCTACAGCGATCTAGGTGCAGGCGTGCGTGCTTGCACAAATCCCTGCCTACACCGCGTTCTGGCACAGCGAGTAGTCGGGAGGCAGCACGGAACCATAACGACCGACTTTCGCAATCAGTTCTGGCCGGGTCAAATAGTTGGTGCTCCTGCTCAGGCTCCACCACTGTCGCGCCTCCACTGATGTCCAATCCAGGTAGAAATGCATACTGTGATCCTGGAGTGTCCGCGCCGGCGGTCAAGCTTGAAAATGACGTTTCGAATCCTGTTGCCCAATCGCGCACCTTGTCAAAATCTTCTGGGACAAGCTCGGGACCGGCTTGCCACAGCACACTTGTAATGAGGCTGGCGACGTCCTCGCTGTTCAGGTCCACGTGGCCCTGCAAGAGCAAGCTGGCAAGCCGATCCAACTGCAGCTTTGGGCCCGCACGCAGCATGGCGAGGTCCTTCCACGCTCTCCGTCCAATGCTTCCATGAGCAAGAGATTGCGCCGCCATGACTTGATTCTCAGTGTGAGTTAGGCCCGCAAAGCTCTGCAAGCTTTGGTAGCGGGGGTCGGTCATTTTCAAAGCGAAGAAGCTTCGGAGATCGAACTCAGTCCACTTTGAACGAGGCATCCACTTTCGAAAGGTTGCTACGGTCGAGGATCCTTCCGTTCCTTGAGGACACAGCGCATATATGCGACAGTCGTTCTCCAACACGATTTTTTCAGGGTCCTCACTGCCTCTCAGAGTTTCATGCCCAACCGTCATGTGCCTACCCAGCATGCTTTTATCACCTCCTATTCGCGAGAGCCTTTTCGCATTCGATGTGATTTTGCCTCCTGCTTCGACGATTGCTTGCTTCAGCGCATCGCGATCATCCCACAAGTGCGCCTTGGGGGCTGCGAACTCGTATGTGATGTTCTGAACCTGATCCCTTGCCAACGTGAGTCCGAAATCGAGCCAACACTCCTGGTGCGCAATTAGGTCCTCTCCTTTTGTGAGCTCAAACAGAACGTAGATTTGCTCTTCCACATCTTCCGGCAGGAGCTTCATATACCGCGCGGCGCGCAACGTTCTTCGTTCATCCATGGCCTGGTGTTTCTCGCACCTAGTTTTGTACTTCTGCTTCTTCCCTTTTCTCTGGTCCCTGACGCAGGCACAGTGGCCAACTCCGTTTTCAGCGGCGTAGGCCTCCATGCGCTCTGTACATTCGTCGTATTTCTTTTTCATTTCTTCGAAGTCGAGTTTTGCGCTCCGCCGGTTCTTTTTGCAGCTCGCCTTTACTACAAGTCGAATTTTCTGCAGGCTCGAATAAGAGTCAGCAAAGAGAGCGTTCGCCAGTTTTTTTTCCATCCCTTCCCCACCGTAAACGTCGCCAAATACACTCCGGCTACGAACATAAGCCTAAAAGAAGACATAGATTAGAAAATGATTTGTCGTGCTCATGATGATCATCTATATCAGTATTGGGTTTCCATTATACCAGTGGATAAGATATTATATATCTTACTTAAGACATAGATCAAAGAATCTTGCCGCGCAAACAGGACAACAATAGTACCTCAACAGAGTGCAAGTGCTTCTTCTCGGCCTTGGTAGTGAGAAACAAGTCCTGCAAAAAATCCGTCTGGTGCGCACCGATTGGAAAGTCTAGCAAGGTCGCATGCTTAGCGCAAACGGTGCGGTCAATCAACAGGCAGCAGGTGAAGCTTACGAGAATGCCGCGGCTGAAACCCACAGGATCCCGTGGGGCGAAACGGCATTCGTGCTTTCCCTCGCGCCGTTGCTGCTTCTCCGATGGACAGTAGAACTCCAGCATGAGTTTCAGGTAGAAACTTAGCATTCCGCGCAGGGACGTAGACTTATACAAGTCCAGCTCCGGTTTCGACCCTGCTTGTGCGTTGTCGTCCAAAAATTTCCACAACCAAAATACGTTACCTTCTACGTCAGTAAGAAGGTCAAAAATTTCACTTGTCTGATACTCGTGCGTCAAAGGGGCGAAATCCCACGCGGTCTCGCATTTTTTACACAGCGTCTCGATGTTCCGAAGAACTGCCACCAGAGCTAGATCTGTGGTTCCGAATTCTCCGGCTGTCGGTGCACGCGAACGCGTGAGTGTCAGCTTGGGTTCAGCGAAAGATCCGCACTCCGCCACTGAGCCATTCTCGGGGTCCGAAGCTTTTTTCGGAAGAAAACTCGTCAACCGGCGAATCTCTCCACCTGCGTTATTGATTGGATGCCTCAAACTGTTTCCCACTTCCTCAGCAGTGATACTCACAGAGCACCTCACTGCCCCTGGTGTCTCCTTGCGCTCCACAGATTCAATCAGCCCCTTCGTCTTCTGAAAGAGCTCTGTTAGCTGGTGTCGCAGAGGATCGATTTGGTCTCGGAGATCTGTTTTGGCAGCAGATTTTTCTTTCATCATGAACTGACAAGAAATTCACTCGTTTTCACGTGCACTTTCACAACGATTTCATTCGCTAGCTACGAGGAAAGAAAAAACTTCCAACCCTCTATCTGAGGATTAGTACGACACCCATGCAAATGCTGCGACAGGATTTCGTTGCATGTAAAAATGATGAAGTAGCTACAAACCTGGAAACAGCTTCGAAGGAAACCGCTCTTCGTCCTCGAGCTTTGCATGCCGAAACTGCAGCTTTCTGCAGGCTTCATCGAGATTCCCAAGTCTGGTAAACTTGAAACGCGAGCTATCCCACAGACTTCTGCTCGCCACTTTGTGGATAGAGTACACGAGGAACTGAAGCCAAAAAGTCTTGTACAGGTCGTCTCGATTCAGTATAACACCACAGAAAAACTTAAGCAGTGTGCGTGCCACGCACCATGTTTCGCTGCGACGCCATGGCTTCCTCTTCATGTCGCCACGGCCATGACGCTGGTATTGATCGCGGACCGTAAATGTTTTCGTGCGGCACTTCGCAAGATTGGCCTCTCGGATACCCATAACGCGGAAAAAGAACTCTGTTATCATGTCGGGTTTTGCTACTTTGTCCAGTCGCGTCTTGCAGAGTAAAGCCGCCGCCTTTCTTACGCCAGTCTCCTTTGTTTTTTCCTTCTCCGTGAGCACGCTGTCAAATGCTTTCGCTTCGAAAACTTTTGCCAGCTCCTCCAGGGCAGTACTGAACTCTAATTGGAGCACCGTCTCGTATTCGACCCACCCCTGCTTCCTCGGCACTGTTTGCTGGAAGTAACGCTCCCCTTGCACGTACTGAGAATTCAAGTTTCATTTTTGCTTGAAGTGGTACTATCTTTTTCCTGATGTGATGATCTATCATTCTCAGATTTCAAAGAACCACATGTGCGAGCAAGCGACACCTCGGTGCGCACTTTTTTCTTTGGACCAATGGTGAAAAAAGCTGCACATCAAAACCAAAAATACATTCATCCCTATTAACAATAAACAAAATGAAAGACGACCAACGTTCCTCATATTTGTATTTTGCTTTATCGTGCTATCGTGAGTGTGCTAAAACCGACAAACAAAAATTTGTCTCACTGATCAAAACATGCCTCGCTCTGGGACGTACCTGTAGCGGCGTCTGGACGTCCCAAGCGTAAACGCTGAAGTAATCTATCGGGGTCGTGTCCGTGCTTCTCTTGCGCTGCAGCACCAGCATGGTATTTTGTGCCCGGATCCAGATTGGCAGGCATTGGGACACGCGCAGGTTTTTTAGCCGTTCCCTCAAAGATTCCCAGCCGAAGTCACCCGTGCTGCTATTGTGCAACGTGCGAAACTGAAGCACGAACTCCCGAAGCCGGTCCTCATCCTTCTTCAGGTGAATTCGCAGACTATCAGACCACGAGTTCTCCGCCGCTCCTGCAGGAAGTGCCCGACGGTAGTCTACGTATTCGAAAAAGTGCGCGAGACAACGGGTGTCGTTCTCGTTTTCTTGTGAGAGCGACGGCACACCAGTTGGAAAAAATAGTGAATTGAAAGCAGCACATGCAGGCGGGAGATCCTCCGCATTTCCGTCCTCGTCTTCCTCGTCAGACATCCCATCCATCGCACCGTTTTGTACCGGGTCAGCAGCAAGATCTCCATCGGCATCCATCTCGTCTTCTGGATCTTGTTTAGCTTTGCGAGCTCTCTTCTTTTTCTTTTGCCCCTGCAGATCCAAGGGCGGTCGTTTCGACGACATCGAACTTGACGACGACATTGCCAAGTCGCGGGCGTCGCAAATCTGTTAGCTTTATATTGGATACTTTTTACTTATACTTTCTCTATGAGCTGTGCTAGCACGATGAAATACCAAGGACGAGAAGAAAGATTTCGATGGCTCCTAGATAACTAAGCACGTCTTTTACCAAGTACGGTTGGCAGCTTGTAAATTGCTAGTGTCGGCTGCTGGACCCAGAAAGTGTAAGACTCAAACACGAAGCACCGACATCGATGTCAGTCTACGTATATGCAATCATTGATTCTGTTGATGCTTCTGCTTCTCTTCTCCATCTAGCCTGTCACATAAGAAGCAACCTCGTTTATAAAGGTCATAGAAAGAGGCTTGTGGCAAAAGTGCACCAGGAAAACAGTCACGGAAGCCTTTTTACAGTGAGCTTGTTTTACAGATGACTTCATAAGCCTACGCATTCAAAAAGATGATATGCATCGTCTTGGTGATCTCAGGCACGAATCGAGAACTTGTGGATGGATCTCTGGCTCTAGATCCCAGTGTCACCTTCACACCCCTACAGCGATCTTCCTCTCGCAATCGAGATCCAAGTCGAACCATGATCATCGCACCTCACCATCTAAGAATGTGGAATCCGCGGATCAAGGCTACCACACATGTGGCGACCATTTTTTTCAAATCGGAAAGAATACCAAAAAAAGTAGAAGAGAGCTCCCGTGCCAGGAATGCTGGCGCAGCTGTTACGTTGCATAGGCGAGCCGCTTGCTTTTTTTTTGCAAGCGCGTTTTCTGAGGAAAGACCTGAATCTATTGACTTGCACTTGCGGTGCTTCTTGCGACACTCCCTGAAATGTAAGTATTGTTCGAAGCAAAAAAAGCTGTGTTGTATCACATGAAATGTCGTGAAAGCGAAAGACTCAATTAGAGTGCCTATCGTGATTAGAAAACATAAACAATAGGTACGGACACTTGAATGGAAAAACTCTAGGTATACAGCGGATATCCTTTTTTCCTATTTTTTTTGGAATATTGATCCGTGAATGAGAAAAGATATTCGAGGCGATATAGTCCTACGTGTACATCCCGAATCGACGACCGCTACGCAAATGAATGCCGCTAATTATGTGAGAATATTTTTATAATAAAGTCAGCTCATCCCAACTGCTTTCTCTGAGTCACTTTCCAAGCACGTCTCCCATCGTCGAGCTCGCCAGCTCGGTGCCCAAATTTCTGAAGTCCTCGAACAATCCCACAAGCGCTGGCACCGGAGAAACCTGGTACCGGGAAATCTCGCACCCGGCTCGTTTTCGGCCTTCACCCTCGACTTTCGTGAAGCCGTCTGCCTCCACCAGGTGCTTTTCGGCGAGGTCCTCAAACAGCGTTTTCTTCACTTTACGTGGACACAAGGCGAAGTACCGCATGATGCACTGCTGCAAGCCGGTATTTGGAAACAGACTGCACCCGAGGACATGCAGATGCGGGCAGTCGCGAAGCTCCAACTCCTGGAAAGTATAGTCTTTCGGCTTTCGAAGGAGCTGATTGCTCAGCTCGTGGTCCAACAGCAATTTGCCGACGGCCTTGCGACTCACCACTGCGTCGGCAGTTTGGTTTCGCGTGGTCTGCGGTGTGAAAACCCGGAGAAAAGGCGATATTTTCCCGTCGGTGCTTGTGAAAACTTGCTCTGCTTCCTGGTTAGACACGATCAACAAAGCTTCTGCATCCTCAGCCGTTTTGAAGCGAACGACGAAGTCCACCGACTTCAAGACTCCATAAGATTTCGCACCCGTGCTCTTCAAAGTGTTAGCGAAGCCTTCGGTGACGAAGGTACTCGTCGTGTGGAGCTGCAGGGGTTTTGCGAGCTCCAGGTTGTCCACAAAGGTTTGCAGGGGTAGTAAGAAGTCGGTCTGGTCCTGTTGTGAAGATGTGAATGAATGAGGCTGAGTGGGTGACTGATTTATATATACCGTAGCTAACCTGTCTGTTGCAGCAACAGCGAGTACAGTCCGATTACCATTCAAATAAAATAAAAACTGATCCGAAATTTCAAGTGTAAAAATCAATGAAACAAAAAACCAAGAGCGCAAGTACCTGCGGAATGGGCTCACCGAGGTTTACTTTTTGCGCGAACGCACGCAACTCCTCCGGAATGGCAGCTGACGCGGGCACGAGTTCCGTGATCCGGGCGCAGTCGCGCTCTTCCTCGAGCTCCTGTTCCAATTCACGTTCTTGGGTGCAATCTAGCGTGGACGCAAAGCGTGTGAGGTCGGGGGCCAGTTGCTCTACCCGTCTGATCATGGCGTTTGCGAACTCGTCGCTGTTCCACTGCCGCAAGGCGTCCTTCGTCGTGTCGAGCAGGGCGCGGCATTCCCGCTTGTACCCGTACTGGGCTAGCAGCTCTACCGGCTCTTGCTCAACACAGGCCTCGCCGTACTTTGCCAGTGCAGCTTCATCTGGAGGAATCGCTACTACAGCGGAGTCTTCGATTTGCGCTTTAGACTCTTGCTCGTCAAGAAGACTTCCTCCGGGAGGACTTTGTAGGTACTGTAGACGCGCCTGATTCTTCTTCACGCTGCGCCGACATTGATTGACAGCGAGGGGAGTGCTATCGATAAGAAAAAAGCGGAGGGAGCCGACATCAGCGTTCTTCGAGCCATTTTTGCACGTACTTGTGCGGGTGCGTATGCGCTTTTTTCAGAATGCAAAGTCAACTGCTTTGCTTTTCGCTCACCTAATAACAACCTCATGATTGCTACGAGGGGCCAATAGAGAAGCAACATATGCAAAACAAATTTCGAGCGCTTGCCCTTGTCTCCCTCCGAATTGTGTCCAGTAGAGCTGGGCGGCGATGTCTTCCACCGTGTTCCGAAGAGCCCATAGAATGACGACGGTTACCTGTGCAACATCCTTTTCTTCCTGCGTTAGTTCCCGCACGTTCCGCGAAGCGGTGGCGGTTTGTAGCTCCTCCAGTTCTCTCTCCATTTCCTTCTTTTGTTGCCGCTGCTCGGCGCTCAAAGGCGCAATCAATTCAACTTGTTCGAATATGGAGATCTTCTGTCTCGACTGTTTCTCTTTGTCCACTATTTGCTCCGCGCTGAGCCCCGCAATGGCCCGTCCCTCTGTCCCTGCCTTGCCCGTTGCGCTGCCAAAGATTTCCAGCTCGAGGGCGTCGAGCTGCTGACCCACTTCGTATGCGGCCACGTTGAGGACCGACTGGCCGCGCCCAAGGCCCCGCAAGCGCCCACTGGATTGCAGGAGTTTGTCTTTCAGCATGCCTCGTCCCAGGGTGAGCACGGCTCGGGCATCGACGGGCAAAGGCAGGTCGGTTCCTCTAGTCATCACGTCGTCGAAGTAGACGAGGCAGGCGCGCAGGTCCGTCGCAAAAGATGAGAGGCGCAGCGGTAGCACTTCCTCCGTGGCACGTATCCAAACCATGGCTTCATTGTCCGCTCCGAAGAAGACGGCAGCGCGCGCTGCCTTTTGCCGGGCCGCCCAGGCTTTCACGAAGTCCAAATTTGAAAGCTCCAGTACCAACGCGCCCGGGTCTAGCACCACGGTTATGTCGGACCGTTCCCCCAAGATGTCCAGAATTTCGTGCGCGCCACCTCCCTGCCGCACCGTTATCCGCTCGTCGTTCTCTGGCCTGCGAAAACTCATCACCTGCAAACCCTTCGTGTCGCAGAGACTGGCAATGTTGCGCTGCTCAATGCAGCACGGCGTGATGGCGTCGTCTGTTCCGGAAAATCCCTGTGTAATGCCAGCAACTCCCATCGCGGTGGTCTTGCACAGGTCTGGCGCGCTCGCGGTCAGCTTGGTCTTGTACTGCACGGCCTGTGTGGGAAACACAAGGAATTTCAGGAAAAAGTCGATCGCGTCCATGCTCCGGCGAAATGCTGGGTAAAGACATGTGTGAAAGTCCGTGGCGTCTTCGAGGTTGACCGCCTTCAGCTGCGGATACTTCAAGAAGTTCCGCGTGTCTGCGTCGCGGAGACGCTCCACCCACTTTGAGTACGTTTGAGCCCCCTCAGATTCACCAAGTCCCTGCAGCTTCTCAAACACCTGCCGCAACTCGCCTACCGCGAGGCCCTCCTGGTAATAGTGCGCAACGGTCAGGAGGAGGAGCGCGTCAGGGTGGGCAAACTCTGTCCGGTCGGCCGCGGTGTCTTTCGCGACGTACGGGACGGCCATCAGGTAGCCCGGGCGGTGCGGGTTCGCGCCGTACTGAACACGATGCCGCTTCGTGAGTGCGATAAGCAGCACGCCATGCGTCAAGAGTCCGTGAAAAATGCAGGCGCGATTCCTCAGACTTTGCGTCGGTAAAGTTGCGAGGTGCGGCACAGGATCTTCCGAAATGACTGCGCTCAGAAAGGCACTCCGCTCCGCCGGTGTGAAGTGAGCAGCGGACGTCTCTGCCACGATCTCCTCCGCTACCTTATTGGCGATCATCTGCTTGAGACTTTCGTACGCGCGCGACTGGTTCGGGTGATCTAAAAGTCTCACTGCCCGATACGAAAAGCCCGAAACGGCTGTCTTCTCGTCCGCGAGTTCGACGACTTGGCTGGTCCATTCGTTCTGCAACTGCTGGCCCGCATCGCTGAGAAGGCGTAGACACGTCATTGCCGCTTCGTACCTGTCTACGCCACCTGCTAGGGCAGTGTAAGAACCGATCGGATAGACTAACTGCGTTCGTGTTCCCAAAACTTGATCACTTTCGTCGATAAGGGTATGCAGGAAAATCACCAAGCTTCTTACTTTCACTGAAATTCCGTATGCAAATATATTTTTCTAGAAAACCGACTTTGCCACACCGGTGCTAGGACCAGGAGCTGCTTACTGCTGGCGCCAGGAACAACTTAGATAACGCTGCACAAGTTTTAATGCGATTTCTCAGCTGTTGAGTAAATGAGAAGCCCAAGGTTGAATTTCATAGAAATCCCGCTGTACATTGTCGTCTAGAAATTGCGCGAGCTGCAGTAGTCTGATGTCGTCCTTGTTCTCCGCAGCATCGGCGCTGACTACTGGACTTTCTGGCTCCGCCTCTCCGTCGCCAGTCATATGAAGCGCAGCTGCAAGCTCGCTGCGCTTGTTCTCCAGGGCAAGTCGGTCGCTCGGACACATCACCAGGACAGTGTTGCCGCTGTCGCACGAACTCTGCAACATCTGTAACACGCCAGCAACCCCATCCGCCGAAAAGTGCCGGCTCCGGTCGAAGTGCAGGGGCTGCAGTCGAAAGTCTAAAACACCGCCGAGCTTGCTTTGCCACTGTCGCAGATTCGTCCCCAGCAAGTGTTGCAAGACGGTGACTCGGTTGAGCTGCCCTTTTCTCGTTGCGGCGGCAAGCAAAACAGGCATCACCACCGACGTCTTCCCTTCTCCCATACTGAACTCGATCAGCCTGTCGGTCTTACCGTCGAGCAGTTCCTGCGCAACGTCAATCTGCGTCGGGCGCATTCGGATGTCCACATCCAGTTCGAATGCCAGTGGTACACGCGAAAGCTTGTGGTCCTTCCATCCATCTGAACACACTTCGGCTAGCAGGATTATCAACACGAAAACCCCAGCCGCTACTGCTCTCGCATGGTGCTTGCGATTGATTTGTGTTTTTCTTCTCTGCCTGCCCTTTCACTTCCACACAGGAATTTCTGAAGTAAGACACGGCATGCCTGTAGCGCGTGCGCACTTAAATTTGCAAATCATGTTCATAAGTCGCTTCCTCTGCGACGCCTTTCTAGCACAAAACCTACGACCTAGCCAGGTGCAGTTTCTTGCAACTTTGAGTTCCTTTGCATGCATCTGATAGAAAGGCGCAGTGGCATCGCTACACATCACAGAGCCCACGCAGATGCAAGTGAGACAGCCCCTGGGCTCATCTGGGTAGGCTTCGCGCCCCACTCTTCTCGCTCCACGAGACGGCAAATCGCTCTGGCGCGCTGAAACTTTCGCATGTTCAGAAGATACTGTGTGACCTTGCCGTCGGCGTTCGATCGCGACGAAGCTCCGCTCTCCGTGGGTAGCGCGCCCTCGCGTTCCTGATCTTGCCCCCGAAGCCATCTGCTCAGCTCTCCCATACGAGTAGGAACGCTTATCAGCCCGGAAATGTACTCGGCTTGCGGAGTGTCTTCTTGGCTCCCGGCTTCGTAGAGCGCCCCGCGCGGGAGATTTTGTGGGCTCTTCGACGTCTGCTCTGCCGGTCCGGCCCCCCCGCCACCGGCTAGGGTCCCCTCGGTGGCAACGCTCACCCCGTGCGCTCGGATTACTGCACTCCAAGATGCGTCCATTTCCTTTTTCTCGAAATTCCGGAGCTTCGTCGCCGCTGCTCGGAATTTCTCCCGTTGCCGCCCCAGTTTGCCTTCAGCGATTTGCTTTCCGCCAGTCGCACTGCCGAGAAGACTCGTTTTCGCCCGCTTTGAGCTTATTTTTGCCATTTCGAGACTTTTCTCCAAGTCGTGACCGAGCGACTCTGCGATCTTTTTGAATCTTTGTTGCACCGGAAGCCGTGGCAATTCGAGAGCGGCTGCAGGACTTAACTTGAGACGCTTCGCAGAAGGCTCCAGAGCTGAACCACAGGTCATATCTTCCTCACACAGCAATATCATCAACTCCAGACAGCCCTCGTCGGAAATAGTGTCGCGGTATTTCCGTCGCATTGCCAGTGAACTCTGCAGCAGCGGAAAAACCGATGGCGACGCATCAGTGGCAGTTCCCGCTGCCCCTGCGCTTGCATCAGCTGCCGCTCCTAGGCTGGACTGCTTGTCGAAAAAATCGTCGTAGTCGAAGTAGCCATGCTCCTTGAACCGCTCCGCCGATGCAAGAGCCGGTCCCTTTGTGCATGTGCTTGGCTTCTCGGCTGCGGCTCGCGCAGCCTCTTTTCCCTTGGTGCCTGGGTCTAGTTGCGAACTGTCGGCGGACGAACTTGCCCCACCGCTCTGCACTGCTTTCTCGATTATGATGTCCTTCCAACTGGCGATCGCGCTCTGCAGCTTTCCGAGAAACTCCCTCAGACATCTCGCGTGCCTCAGTCTTTCAAACTCATCCTTTATCCGCTCCAGCACGTCTTCGGCGGACGGTTTCAGATACTTCTGGATGGCTTCGACCGCCGCCAGCGGGACGCCGGCGCTTCCGTTCAACGAGGCTTGCTTCGCCACCCCAAACAATTTCAGTTCGACTTCCCCTTTTGAAGGGGCGCCGTCGACTCCGTTCAGATCGGAAATACAGTCCTTCTCGGTCAGAAACTGCTGAAAAGCCTCCGGAGTGAAAAAAGCGACCTCTCCGGGATTCCGGTACGCTTCTACCTCTTTTAGCGCCTCGGGAGGGAGGTCGCGGTCCCCGCTGTCTTCCCGGTTCCGCTCTCGACTTCTGTTCTGCTGATGGTGCATCCACATGATCAGGAACCCAAACGCGCGATGAAGGTCCGGAGGCTGTTTTTCGCTCTCTACGCCCTTCTGCAACAGGATCCGCCCGTAAAATAAACTAGCCCGCAGCCAATTACTCGGGCCATCTCCGCAAACGTCGCTCACCTTCATCTCCTCGCGCGCTATCTTGTAGGCCTCGAGAAAAAAGTCCAGCAGGTCTCCAGCATCGTGGGTCGTGCCGCCAGCAGCAGCCGGACGGTTGCGCTTAGAGCCGGCTTTTGTTGCCACCGCCTCGCTTTGGCTGTCCATATGATTGCTCAGCAGCTGCCGCGCCGCGGTCAGTGTTTCCATCGAGTCGTTTTGCTGCATCGCTATGCGGGGCACCTTCGGAACCCCGGTAATCATAGGCCGGTCTACCAGCGCCGCGAAAAACTTGTCGATCCCAGCGAGCTCAACAACCAGACTCGTGCTGTCGATCCTGGTGCGCCCCATCGCGTTGATAGTTTCGAGGTACTGCTCGTTCGCGATTGGTTTCAACTTGTACTGAATACGCAACTTCTTCGGGTCGGCGAACGCCTCAACGATACTCAGCGGCGCCTGTGTCTCCGTAAACCCCTGGGAAATTTCCTCGCTAGTGAGTCTCTGAGAACGAGGGTAAAGCTTCTGCGACTGCAGATACAAATGCAGGCTGTTTACACCGAGACGCACTTTGGCCGACTCATCCCAGTCTCGCAGCCAGTCCTGCTGTCCGGTTTTCAGCATTTTGCTAAATGTGTCCCAGCTGCTGCCCTTGCCGCGGATACATCCAGAATTCGAGAGCGCAGCCTTGACTTTTTTGAGCACCCCGTTCGCCAAGCATGCCAGCGCTTTCGGCGCAGCCAAAGCTTCCAGCTGTTTGTACGCTCGAGATGCCCCGGAGCGGTCATCTACCGACGGCGCTGCGGGCTCCGAAAGCTGGGGAGTTTCAAGTTGTGTCGTTATTGTAGCTTGCCGCGCGATTACGTAATCATCACCATGTTTGAATCGCAGAACTTAGCTCCACAAATAGAAAGCATGACTATGAAAATGCCAATCCAACGCAGTGCGCAGCTGCTCATGCTATGTTGTATGTGTACTATACCTCCATGATGTTCAGCAGTATTTTGAACGTAGCCCGAAGCTCCTGCAGTTCTCCCTGGTCCGGGACGTTGCTTACGCCTCCACAGACGCGGCCAGATCGCAAGATTCCCATCAAGGCCTCCGTCCCAGTAACCCCGGTGAAGTGGTCGGGAAGCAGTCGCGACGTCAAACCGTGCAAAAAGCCGAGGTGCAGAGTTGCCAGACGGCTCTCGCTTTCCGGACGCAATTCCCGGAATTCGTCCCGGAAGGAATAGGCGAAGTAGGCCGGCTGCCGAAGCTGATCCAGTGCCATTACGGTCGCCCCCTTGGCATCTCGAGTTGCCGCTGCGTGGGGCAACAGCAACACACGTCTCGATCGCAGACCCGCTGCGTCACGCGGAGTCGCGCACAGCAAGAGGCCCTGCTGAAGTCCCAGGAGTGTTCCAAACTCTTGCTGCGGAGAAACATACAGCGCTTTATCGGGCGAGTAAACCAGATTGACGCGATCCAAGTGCTCCTCGAGTAGGTGTTTCCGCAGGCGATCCCGAAGCGGTGCCTGCCTTGCATCCCCGAACGTGCCTGCGTCGTGGCGCAGAGGGAGAACTTGGAAGGTGAGGTCCTGCAAACGTGGCAGTTTCACGACTACCAAAGCATCTGCGTCGCTGTCTTTTCTCTCGTCGCTGCGCTGGTGGACCGACGGCCCGGCAAACACTTGCATCATGTTGATAAGCTCGAGCCGACGAAAAATTTTTTCTCCAAGAATTCGCACGGTTTCGGAGTTGATATCAAGAAAACGTCTGCCGGACGCACAATGCGCGATCTCTTTAGTGTCTCCACGATAAACGAACTCGGCGTCGGAGCAAAATCCAGAGGAAGACGCAGACGAAGCTCGTGACTTTTCCAGCGGAATAAACTCAATTACGATACTGCCGCTTTTCTCGTCGACAGATAGCCAGTGGCTGAAGTCGTCAATCAAGGTCGCTGGTAGATCGGCCTCCACCGTTCCCTTCGTAATCCCGTGCGCAGCGGTTCCTTCCTCGCAAAAATTTGTCACCGTTTCGGCCCCGGAACCACCTCCGCCGCCGAAAAAGCTCGCGTCAGCTGGCGAAAGTATAGACGAGATCGCCGTTGCGTACATCTCTTGCTGGTCGCCGCACGAGGTGCTGCTCATACCAGACGGGGCTGCCCCTGGCGTCGCAAAGGAACACCAGCTTGGGTCCACCGGCGTAATCGACATGTCCTGGAAGCTCTCGTCCGTCATTGGCAGCACGTATGCCGGCGTCTTGCTAGGACCATTGTCGCTGAGAGGGGCGACCGCCTGAGCGCCGAGTGGAGCTTGATGGTGAGCTGCAGGGTCTTGCGCAGGAGTGGCGCCACTCGCAAATCCCGCATCAGTCTGCGTTACGCCGAAGTCGTTGACAGATGCTCCGGCATGCAACAGTCTTTGCAGGTCGCTCGTGCGATCCAAAAGCTTGGGCTTCTTCGGCACCGGGCCCAAAAGACTGCTGCTGCCGACGTCGTTGCCTCCTCCTTCGAAGTCAAGATTTGGCGCAACGCCCGGCTCTCGTTTCTGCAGGAATATACTCTCGCTGAGCAGGATTCGGTCGGGTTTGGCAGGCCGTCGGAGCTCGAGTATTTCCGCGCGCTCCCCGTTCGAAGGCGAGGGCGGCTGGAAGCAATACTTCCTCCCTCCGATCTCTCCCACCTGTTGCGCGGCGCAGTTGTTCTTCCCTCCGACTACTTGGACCGAGGAGGGACGGCAATCGCCGAAAAGCCGCCGGTAACCTGCATCCTCGACAATTGAGTAGTATCCTGTGTAAAAACGTCCCCATCCCATAGTCAAGTTGCGAACAACTCTGCAACACAAATCCAGAAGTTTTGGAAGCCATGCATGAAAAGTTCGTCCTTGTAGTGGAGTGCAGGTTAGCAAGAGCAGTCGCATCACAAACCCAATTCCTTATCCTGTTTACAGCATTACAAATGCCAAAACACGATTGGCAATTCCCTTCATGTCGATGCGCATTACAAATGTTCCTGTCATTGCAAACCTGCATGGCAACAATTATGGGGTGGGGACGTTTTTACATAGGATAAGTAGTGCAACCGATTTACCGGGGTGCGATCGATCAGAAGCTCGCCAGAGAGCACATCGACGTCCGCGGTCCGCCGCGTCGATAAACCCCCCGGCCCCGCTTCGACTGTAAGCCTGGCCCGGTACCAGTTGCAGCCACCGTCGCTGTTAGTTTTTTGTTTTTGCCCCTTCTCTTTCCCGCTTTGCTTCAATGCAAGCGCCAGACCTTGATGCTTCCACGCCAAGTCTTCGTCCCAACAGTCCTGCTGTGTATACGCGCGCAGAAATTCGGTGAGCGCGGAATCTTTCAGCGCTGGGGCTTCCAGAAACTCTTTAGTCAAGTCGTAGGCAGGCTGACTGCCGAGGGCTTCGTGCACGGCTTTTGTCATTCCCTGCGCTCGCACTTCCGCGAAAAACAACATCGTAGATGACCATGAGCCTTGCTCATCATGCTTCGCCTGGTTGTCTGCAAGCGTTGCACGGATGTAAAACCATGCCGCCGCATCGGAAAGCTTGGGCAGCTCTATGTCTTCGATCGGAATCACGCCGCTGTTCGGTCCGGGTCGTAGGAGCCGGTCGTCGTCTGCAAAAGTCAGGGACGCCGCTACGCAGATCCCCGAGAGCCGGGCCGAGGCAGAGTCGCCCTTGCTACCACGCGTGCGCTTCAGCTGGTCGATCCAGCGAAGTGCCTGTGTGCGGGCCATGCGCAGAAGGCCCACCGCTGCTTCGCATTTCGGGCAGTGTTCAAACACAAAAACCCCGATCAGGACCGCTATGGTGAGTTCCGTCACTCTGTCCCAGGCATCCCAGTTTTGCGTCAGAATGTCCCGGGCGTGCTTGCACAAATCTTCCGAAAGAGAAGAACCGAGGTCGGCCAGCGCAGCCGCCGAACTTCGCATCCAGCGTCGCATGCCCATATCAGAAATATCCAGAAGATTCTCGTCGTCGTCGGCAGCACCAGCAGCAGCGCCGAATAGGTCATCTTCTTCATGATCCTCACTGCGCGTCAGTGGAGGCCCGGTTTGCCAAAGGACTCCCAAAACCAGCCGGCCCACGTCTTCATGGTTCAAACTGTTTAGACCCCCGGTTAAGAGCTTAGCGAGTCGGAACAGCTGCAGGGTCGGCCCAGCAGCTCGCAGTAGTCCTAGTTGTTCTGCTGCTCTGGCGACCAGCGAATGGCCCCCGCTTTTGATCTTCGCGTAGACAGCATTCTCGCAATGCCCGAAGCCTGTGAAGTCTTGCAGTACCTGATGCCGCGGATCCACCAGGCTTAGGCGAAGCCACTCGATCACCTTGATAACCCAGCTTGACCGCTGCCCCCTCAGCAGCCGGCCGCCTTTACAGCCGCCGTCCTTTTTGCCCTTATCGCGGGCCGTTTCATACGGGTTAGTATGCTCTTCAGAATCAAGCACCTCAGCCAGGAGGTTGTGCTGGTTGTTTCTGATTATACACGAATTCTCATCAAGCGAAGCAACTTGCTCGTACTTCGTTTTCCCAGATTTCGCGACGAGTTCCGGTCGCAACATTCGAGAGCAAAGCCGAACCCTGCGCCCCGAAGTCAGGATCTTATCGGTGTCCCTGTCGCTCGCTTCCCCAAGGGCCTTCATCAGGGGCTCGAACTCGTGCCACTTGAACATGTGGTCGTCTTCGTATGGCTGCGAAACGGCACTCTCGTCGTCGGCCCCGAGAAACTCGCCGAAGTCGATCCATGCTTCCTCCTGTGCAATGAGACGCTCTGACATGAGGAGGTGGAACAAGAGGTAGGTTTGGTCATTATCCGACTCTGGCAACAGTTTTCGGTATCTCGAGATTTTGATCATGGCGATCTTCCTCCTGGCCTGGCACGCCTCGCACCTTTCGCCGATATACCTTCTGCCGCTCTTCTTGCAGGCACAGTCACTCCCGCGGTTGTTAAGCGTAAACTCCTCGATTTGCTCCTCCAGCGACTCGCATTCCTCGTGCTTTTCTCGCCAGTCTTCGCGCTTCTTCTCTTGGTTCTCGCGACATTTCGCATTGATTTGCGCCTTCTGCGTGTCGATTAATTCCTTCATCTTCTTGTCCTTCGCAAGTGCCAGCGCCAAGAACTTCGAATGCGGCCAATTCACGGTCTCCAGTTTCGATTTCGAATGCTTCGCTCTCGTTTTCCTGCTCTTCATGTACCCCTGGTTTTTTTTTCGGCCCATCGATGTACTTTTCTACTTCTGCATCAAAGTCGAAGCCTCTGAAAAAGAAGGGACTAGAAAAAGCTAACCAAAGCGAAACCAAGCAGAGCCGAAATTTCAAAAAATGGTCACTGCTGTCCTTACCTCGAGGGAACTGAGCTGCTGCTTGTGCTTCGCTTCAGGCAAAAACAAAAGTGACAACAAGTGCGTGAAGTCGTATCCCAGAAAGTTTCCCAAAGCCGGGTGCTTCTGGCATGCCTCCCGATCCAAAAGCAGGCAACCTGTCAGGCCGGTCAAAATGACAACCGAAATTCCACGGAGGTCCCCGCGCAGTCCGGTCCCTGTGTTTCGCGTCGTGACCCGCGCGGCTGATGTCCCGTCGGAGAGGCCGAAAAACAGCTGCCTGGCGAGACGCAGATAACTCCGCAAGAGCTTTCGGAGCCCAAATTTTTTCTGGTAAATCTGTAACTTCTGCACCGCCTCCGAGTCGCGTTCTTGTTCGGCGAACTCCCAAAGCCGGCGGACGTTTTCCTCCACGTCCAAAAGGATGTCGACCATCCGCACCCCGGACCGCTCCGTGCTGTGGTCCTCGTAGTACGCCAGAATCTTGCTAAGCCTCTTAATATTTTCCTGGACGTGCTGGAGTTCCTTATCCACGTCCCCCCCCGCCCCGTGAAGCTGCAGGCGCCGCCGTGCTAAATTTGCGTGATCCCGCCATGGCTCGAATTCCTCCTCCGCGAACGCTTCGCTCGCTCCACTTTCGTCGCGGAGTGCCAGCCGTTGCCGTGCTTCCTCGATGTGCTCCGACGAGTTTGCCATCCCATGCTGGCAGTCGCGAACCACCTGCGCGTGCGTAATGGCGACCTCGCACACAGCGCTCACCGGGGTCCTGCTCTTCTCCACCGCAGCCACCAATTTGTTTGTGTCGCAGACCACTTTGTCAATCAGGTCCTTAAGTGCCTTGGCCCATGTTTCTTGCGGCCCGTCATCCGGGTCTGGGTGCACGTTGAACTCGGGAAAGCGATCTTGCAGTTTTCCAAGACGGCGGACGAGCTTCCTCGAAGCCTCCGCAATGGCCGAAAGCTCCCGCGAGCCAACCGCTGCCGAGGGCTTCTGACAGGCGACTACTGTTGCGTGCTGTGTATAGGCCAGAAAACGCAGCCAGACGATTTTGTACAGCATCGGGCTTCTCAAGAAGTTGAGTGCTAGGAACTTCGCGACCGTCCGCACTGCAGCCCACGCGGAACTTCTTCGCCAGATCGCGCCCGAGTCGGCATTGCGGAAGCAGTCGTGTACCTTGAATGCAACTTGCGCTCCCGGGTCCGATTGCATTTCAGCACCGCAGGCACGCGGAAAAAATTCCGTGAGCAAATCTGGAGCGGGGACGCGGCAGGACGACGGTGTCCCTCGCACGCCACTGAAGCCTGCCAAAGGCACGTCGGGAGGGTCGAGCTCGATACTATGCATGGCAAACTAATGATCTGCGCGCTGAGTGGTCTAGAGCGCAGGCGCGCAGTGCGGGATAGCATCTGAGCACCTGCACCCCCAGCCTGCTTCGCATGCATCGATCGAAGCGCAGGCTTTGTTTTCGCGATTATATCAGCCGACACATACCAGCGGATCGCATGGCGCATCATGTTGCACATGCCGTGTATCAAACCGGAGGAAGCCGCATCAGAAAGCAATAAATAAACTAAAACCACTCAGGAGCTGCTTGTAGGTTTCATTTTCGTAAAAAGTCTTTTCCGACTTCACGCCGCAGAGTGGCTCGGCGGTGGCCGTCAGCTCCACGAGCGTCTTTGCAAACTGCAGCTGCATCGCCTTCTGGAACTCGATCATCGCGACCTTTGTCGGAACATTTTGCACGACGGTGCGGTCGCGAGGGGTGCCAGTGTGGACAGCGGTTGGGGTTTGGGCGTCCCACATGTGCATCTTGATCCAGGTTGTCCCTCCACAAGGAGTGTCGTCGTCAACCCGCTCCAGGACGAGAACCGCGTTTTGGGCCCGCACGTACAACACGACCACGGCATCCGGAAGCCCGCGGCCGAGGCGCCCGCGGCCGAGGCCTCTGATTTGTCGGTGTAAAGCCAGCGGATCCGGCTGTAGCTTCCCCGTCTTCTTATCGACCGCGTGCAGCTCCACGAAGCGCGTCAGCATTTGCAAATACTTGTCGAACTTCGATGTCTGGATAGTGTCATTATGCTCGGGGGCGTAAAAGTCGTCGCTTGCAAGCTGCGGCGGATTGCTGCATAGCCAGTTGTGCCCCTCCTGTCCGCGGACAAACTCCGCGAAGTGCCGCAGAAATTTTCCTGGATTCTCCTCATCTTCCGTCATTAGCGGCGGACGCAGCGCCGGAAAAAGACTGCTGTGCTGTTGCCTGGCCAGGTCGTCGCTGTTCCACTTTTCGAGGTTCTCAATCGCCTCGAGATCGCTGTCGTTCCCGGTCGCGTCCTCATCGTGGGCACAGTTTTCCCTTTTAAAAGCAGGGTCCCGCTTTACGCGCTCGTCCTGCTCGACCTTCACCTCCATCTTTGCGCTGGCTCGTGCACTAGATTATAAGCACCATAATTATGCCTTATGATGAGCGGGAATAATGCTCTTACATTTTTTTACCACACAGTCACATTCAAAGAGGTGGAAAAAAGCATTGATAAAAAGCCACTAGAGTGGTAAAGCGATTGAGCGCGCATGGCACTCACAGCGTGCCAGCGTCTGTCGATGTGTACATTACTTATAAAAAACGTACTCGTGCAGCTGCGGATTTATTCCCGCTTGTTCGCAAAACTACGATGTCCTTCGAGAAAGCCACCCTGAGTGATGTGCTCCATTTCGAAACAAGAAGAAAAAGTATCTAATGTATAGAGGACAATTGCAGCTAACCTCCTGCACGATAAGTTGGACCAGTTTGCGCATCATTCCACTTGCGATATTCCCGAAGGATACAGCTAGACTTGCAGCTCTGCTTCGCAATCAGACAAGTTCGACCAGACTTCAACAACTTTACGACGATGGCAGCACGATTCTTGTCACGACGTGGATCTCTTTGATCTTTTGTCACACAGCGCAATCTTGTGTCATCAATTACACAAAAGAACGAGTCACACCTAGGTACTTGATCTTCGTCCGCCAGTAGTCAGAAGAAATCTTTGCAACCCAAAAAAATTCGCGATGGAGCTCGTGCTCGAGGCATTGATAGTGGAGGAACGTGCTGCGTTCTCGTCTCCAGCTATTGCATGTGAGTTCTTTTTTTGCGCGTTCAGATTTCTTTGCCTGATTTTCAGTTTTCTGGAAAAAGGTGTTTCTGACAGAGATCTACTTCTTCCTTGCCCCCGTAGACTACGCCTATTCTCTGGTCAAGCTCCTGAGCCGCAATTTCCAATACACTCTGCGGCACTGCGGAAAAGGCGGGATCCACCAAACTCGCGCCGCCGGCTCGTTCTACCAAAAACGCGATGGGAGCGCACTCATACAGCAACCTGGTGCAAGTATGATTTTCAAATACTTTGAGTGTTTGCTTCTTTGTACAATCACCTCATACAAGCATTTTTGGGTTTTTTCGGACATGTAAAGCTGTGAGGTGTGCGTGCGCGCGCGCGCGCGTTTTGCGTGTTTTTGCGCGCGCGCGCGCGCTTTTTGGCGCGTTTGCGCGTGCGCGCGCGCGCGCGGAGCTGCGTTTTTGCGCGCACGCGCGCGCGCACGCTTTTAAGCCAGGTGTGTCAGATGTGTGTGTGCGCGCTTCCGCGCGCGCTGGTGTGCGCGGCGCGCGCGCGCGCGCACACGGGGACCAGGAGGAGGTGCGCGCGCGCGCGCGCTCCCGCTCGCGCTCCTGTGCTCTGCGCGCGCGCGCGCGCACACGGGGATGCGGAGGAGGTGCGCGCGCGCGCGCGCACAGGGGGACCAGGAGGAGGTGCGCGCGCGCTCCTGTGCTCTGCGCGCGCGCGCGCGCACACGGGGATGCGGAGGAGGTGCGCGCGCCCCTGTGCGCGGCGCGCGCGCGCACAGGGGGACCAGGAGGAGGTGCGCGCGCGCGCGCGCTCCCGCGCGCGCTCCTGTGCTCTGCGCGCGCGCGCGCGCGCACACGGGGATGCGGAGGAGGTGCGCGCTCCTGTGCGCGGCGCGCGCGCGCACAGGGGGACCAGGAGGAGGTGCGCGCGCGCGCGCGCTCCCGCGCGCGCTCCTGTGCGCTGCGCGCGCGCGCGCGCACACGGGGATGCGGAGGGGACGCGCGCGCGCGCGCTCCTGTGCGCGGCGCGCGCGCGCACACGGGGATGTGGAGGGGACGCGCGCGCGCGCGCTCCCGCGCGCAGACGGGGATGCGGAGGAGGCGCGCGCGCGCTCCCGCGCGCACACGGGGATGAGGAGGAGACGCGCGCGCGCACGCACGTGGATGGGGAGGAGACGGAGCAGTCCACCGCTCTTGGTGGTTGAAAAAGGTATCTGTGCGTGAAGGCTCCAAAGGCCGAGCGTTGCCAAGCTACTCCCGACGGCAGGCTTGCGCCTGAAGGACGCTCTTTCTATTCCTGTTGTCCTCCAGACGCAATGTCCTACCCGCGCTCTTGCCTGGGAGCGCGTTTCGCTTGCGCGGTTGCTTGGGTGCGTGCTTGCTTCTGTGGCCAGGTTGTTCTACTGTGGCAGGTTGATCTTGGCCCATTTCATCAACCACCGGGGGCATCAACCCCACCACCACCCCACCCACCCTCGGACCGTCCGATGCAAGCAGGAGTGATGCAAGCAGGAGTTTGCGTCGGCTGAAGGCTCAGCGGTGGGCCGTCACGAGCCAGCGGCGGAACGAGTCAGCGGCGGCTCGGCCCAGTGGCGGCACGAGTCGAGTCTGCGGCGGCTGTCACGAGGCAGCGGCGTCAGCGGCGGCACGAGTCAGAAGCGGCTGCCTGCCTGCATCTGCTCGAGCTGCCAGGCGCCGGGGGTAGGCAGGCAGCCGCCGGTGCCTCGTGGCGGAGCGGGTGTGGGTTGGGTAGTAGGGGCTGGCTCCCGGGCGTGGAGCGTGCCTGGCGCTGGTTGGTGATTGGACGTGCCTGGCGCTGGTTGAGCCAGCGGCGGCCTCCGGAGTCGCCGGCGGCCCCAGGAGTCAGCGGCGGGCCTCTAGTCAGCGGCGGCCCCACTGATCAACGGCGGCCCCATTGGTCAGCGGCGGCCCCTCCGTCAGTGGCGGCCCCTTAGTCAGCGGCGGCCCTCTGGCCAGCGGCGGCTCCTTAGTCAGCGGCGGCCCCATTGGTAAGCGGCGGCATCTTAGTCATCGGCGGCCCCTTAGGCAGCGGCGGCCCCTTAGTCAGAGGCGGCCCCATAGTCCGCGGCGGCGCCACTGGTCAGGGGCGGCCCTCTGGTCAGCGGCGGCGCTCTGGCCAGCGGTGGCCCCATTGGTAAGCGGCGGCATCTTAGTCACCGGCGGCCCCTCAGTCAGCGGCGGCCCCTTAGTCAGCGGCGGCGCCACTGGTCAGCGGCGGCCCCCCCCGGGAGTCAGCGGCGGCGCTCTGGCCAGCCGTCGGCCCCTTAGTCAGCGGCGGCCCCATTGGTAGGCGGTGGCATCTTACTCAATGGTGGCCCCTTAGTCAGCGCCGGCCCCGTGGTCAGCGGCGGCCCCTTAGTCAGCGGCGGCGCCACTGGTCACTCAGGGGCGGCCCTCTGGTCAGTGGCGGCTCCTTTGTTATGGGCAGTCCCCGAACCAGGGGCAGCGGCGCGGCCCCATTGTCAGCCCCTTAGTCAGCGGCGGCCCCTTGCTGGGCGGTGGCCCCTTCGCCAGCGGAGGCCTCATTGGTCAGCGGCGGCCCCACGAGTCAGCTGTGAGTCTGTCAGCGGCGGCCCTCCGGTCAGCGACGCTCCCCGGCGATCTCACGAGTCAGCGGCGGCCCATCGGTCCGAGGGTGTCCAAATGGGTCCATCCATGGGTCGCGGGCTGGCTGGCTGTCTGATTAAGGTGGACATGCCCTTGTCTGCCCGCCCCTTTGCCTGCGTGCCCTGCGCCTGGCCGGCTGATGTGGCTGATGAAATTGCCCGGCCCGCGAGCCAGCGGCGGCTCGGGACAGCGGCGGCTGCCTGCCTGCCCCTCCCCTCGCCTGCTCTGTGCCTGGCTAATGGTAGCCGCTGTTGTGCCTCGTAGGTGGGTGGTGGGGTTGATGCCCCCGGTGGTTGATGAAATGGGCCAAGACGTAAACCGTGAACCGCGAACAAGGACGCGCTGCTCCCGGTAGAGGTTGAAGGCCAAGCTGGGGCCCACCTGTGCCGCATCGGGCTGTGCGCGTCCAACTATCTCATGGTGGGCCCGCTCTTGGTGCGCCGCATATGGACCCGCCCTTGCTGCACAGACAAGGCTTACACCGTGCCGCATCCGACCGCAGATTCGCGCCGCGATCCAATTTATATCATGGACCTTTGTAGCCTTCACGCACAGATACCTTTTCCAAGCGACAAGAACGACTGCGAACGCTCTGTCGCCTGCGTTCGTGCGTGCGTGCGCCCGCTCACGCGCGTCTCATCCCCATCCCCGTGCGCGCGCGCGCGCGCGCGCATGAAGGTGTGCGCGCGCGCGCGTGCGCGCATGAATGTGTGCGCGCGCAGGAAGGTGTGTGTGTGTGCGTGCGCGCGTGCGCGCGCATGCGTTCGTGCGCGCCTCACCCAAGGTGTGTGCGCGCGCGCGCGCGCGCGCTCGTGCGCGCAGGAAGGTGAGCAGGAAGGTGTGCGTGCGCGCGCGCGCGCGCTCGTGCGCGCAGGAAGGTGAGAAGGAAGGCGTGCGTGCGTGCGTGCGCTCGCACGCACACCTCACACCCCTACATGTTGGTTTTTTCAGCACTTTCCCCTACATCAATCGCAAACAGCACGGCACTACGCACCAAATGACGTATAAAATGATGCTGAAAATACGACTTTGCGTGCACCCGTACAAGTTGCAAGATTTTGAGTTCATCATACCGTCGTGTTTCGCTGAAACACGACGGTATCATGAATTCACTTGCTTACAAGCAAATTTCGAGTAGACAAAAGTTTCAAAGTATATTTATAAACCTGAGTTTCGCCTTTGCGCCGGGGCTGCTGCAGTTGGTGAAGATTCCTTTTCCCTTGAAGAGGATGTGGTACACGTCGGGGACCATGCCACCGGTGTAGCGCAGCGTGTACTTTTCCTTGATCCAGTGTTGCACCAAATTCGAGTACAGCGCGTTATCCGCCGTGGCGCGGAGATTCCCCGGCGCGAACACCTTGCCGAGCTTCGGCTGGACGGCAAAACTTTTCGTTTTCCGCCAGCTGTTCTGGGCCCACGTGAACTCCACCGTGCCGTGGTTCACCGTTGCCACGGCCATGGTAATGCGGGGTCCATACATGGCCATGGCGGCCGCATGCTGCTGTTTCCCCGTCACGTTCAGCAACGTACTGCCTGGCCACACACCAAAGATGCTCCCGACCGTGAAATTAGCGTCCACAATACTGCTTCCATCCAAGGGGTCAAAGGCGACGGAGTAGTGGGGCGGACCTGAGTTTTTTGTACACAGATTTGATTAGCAAAAAATGTTGAACTTCTTTGTACAGATGCGGAACGTGGTAAGTACATGGTCATGCGCATACAAAGGTGAGTAAGTACCTTCCATCGACACCTCCTCGGTGGTTTCTTCGCTGGAGGCTACCGCCGCTAGACCCTTGAGCCGTTGAAAGACAACTTTATCCGACGAGACGTCCACCGACAGCTGGACATCCCCGAAGGAGTTTTGCGTCCCCACCGCCTCCGCTGCGAACTCCGCACCGCCCTCGCGGAGTCGGACCCCGATGTCCACCACCGACTTCGCGATGGCACCGAGCACGGCCGTCAGCTCCGGCGAATTCGCGTCGTCGCCAAACGGCAGCACGCCGGCGCCCGGCACGTCACCTGGCGCAGACGGCGAGGAGGTCATCTTCTTCGTGGTGTGGTCTTCTGCTGTTTTTGAGACAGCTATCTCTACTCGCTTCTTGTTCTCATTATGCCCGCATCAACAAAAAAGATTCATTCGCAGAGTGGGATTGTATGAACAGTACGGACACACATCAGTGCCGTGCTTTACTTCCGGATCAGAGACACCATTCGATAATCAGAAGTGCAAAACTGCCCACGGATATGTCAACAGCCGGTCACTGACGATTTCTGTTGGCCCAGATTTGAAATTCGCGTTTTCGGTAAGGCGCACTTTCCAAATTTTTCGTAGTGGCACTAGTACTGTCAAACCATGTAATAGCTGATACGTATTCAGGATCGCGACTTGGAATAGGAATGAGGGAGCGATCTTTCCAGTACCTGCAGCACTAAAGATGCAGCTCCGAACTTTGACTTCTGAAAAAATGTCGCACTGTATCGGTTGAGGAATGAGTCCCGAGTAAGTAGATAAATATCTTGTCCCTGATCGACGTCCTTGTTTCCGCACATCAAAATCCGCCAGCAAACTCCTGTTATCGCAATGTTCAATTAGAACCCTGCATCTGCGGCTGCTTTGTCGTTCTCACCGGATGACACCGCTTTTGTCTGCACGCCATCTTCAGCTAATCCGAGTTTTCGTGATCGCAGGTACCGCACGGTACGCATGAAGCGACTGGGATCCTGCTGCACCACAGCTCGAACGAGGTCGACGACTTCCGGCAGGCCGGGGCGTTTATTCTTAGGACGCAACTTGAGAAAGAAAACGCAGGCATTGTCGAAATTGAGCTCCGCACACTCCACGAGCTCTGCGCATTGTCGCGCATTGGACCCGTCGGCGGAAAGGAAATTGCTCTCCACAAAGTCACGCAATTTTGGAAGCAGCTCAAACCAGAGGTCCAGAATCGCACGAACCTGCGGAATCCAGCTTGGTGATAGCGCTTGCTCGGTTAAAATTTTTGCATATGCATCGACGGTATGGCTTTCCTCGTCTGCGGTTGCTTGCAGGAGTACTGCTTTGTTGAGGAACGTGTGCGCAATAGAGGCAACGTCTTAGAGAAAAAAATTCATTTCCTTGCCGGTTTGCAGTCGGTTTCGCTGTTTTCTTACGACGTCACTTGTTTCAGAGCCAAGCTCCGCAAAAATGGTCTGCTTCAAACTGGTCGCACGGCTTATCTCATGCGCAGGACTCTGAATCGAACCAAACAAATGCTCCGAGGTATCACCCGCAACTTTATCGTTTGAGGCGAACTTCTGCAGCATTGACCCTTCAGCACTGCTCGAACGACCAGGTTCATCGGCTGCGAAGCGGCCTGGCTCTCTTCGCAAGCAATCCCAGTTCCTGTTCACATTGGTTCGATAGAAGTTGACTGAGTGAAAGGTGTCGACAATGGCATTGCGCAACTCGAGCAAGGCAGGTCGTAGGAGCAGCCTGGGGCTGGTTTTCTCGACCCCACCATCAAGGGAGTCAGTTGCGTCCAGGTAGAAGAAGGGAAATTCGAACACCTGCAGCGCAATTGGGTCGCAGAGGTGGCTTCGTAACGCGGTAGCCACCCCAGAAACTAAACTCACAGCGAGATTCATACTGGGAGCGTCGCAGTCTTTAAAGACGACCGTCCGGTAGCCGTGTAGCCTCACGAACGCGAAGAAGTTCTTTGCGGAGAGCTCTAGCGGATCGTTAAGGCTGCCGCCACCAGCAGTGGCAGCTGCTTCCGCTGTCTCAGTGTTGCCGGAAGTTCGCGCGCTTTCGCCAGAATCGTCGCGCGGAAACGGCTGCAGCGTAATATTGGAAATCAGCAAGTCGGTGTGGTGCGGTTTTGCAAAGTCGGCGAAAGCGGTACGAATCTCGCTTTGCAGTTCCGCAAGTGTGAGATCCCGCCTGGAGAGGGCGGCCGCCAGACGATGCTGCTCATCTCTTTCTTTCGTATCGAGCACTGCAAAAGGCTGCGCGCTTCTTTCTACCCGTGCACTGGTAGAGGTGCATGCACTTTTGTTCGGATCATCCACCCAGGCAGGCGCTGCTGCACCGTTAGTCTCCAATGGCTTCCAGGTACGCGGGCAGTGGGGCTGCAAGACATTGTAACAATTCAGGTACTTCTGTCGCTCCGCTGCACCGCCCCGTCCGATCTTTTTCACCCTTTCCTCCACCATTTGCAGCAGGGTGGAGTCTTTTTTGTCCACGACGCGCTCCAGCAACGAGGAGTAGTTTTTGTCAACCCTGCGGGCGCAGCGCACTGTAAAAGCAATTTCGTCCACTTCCTGCTTCCGCTCCGGCGTGTTGAACCTCAACCACCAGGAGTCCAGGAGAACAGTCAGCATCTTCGCATCCGCTCGGTAGCAGGCAATGCTGAATGCCGTGTTTCCCCAGGACTTTTCCTGGAACATCGGGTCGGCCCATTGCAACCACGGCTCCTCGTGGTTCGTCGTGCGCGCAGCGTGTTTTTCGACCAGAAAGCGCACGCACTCCAGGAACCCTTGTTCGCAACAGAAATGCAACAACGTCTGGCCGCCGAAGCATCGTAGCTGCATTTGCGCAAGTGTATGGAAAAACCGCGGGTTCTGCTGGTCTCCGGTCTGAAAGTACATTTTCAGCATTTCCACGAAGAAAGGATCCTGCAGCGCAGCCTGCAGCACGCCAGGGTCGTCGCCGTCTTCGAGAAGATCGAACTTCTCCCCGATCACGGTCTGGACGACATCCATATTCGTAGCAAAGTGGGAGGTGACCACGCGTCGATCTGAAATGTCATGGATCACCCGGTGCCAGACGCCGTCCTTCAATTCGGACGCTTTGTCCACCAAGCCGTCTGACCTGGTGTCATGCTCCTCGCCGCGTGTGTCGTGATGAAGCTCCGACATTTTTACAGAGCCGCGATTGTTCATCTGCACTTCGGCAAACTGATTCTTGTGCTTCCCTCCACCTCGGCCCTTCCCTTTCTTTCCAAAACCCTTGGCGTTTCGCCGTTCGCAGCGGGTGTACGCAGCAAGGAGCTCGGTGGGCGGAATCCAGCGATAGCAAATCCAGCGGTAGGGCTTGCCTTTAGATTGCGACCCATGCGAGTCATGCGTGAGGAACTTTTGGCCGCGCTCCATCGTTTCCCTGCACAGTTGAAGATCATTGGCGATGTCCCGCGAGGCGGCGTGCCCAAACAGGGCTTCGACACAGTTCGTCAAGTACGAACTGCCCAAGGAACATATGCTCGCGGCGTCCATCTTTTTCTTTTCAAACTCCTGGTGCACGACAAATGCAAATTTTTCTATGCATAGCTTGCGAATAGAAAGAGCAGATTTACTTGTGCTGTCTTCGTCCAGAAACCTGTGGCTACAACTTGGCGGGAAGAGCGACACTTCGTTTCCACACAAAGGAGCATATTCGTAGCGGAAGCGTAAACCCTGATCACAAGGAATGAAATCTAATTTCTTACATCCGTAAAGACAAGATCCTCCTACTTGCCATGAACCGCTGTGATCGCTACAACGAAAGATCTTGCTCAATGAATCATAGATCAGTCACGAATTCCCGCGCCTTCCTACTTACCAAGGACATACGTATAGGCGAGAACAAAACCCAACTACCAGAACTGCAACTTTTTCTGCGACCGAGAACGAACAACAAAGAGCCGCCTGGTCAGAAAGAGAACAGTCTTTCTCTTGGTTGTGATGGTGACGCGTCTGGTTCCAATTTTTCACTCTCGATTCAGCGTCAAGCCTGACAGTCAATGAGCGTCCGAGTTTCTAACACCGGGAAGACATCGCAGCTCTTGCCGTCATCACAAACCCCCCTCGTCGTCACTGCTGCTCAGCTCCACCACATCCCCACCCGTCGACGCAAGATCTTCCCAGTGCGGCGCGTGCGCGGGCGGGACGGGAAACCCGAGATCCTCGAGAGCAATCAAAAACGCCGCCAGCGCGTTTGCGCCCTGGTTCTTCCGCGTCCTCAGGCCCGGCAGCGCGGAATGCGTGAAGAAAATCAAGCAAAAGCGCTCGCCTTCAAACGGCATAGTCCCGTGGATGTGCTCCCGCGCGTCGAAGCGGCGGGGGGTGTTTTCGACACAGAACTCGCGACCGATTATGTACTTGCCGCCGCAGGGGGCGCTTCCAAAGAATTTTGGCCATCGTTCCTCCTTGCCGTACATGCGCGTTTTCTCGGCGGGGCTCTCGACGATGCTCTTCGGAACAAACAAACGAACGACCCGCCCGTCCTCGGGCTCGTGGACTAGCGCCAAATCAGCCCGGTGCTTCACGTCGCTGAGCGTCAGTGCAGGATCGTGCACGAAAAGGCCGCCACCAACAAAGTCGCCCATCGCGATCACGCAGCTATCGCCGATGTTTCCACTATCCCGGTGCGGGTAGGTGAACGCGTTTTTGTAGACGTTGACGGAACTGTAGGAAAACTTCTGGTTGGAATTTGGCTGGACAGCAGCTTCTTGCCCTTTGAGGCGAACAGTTTGGATCTGGTTAAGCAGGCGGCAGAAGAACTCGTTCACCAGCACACAGACCGGCCGCCCGCTGGCTGCTTTCATCTTCGCCGTGTCCTTTGTCAGTGTACATCCATGGCAGTAGTCACGCGTCGCGCCAAACGTGATGCTTTGCGTCATGACTTTGCTTTCGCCGGCACGGGTTTGCCGCAGGTCCTTTCCCTTCACCGAGTTCTCGCCTTTTTTGTTCTTCGCAGTGAACGTGTCGCGAAGGAACATGATGGTTTGTTCGAGTGAAAGGCTCTTTCTATCGCTTTCCGCTGGCGCCGGAGCTGGTGGTGAGCTTTCCGCAACTGTGACAGGTTTTGAATGCACAGTGTCTGGCACTGGTATTCGATTAGGACTAGCACGCACTGATTTCCCGGACAACATGTCAGAAAGCATGCTGACTGCTACGAACATCACCTCCTTCCTCCCATTCAACGGCTTCCTCCCAGCTACCCCTGTCTGCAACGCTTGGAGACGATTAGCAACCTGCCTTTTAGTCTCATCTATCAGTTCGTAGCAACGCGCTTCGTCCGAAAGCGACACACGAGACTTCTGCAGCAATTTTGTAACACCAGTCGTCAGAAGACCACGGTCCAGCAGCTTAACGCAGTGCAACAGGCCTGCAGATACATCATACGCGTCCTCTAGTCGGCCCCAGTAAATATACTCGGTTGTCGAAACTAGACCTAGAGCGACTAGCCAACCGCGTAGAGCGAAATACGTATGCTGCTGTTCCTTCGTCCGACCCGTATCGGACCTTCTCCACAACTGAAACCGCGACCAGACTTCCATGCCGGAATCACAATGGGCCTTGAATTTTTTCTCCAATTTGGTTAATCTGCAACCGACGGCACCACCGTGCTTCTCGCCGTGCTTGTGCAACACATCCGAGAGTACCATATGGGGAAGATCCTCAAGAGTGCGAATAGCGCTCTGCCATTCCGAAAGTTCCAGGTACGAGGAATCGCCACTTCCACTCCATGAATATTCCAGCGCCACGCCTTTTGTAACGCGCCACAGTTCCTGGGGCGTGCGCTTTTCGAAAGAAACTTTCAGGCTGGCCGTTGTTAAAGCTTGAGCAAATTCCGCCACAGCGCGACTTCGACAGCCTTCAGCATCGACGGGCGCGGACAAGAGCATCAGAAGCTTGCAAGCTTCACTAGTGGCGTCAGGGACTATTTCCGTCTTTGCCAAGAGCCAGGTAGTTGTTGTTTTTTGCAGAACGCCGAAGTCCAGTAACAATCTTCGAATCCCACTCAAGTGCAGACTACTTTCGTCATCACCTTTTTGTCCCGCCGAGTCACTTTCGGTGCCTTTGGAGCCCCCAGCAGTGTTCTTCGAGCTACTGCTATCGGCGCTAGGGTCTCCGGACTCAAACTGCTGCAACACCTGCTCCCGAAGCGTCGTAGTCCGTCCACAAATTCTGATGCTCTGCGCTGCCAGCTTCGCAAGCTCAGGCGGCAGTGTCGCGCTGGACATCAGTCCTGCAACAGTGACACAGAGATCTTCCAGCTTTGCACCCCGAAAAGGAAAGCGGTCGCGGTTTCCGAACTCATCCTGCTGCCACATCTCTCGGAGCGTTGTACTTCGTCCACGAATTTGGATGCTCTGCGTTGCCAGCTTCTCAAGCTGAGTCGGCAGTCTACCGCCGGAAACTAGTCCTGCAACAGTAGCACAAAGCTCCTCCAACTTTGCACCTGGAATAGCAGAGCACGCGTTGGGGCCGTCGGACCTGTTCGGCTCGCTGGTGGTGCGCAGTGGAGATGCAGGTGCAACTAGTACGCCCGTCGCGTGCGCTTCTTTCTTCGCACGCTTAGCGGACGGCTCTCCGATGGAGCGCTGCAGTAGGTTCGATTCCGCGCCGGAGCCCTCCTGTGCCGGTCGGAGCGCGCTGCTTCGTATCGGCTGAATGCCGTCGAAAAACTTCGTGAACTCCTCCAACGAGACATTGAATTGGCCCTGGGACAAACCACCCAGGACTTCCTCTGTAACGTTCTTTGGGCCTTCCAGCTTCAGAAACGCCTCCAGCCGGCTTTGCCAGTACATGCGATTTTCCCGGGGAATTGACATGTAGTGCTCAATCGTTCCAGCTTCCCGAGGCTTCCGCGCTATCTCGAAAATAGCCAAAAACTTTCTAACGCGGTCGCTGCAAATGCAAAGCCTTCCGTCTACTCTGCTTTTTTCGTCGGAGAAAATAGAGGTGCCTTTCTTGAAGAACATCCCTCTCGTGCGCTGTGTTGCGTGCTTCTCTTTGCTTATTCGGTAGTACGTATCCATTATCGTGAAGAGCGTCTCGCCGCCAACGGTGCCCCGGACTCGTGTGCAAATCGCGTAGACATCGTCGCGCTTGACCTTTTGCCCCGCGTCCTGGAAGCAGGTCTGTCCGATGTCAAGTTGGTCTGCGTGGGAGTCCAGCTCTTTCAGCGTCGACCTAATTTCATCCGCCGTTGGAATCTCCTGACCTTCAGCGAAGTACGAAGCTGGTACTTCGTCACGTTTCAGCAGCTGTGCCATGAACTCAACGATCTTCTCACCGCGCATGTCCTTATTCTGAGCAGCCTCGAGCGTATCACTGAGAAGTACTTTCCCAGTGGCCATGCTCATGAGCAAGGCGAGGCGACGCTCCGCGCGTTTTGTCAGAACGACTCGAAGCTGCGTCGGGACACCCATATCCTCTGCGCGGTCAAGCAGCTCGTGGCGCATCCGCGTAATTGAGTCGACTTCGGGAAAACCCTCCGCGCGTCCATGATTGCGCAGTCGCTGCAGCTCGTCTTTGAGCGAAACCGTTACGCACGCCCGCTGTTCTTTCCCGAACGTCAGTCCCGATTCGCTGAGCTCCCGCTCGATCAAGACAACTTTCTTGCTTTTGCTCACGTCATCTCCCTTCTTGCCTGTCACCCAGGATGCATACACCGTGCACCACCAGAGAAACAGGCGCATAAATTCCTTCTCATCCTCCGGAACATACATTTTGATTTTTGCGAATTGGTTGGTACATTGACTAGACGATGAGAATGAGATTCGGGAAAAGAGATATAGCTAAATCAAAATGTTCGAAGCGATTGATCCGACAGGGACGATCAGAGAGATCAATCTCTTTCCAGCAAAGATCTGTTCATAAGTTGCGCACTGTTACTTTTCTTACAACCTCAGAGAGAGTGGCGGTTTTTCTAAATGCTTATGCTTCCTCCTAGGCAGCGGGTAGTGCCTAGGTGCCACGAAAAGGATCTTGAAATCTTTCTGACGAAAAAATACGCGGATCGGTGGTCGCCAGATAATATGATCGAGTAAAGCATGGTTGTGACACGACATAGACATCATCGCCGCTGTACCTGCGTGACCATGACTCAATAGATTCAAAGGCCAACACGACTGATGGAAAGTCAAAGTCGAGATACTAGTCAGAATGACAAAAACCTGACTCGTGCGGCTCAATCGTGGCCGTGGCACAGCATTTCTTCTCAAAAATTCTGCCACGACGACACTTCACAAAACACACAGATCTGCGCCCCTTGGACTTCTCCATATTGCCATGCGGTTGCGGACTGAAGAGATTACTATGCCATGTTGACTGAATGAGAATGGAAACGTCACAGATGAGAGGCGGAGTCAGTTAGGATCGCAGGCTCTCTCCCCCCCGGAGGGTGAGTAGCTATTTCTCCTCAAAATTTGTTGCCTCAGTGTCGAGCCTCACAGTCAATGAGAGTCCGAGTTTCTAGCACCAGGACACTCATCACAGACCCCCTTCCTCGTCACTGCTGCTCAGCTCCACCACATCCCAACCCTCCCAATACGGGGCGTGCGCGGGCGGTACGGGAAACCCAAGGTCTTCCAAGGCAATCAAAAACGCCGCCAGCGCGTTTGCGCCCTGGTTCTTCCGCGTCCTCAGGCCGGGCAACGCAGAATGCGTAAAGAAAATCAAGCAAAAGCGCTCGCCTTCAAACGGCATGGTCCCGTGGATGTGCTCCCGCGCGTCGAAGCGGCGCGGGGTGTTTTCGACACAGAACTCGCGACCGATTATGTACTTGCCGCCGCAGGGGGCGCTTCCGTAGAATTTTGGCCACCGCTCTTCCTTGCCGTACATGCGCGTTTTCTCGGCGGGGCTCTCGACGATGCTCTTCGGAACCAGCAACCGCACGACCCGCCCGTCCTCGGGCTCGTGGACTGGCGCCAAATCGGCCCGATGTTTCACGTCGCTGAGTTTCAGTGCAGGATCGTGCACGAAAAGGCCGCCACCAACAAAGTCGCCCATCGCGATCACGCAGCTATCGCCGATGTTCCCACTATCCCGGTGCGGGTATGTGAATGCGTTTTTGTAGACGTTGACGGAACTGTAGGAAAACTTCTGGTTGGAATTTGGCTGCGCGGAAGCCTCTTGTTGTCCTTTGAGACGAACAGTTTGGATCTCGTCGAGCAGGCGGCAGAAGAACTCGTTCACCAGCACACAGACCGGCCGGCCGCTGGCTGCTTTCATCTTCGCCGTGTCCTTTGTCAGTGTACATCCATGGCAGTAGTCACGCGTCGCGCCAAACGTGATGCTTTGCGTCATGACTTTGCTTTCGCCGGCACGGGTTTGCCGCAGATCCTTTCCCTTCACTGAGTTCTCGCCTTTTTTGTTTTTCGCAGTGAACGTGTCGCGAAGGAATCCGATGGCTTTCTGGAGAGTTTTCTTTCTATCCCCGTCCGCTGCCGATAGAGCAGGCGGAGGTGAGCCTTCCGCAACTTTGAGAACTTTTGACGACCCAGCGTCGCCTGGCGCTGTTTCGAGAATTGGAGGATCACCGGCTGTGAAACCGACCAGCATCTCGCCAAGCATGTTGACCGCGCACAGGATCCTTTCGATTCTTTCATCTACCCCGCGTTGACGCCTGTTCGACTCCATGATTTGCCTTCTAGTTTCTTCTAGTACCTCACGGCACCGCAGTGCGTCCGATAGAGGCGGCACCGACTGCAACAGTTTTGGAATGCCCGTCGTGACAAGACCACGGTCCAGCAAGCGAACGCAGTGTAAGTGGCCTGCAGCTATCCCTAACTTGTTTGCCTTACTTATTCGCACAAGCTTCCTCGTGGTCTTCGACACTACACCTAGCGCGAGTAGCCAACCCCATAGGGCCGAATGCGTGTACTGCTGCTCCGCTGTGCGACCCGTATCAATCCTCCTCCACAACTGAAAGCGCGACCAGACATTCTTTCCGGAATCAAATATCTGCTTGCATTTTTCTTCAAATCTTTTCAGGTTGATGCGAACGCGCCCACCCTCCTTTTCGCTGTCCCTGAGTAGGAAATCTGACACCGCAAGGCAGGGAAACTCCTCCAGCGTGCGAATGACGCTTTCCCATTCCGACAATTTCAGGCTCGAGGAATCGCCATCGCTAGCCGATTTGCCACCAAGCGCAACGCGTTTTGCAACGCTCCAGAGTTCCTTTGGAGTGCGCTTTTCGATAGAAACTTGTCGGCCGGCGGCTACTAAAAGGCGGGCGAATTCCGATGCAGTACGACTTCGGCAGCCCTCCGCATCGACGGGCGCAGACAGGAGCAGCACAAGCTTGCAAAAATCACTAGTGGGACCCGGAACAACCTCGTTTTCAACCTTGCGCCAGGCATTATTAGCCGTTGTCTTTTGCAGGACGCCGAAGTCCAGAAGCAAACGCCGAATCTCCGTCAGGTGCGGGTTTTCTTCATCTTTTTTCTGCGGCGCCGCATCACTGCCCTGCCCTGCTTCGGGGCCCGCAGCATTGTTCTTCGAGCTACTACTAGACGAGGAGCCCGATTTTTTTCCAAACTCGCCCTGCTCCCACATCTCGCGGAGCGTCGTAGGTCTTCCACGAATTAGAATGCTCTGTGTTGCGAGCTTCTCAAGCTCAGTCGGCAGCTTAGCGCCGGCATTCAGCCCTGCGACAGTGACGCAAAGATCTTCCAGCTTTGCGCCTGGAAATGGGAAGCGCTCCCTGGGACCGAGGGACATCTTCGGCTCGCTAGTGTGTTTACGAAGGAATCCACCACCGGCATGCAGACTCAGGTTTTGCGAAGCTCTGCCTGGTGCCGATGCAGGGGTCGCTTCTTGTGTCACTGTCTGTTTCTGCCCCAATTTAAGGCGTTTTGCCTGGGGTGAGCATGCTCTTGCGGCCTCCCAAGCAAGCCCACGCACGGCATCAGCTCCTCCTTCTGCCTCCTCGCCACATAGGTGTGGCGATCGGGTCCTCCTTTGCTGCTTTTGCACTTCCATTTGCCGGTGAACACTCTGGCTACCTCTTTCCTGCACCGTCCCGCTGCCTCTGCTGCCGTTGCCACGACTTTCGTTTTTGCTTCCACAAGCAGTGCCGCTACTCTTTGTGTCTACTGCGCGGAAGTGGCCTTCAACTTTTGCATAATTCACAAACGAGAGACTCTCGAGCTGGATTTTTTGACTCAAGGCGGGCTCCAGTCCCGAAGAAGGTGCGGTCGAAGACAACATGGCAGCGTACCTGTCGTCCAGGAATCGCGAGAACTCTTCGAGGCAAACACTGAACTGTCCTTGTCCTGTGAGCTTTCTGCTGCTGTCCATCTCCCTGTAGTTCAGCATCTCGCTGAACTTGTCCCCGAGAAAATCCTTCACCGGCTTCAGATCTCTTTTGGGATTCTCTCCGTAGATGCCAGACTTGCAGAATTTGTCAAATTTCGTGTGCCAGTACTTGCGATATCCGGGACCGAAATAGCTCGGAACTGGATCGATGCCTCCTGCATTCACCACATCGAAGAAGGCAAGCAGCTTCTTGATCCGAGTACTGCAAATGGTGACGCGATTCTGCTGAAGATCCGTACTGCAGGTAGCGCCTCGGTTATGCTGCGGGCCGCCTGCGAAAGCAACGGACTCCAGCTTTGCTCCATCGTCTTTGATGTTGCTGCTGGTAGCCTGTCCCGCTCCAGCTTGCACCCGCTTTTTTTGCACTTGGCGCTGCCTACCGCGAAAGGCAGCCGCTGCACTCCGACAAAACGGATATGTGGCGCCTTCGTGTCCTGCAAGAATATACTCCGTTTCCATGATCCTGAATAATGTTTGCGCCCGAGCCTCGCCGCAAAGACGAATACACGCACAGTAAACATCGTCACGGGTCGGCGCTGTCTTTCCGCTCATGTCCCAATCTAGATCGTCTGCGTGATTGCTCAGATTGCCGATCGCCGCACTTATTTCATCCAGCGTTGGCTTTTCTTGATCGCAATGAAAGTAGTCGCCCGGCAGCGGGCGTTTGCTCAGAAGCTTGACCAAAATCTTGACGACGCCGTCACCCGACGCTTTCTTTGCAGCCACCTCTCCAGTCGCGTCCTGGAGAAACAAGCGACCTTCGGCCAAACTGAGCAGCAGTGCTGTTTGGCGTTGTACTTTTTTACCCTTCTCCGCATCAATTTCCCACCCGGCCTTGGTCAGTAAAGTTTTTCGCATCTGATACGCTGGATCCACCGTGAAGCCCTCTGCCCTACCGACATCTAGCAGCCGAGCAAGCTCCTGTGCAAAAGAAACCTGAATGCTCTTGGTGGCGGCACCAGCGAAACTCAAACCGGCCTCGCTCAGCGTGTTCTCCAAGAACTTAAACGTCCTAGTCGGCTTGAAACCCGCGCGCGATACTCTTGATCGCCCATCTGTCCACGCAATGTAGACTTCGAGCCACCAAAAAAAGAGCTCCCAGAACGCCTCGACGCTCTCCGGATAAAACATCGTTTTTCTTTCTCACTTTTTGCGTTTTGAATATATGATATTTTGCTCTACTGTGACGCACACCGCTGTAAAAGGAATCAAATTTACGGGATGGGACAGCAACGACTGGACTCACGAGCGCGTGTGCCTGTAGGCAATTTCTTGCAGAGAAGATCAAGCAAGCTTTGGTCAACTGTCCTGTACAAGAGTGATCAGAACAAAACAAAAGCGTTGATGTGCTGTCTAACTCTATTCATTACAACAACCTCAATTTATTTATTTATTTAGAATCGCTTCAAAGAAGCGCGCTAGCCAACCGGCAAAGCCGATTATGGCAGCGAGTGGTGGTCTTTCTCAAAGGTTATAATGCCTCCTCCTACGAAGACGATACCTGGATCAAGCAGAGAGGATCTTGAAATCTTTTTCCAAAGGACAGATACGCGGATCAGTCGTCGCAAGATCATATCGAGTGCAGCATGGTCGTCACACGACATAGACATATCGCGATCGCCAGTGTACCTGCATTACCAACACCATGACTAAACAGATTCAAAGGCAAACACGACTTATGGAACAATTGGAAAGTCGAGATAGCCAAAATGACACAAACCTATCTCGCGCGGCTCAATCGTGTGCCTGGCAACACGGCATTTCTTCTCAAAAATTCGTTTTCGTTCATGAAAGCCCTTCACAAAACACACAGATCTTCGTCCTCCTCATCGAGCTCTAAATCGAGCGCATCTGCTTGCATTCCGTCGACCACGGACTTCATGTTGTTTAGTCCGGACACTTCTTCCAAAATTCGGTTGTCCTCAACGCACTTGCGGATGAAGCCCATCCCCTCCGTCTCATACGCGTTCCGAATCTGCGGCGAGCAGCACACGCACTGTGCGAACGGCTCTGTTTCTAAGGGAACCAGCCTGTAGTCGGACAAATAGCCGCGGATTTGATCTGGTACCTTTCCAAGCAGGCTGTCCTCCTTCTGCGCCTCGAAGCCTTGTGGGTGCTGTGACAGCGCTGCGACCAGTTCCGACGCGAGGGCGCTCGCGAGTCCGCTCACGCCCGGACGCACGACGGTGCACTGTCGGTCCAGGGTGCGTTCCTTCAGACTATCGGTGGGGGCGGAGACGTCGTTACAGAAGTAGCAGGCGCGTTTGGCAGCACCTTGGATTTGGAACAATTATTGTCGTGTTTTTCACTGCAATCCAATACAGAAACTTTGGTTTTCGTGTCGCAAGGGAATGTCGTTCGTTTTCTACTTCCATTCAGAATCAAGCACGAGCATGTCGATCTTGTACCGCAGCTCTGCGTCATGACGAGGAAGCTGTCGAAGCCGAGCGCGACGGTGAGTCCCAGCACGGGTCGCTTCGAGGCCGCGACCAGGAGCGAGGGCAGCCACCGACTCTCCCGCGAGTCGGTCAACATGCAGATCACGTCGTGGCTGTCGATCAATTTTTGCAACTTCTCGATGTTTTCCTCGCTGTAGCTGTGCGAGTGCCCAGGCATCGGGATCTCCAGCTGAACGGCGCCGCCCTCCAGCTCCGGCATCACGTCCTTGGCGCGGGCGAACGCGGCTTCCGCCTTGGGCCGCTGGTCCACCGCGTCCTGGTGCGTGAACAGGCTTTGCCGCACAGGGTTACTGAAATTCACGATGCCTGGCGATGGGACAAGGTTTCGCAAATCCTGCACAAGAAGGCAGCTCTTGTCTCGGTGGTCTAGGAGGTAACCATAGATACAAAACCAAAAGCAAAACAAGAAAAAGACTAAGTTGTCCAAAGCTTTTTTACCTGAATCCAAAAACGTGATGTGTCGCACGCCCCAGCCAAGCAGGTTTCGCGCCAGCGCACAGCCGAGAGTACCGGATCCCAGCATGAGGAAGCGCAAATCCTGCATCTTCTCGGGCTCGAGGTCCGGTACCAAGCGCCATTTCATCAGCTTGATATTCAAGTCGACGGCGCTCTTCGCTATTGCAGCCGGGTTCAACCACTGCGCGAGGTCGACTTGCCGCACGACTGAAGTGCCCTGCTCGTTTTTCAGCCAGCTGTAGTTTTGAATGTTATAATGTATGATGTTGAAGATCGCATTCTCGTTGCTCGTGCAGAGTTATAACGATACAACAGGATCATGAAGGGCCAATGACAGCAATGAAACTAACAAGTAGGAAGCAACTCTTCTATCTATCTATACCCCGGAGAAAAGTTCTTCTCCGGGCACTTTTCCCTGTCTTTGTCGGTCGGCTGTGCGGCAAATCGAACCGTCAAGCGCTTTGCCCCCGCACCCTTCTGCACGACGACGCACTGCGTGGAAAACTTCGTTCCCCCTTCCCCCTCCGCTTTTGTCCGAAATGTTTTGCCGCCGTCCAGCCACAACAACGTCAGGACGTTCCGGAACCCGGAGTCATACGTATCATTCTCACCGCTGTCGAAATAGACGAGAAACTTTTCCTCTGCACTGCTCCCGTTCGCGACAAAGGCGCGCACCCCAACTTGGCCCGGAGCTTTGCTCGACGAGCTTGAAGAAGAGGAGGATGGTGCGAATCCCTTGATGCTTTTCAGCACACCCTCGTCCTTTTCTTCCTCTCTGCCGACCAGTTCCGGATTGGCTGGACACTTCACGAAAGGGAACCCGAGCGTGTAGAAGAAGTGGTACTTCTTCAAGTCCGCGAAAGTCACAAACACCGACGGCTGAAACAGTTCCCCTTTCACGAGACCTCCCCACAGGCTTTTCTGCGCGTTCTCTAGCATGTCCTGCCGATCGTACCGCCGAAATTCCTCGATGGTGCTCATGTTGCGCAAAACGCCGGCCTGCCATGGCGGGACAGGCTGGGCGAAGGAGTTGTAGCTGATTTGAGTTTCCTTTTTTTCGACAGGATTTTTAGAAAGCACAGACGTGAACATCAGCAAGAAAAGCAGCCGCGTTATCTAGTACATGCTCCTCACCAGCAACTTCCGATAGATACCTGAACGACGCCTTCGAGGGTGCAAATAGGATTTCCGAGCGGAGTTCCGTGGGTTTGTCACCGTCCAACCGCCATTCGTCCAGCTTCAGCCTGGCCAGCTCCTGCCAGAAGGTCGGGTCCACCGCCGGAGCATAGCTCCCGATGCTCCACTTCAGCGTAGACGGTCCGGAAGTCATCTTCGCTTTGTCGTTCTCCTGTTCGGCGGGCAAATTTAGTCCAATACTCCCCGGTGTCGGCATGCGTTCTTACAGCGAAACTTTTTCACTACGCAGCTGTTGTGGCGAGGCTCCTGGCGATTATCTTTATGTTTATTGTCAACAACCACAGGTCCTACAGCAGGTTTCCATATCTTTATCTTCAGTGCTTCTTTATCTTTTTTCACTTGCTGGCAGGCGTTATTTCGCTCAGACAAAAGCGCCGTGTTCATATTATCGGCTTCTGTTTATTTCGCGACACTTTGTAGTGACTACTCGACAAGGAGAAGGCGCACGCACGCTCAAACGACGTTCAGGTAGTGCCAGAAGGCAAGGCCAAAGAAGCAGTCCCATCTTCGTATCAGATTGCTGATGAAGTGCCTTGTTGGCATTGCAGAATATCATCTACATGCGCCTTTTGGGCTTTCTATTTGTATCACGTCGTGTCAGAATCTCGGATTTTCAAAGACGCCTCCATCAGTTTTTGTCCTGGATTCTCTCGGTGTAATCGGCGATTATTTCTATTCTTGCATATTGTTACTAGTTTGCTACGTTAATTTTCATCATCATCTAGAATTTTCAGAGACATGCAAATCCTTACAGCATGCGTTGTAACGCGGTTTTGCTTCTATTCTTTGTAAACTGTAAACTGGTTTAGTCTCGACGTCTACTTTGTATCTCCAAACACATAAATTGACATTTCAAATCTACGAACTTGTTGGTGCTGGCCTGCCCACAATTCCGATACCGCCGGCCGCGTAGTCGCCGGTGGGCTTCGTGTCTTCTGTGGCGTGAAACTGGTACTTCGGGGCTTTTGGGGGACGCGGCTCCTTTGAGGGCTGTTGCTGACCAAGTGCGGAGGTCTTGCTGTGCAACGCGGAATCTTTGCTATCGATGTTCGCCACGACACTGTCTGCCCGCACTTGCACTACTCCCTCCTTGCTGCTAGACGAATTGTAGGAAGCAAATTCTTTGCTGTCCGGTGCGGAGTTGTTGCTTCGCACTGTGTCCTTGCTGTTTACCGGGGAAATTCCTTCGATTGGCTGCAGAGCATTGTTAACATTTTGAAAATCGGTCGGAAGCGACGTTGACCGCTCGGGCGACATCCCCTGCTGCTGCACCCAGCGTGGCTCCCGTGAAAAGCACCGAAGTAAACTCCCGAAAATTTGTCCGCCCACATCCAGCTCTGGTTCGTGCTTCAACTTGTAGTTAGCACCGTTCTGCACACTCCACTGCATCTTGTCCTTGTCATTCGCAGAGGAATTGTTCGTGGTGCTGACCGCTGGCAGAGTCACAGCACCGTTTGCCGGGGGCGCCGCTGAAGATCCGGAGCTTGGCGTCTCCGGTGGTCTCTTTGCCGTCGAACTTGCACTTGTAGAGGCAGGATCCGCTTTTTTTGGGTCCGTCACTGCGGAAAAAGCGTTCGCTTTGAACTCTCGAACCTCAGCGGCAGCTGCTGCAAATTTGCCGTCGTTTGCTTGTTGCGGGTCACCACTGGAATCTTCAGGCTGGACAGGTTGTACCTGCGGTGTTCATAATTTTTGGTAGGGTGTCCAATTCCCTACTCGTTTTCCTTGATTTTAATGGCGAGGAAACATGCAAATACGCACATCACCAAATAAGCATCGGCAAAAGACTACTATATCACACCTGTCCATCTTCGTCTTCCTCACTGGCTGTGGTCGTACTAGATGCGGGCCCCGGAGGACCTGGCCCGGGCTCCTTGGCGCTCAGCAGCCGATCCCGTGTCGTTCTCGTTTGTGCGGTTGGGTAGGAAGCGCTTCTACTTGACGGCGACCCCGGCAGCTGATACTCGAAGCTCGCAGCCGGCCGTTGGTGCGGGTTCTCAGGGGCGGCAGTCGTGCCTGCAGTGGGAGCGGGGGTCGACCCTAGATCCAGACCGCCCGGCCCGTCCGGCGGATGCTGTTTAAGTTCCTTGGCCGGCGGTGCCGACGTGGAAGAGGTGGAAGGAGTTGCCCCTGTGGCCGAAGATGTGGAGGAATCTGCAGTTGCAGATGGCTTCGCTGCAGGTGCTGCCTTCGCAGGTGGGGGCGTTGGTAAGAAGGGGCCCGGAGTTTGCGATGCTGGTTTTGGCATACTCGGAGGCTGTGGCACGTGCACAGGCGCTGGGGCTTGTGGGTGTTGTTCCTGCGATTTTGTTTTTCGACTCGTGACGGCCACTGAAGCGCACTCTTCACTATAGCTGACTAGCTCCAACGACAACGAAAACGAGGAGAAGGAGAACGAAATCGAGGAAAACTATACTGCTGGCTTCTCTGGCGCAGCTGGCTCTTGCTTTGCATCAGATTCCTCGCTGCTCGAGGTTCTTTGCTCTTGCTCCGACTGTCGCAAAAACGTTTGCCCAATCATTGACCCGTTCGGCGTTGACCCGTTCGGCGTCCGGTCCTGTTTGCAAGATCGCGTAGTGGCTGTTTGGATAGAAATCGAAAACAGCGCATCTCAAAAAACCAACATCATCTCGTCCACATGTCAGCGTCAAACAGGCTAGTTAGTATGAAAGCCACAACAACGACCATCATACCTCCGCAATGACGATGTGATTCGGATTTATCCTTCGCACTGGCGACATCCCACCCTCCGACTCCGACTCGTTTATGGATCCGTTGCTGAGCGCTCGCTTTCGTGCCAGTTTCTGTGGATCGGGAATGCGATGCAACAATCCGGTGCCAAACTCGCACCCGAGAATCCCGCGGCCGCCCCAGGCGTCGCTGGGCACGATGGGGACAACGCGGGTATCGTCAGATAACACGTTGTACACATACATGGAAACGCACTTTCCCTTAAACCTCTGGACCAATTCCACCAGGTCATCCAAGTCGCGGAACAACGTGCCTTCGGCGCCGAGAAGAAAATCCTCGTTGCTGTGAATGTTGGTCGTTCATCGGTCCAAGACTATCCATGGTTTGGAAAAAATCGCGAACTTCTAGCACAAAAAAAAGCTCTGAACACGGCACCAGCAAAACTATAGATACAGTTGTATAATACGGTGTCACGCCGGCCATTTCCGCGGGCGAGTTTTCGAACACGTTCGTGACCCTGATATCGCGGTACTCGTGACTGTCGTAGGCATCGAACCTTATCGTTGCTCCGAGAAGCCCCTTTCCGCCCCATTCTTTCGGTGTCAGCTTGACATGGCGTAGTTTCGTGGTTTTCGTGCTGAACACCGTCAGATTTGTTTCTGTGTTCTTCCGCTGCCGAATCGAGCCGAAGAACCCTGTGAAGTGATCATGTGTCTTATGCAACACAGCGTCGATGCAAAATTGATATTTTCAGATTTTCACTTTCATCGAAAACCTAAATTTTTCTTTTGAACATAGACGAGTAGCTGTGTCACAAGCCGTATCTGCCAGATACTTTGCTGATCGCCGTCAACCGGCCTTCCCTCTACCCCGACGATATAGTCAAAGTAGATCTGCAAGCCGGCTTCGTGTGCCGGCGACCCCTTGCACAGGTTAAACACCCGGTATCCAAGTCCCTTCTGCTGGTCGGGGTCGTTGCTGTCTTCAGAGGACTCAACGCCTCCCATGGTGACGGAATAAACTGAAGAACTTTGTTGCGTTGCTTAACCAAGGACCAACTTGCCGCTCACCTGCTCCTGCAGCGAGGGGACAATAACGAAGCCATGCTGGTGTTTGTAGTTGGGCTCTTTGTGTCGTAAACCGTCCAACGCCTCTTGAATACCCCCGTAGCACTAGAGTCAAGTGAAGAAGAAAGGTAGAAGCGGAAACGTTTGTTTGTCCGTAGTATCGACGCAATCGGGAAACTTGAAGTTGAATCTTTTTGTACTTACATTTCCAACAGAAGTCACTCAACAGTTCAAGAACTTGTTTCACAGGATAAGATCCTCCGTGTGACCACGACGGGCGAACATGATAGCGATACAGACCGAGCACTGCAGTAGTTGCTTAGCAGCGGTTGCAGCGAACACAGGCAGAAACCGGTATACTAAACTTCTGCAGCAGAGCTGCCGACGTCTTCACACGAAATGCTGATCTTCCTTCGTCTAGTTTGTACGAAGATGATGTGATACACTTTTTACACACGACAACTGTGACAGCGCGTGTAAATAAACCACTGACTTTCATTTAATCATGAATCGTGAAATCTTGTTCACTGTCGCTTTATCTGATCGTAGTACCTGATCTGCCTTATTCAACAAGTGAAACAGCATAAATTTTGAAAAAGTATCCGCCCTCTGCTCTTCAAAAACCTTACGACAGCGTCATACTTCCTTCTTCGGGCGGGTGCACGGTTTCGCACACCCGCATCAATCGCTTGAAGACCTGCAAGTACCTTCTCGACTCCTCGTTGTTCAGCATGCCGCGGAACTTCAGGTCCACCTTGTGTGCGTCGAAGGTCTCGACGCGCTGGTAGGTCGCCCCGCGCGGTCGTTTGTAAATACGCGTTCTCCCGACCGTGGCGTTCGCGGCGTTCCCGATCACCAACTCGACGTACCGCGCCGTGGCTTCGCGGTACAGCTTCTGGTCGCAAAGCGTGACCATCTTGTCCAACAAATCCACCGACTCGTTTTCCTCCACGCCCAGCTCCGTTTCTTTCTTCCGCTTGTCCCGGTACGCGGTCGAGGTGAACAGCTCCTGCTTCGCCCACTCCTTCAACTTTTTCAGCAGCGGTTGGATGTCCTTCCGACTCTGCTCGAAGATCGCGGTCTGCAACTTCCCCTCCTGCGACTCCTTCTCGTCCTGGGGGCGGGCGAGCAAATTTTCCGCCCAAATCTGCCACATCTTCTTGATCCACTTGCGCACCCGGTACTCCTTCGAGTTCTTCCAGGTTTGCTTCACGTCCGACGGGTCCACGTACTCCCCGGTTGCTGCGTCCTTTTTTTCGTCCTCCACCGACTGGACCGGGAGGTACGGCCGCGCGTTCCACTTGTTTGGGTCGTTGGAGTCCGCGGACCGGATGGTTTTCATGGCCTCCTCGTGCAACGCGCGGATCGCCGGGTTCGCCGCGTCCTCCTCGTCCTGCTTCAAACCCGCGTCCACGTCCTGCTTTCCCTTGATCGCGCGCTTCAAATCCAGGATCTTTTTGTCGCGTTCCCGCAATTTTCCCTCTTCCTGTTCGCGGTGGATCACGTTCCCGATGTGCGCGCCGCCGGACAGGATGCGGCCGCCGCTGTACCACTCCCCGATCTCCCGTTTTTTGCCGTCCACCTTCCCGCGCTCCTGCTCAATCTCCTCCGGCTTCACATCCCCGTCCAAGACCGCCTTCAGCCCCTTCAGCGGGTTCTTCTGCAGTTCGAGAGATGTGACGTACGCGTCCTTCTCATCCACCTTCTGGTCCGCCTCATCGGACGAACTCGTGTCGTCTGACAGCTCGGTTTTCGGGTTCAGCGCCGCGTCGTCTTCGGCGTCGAGTAGATCGTGCACAGACGCGGTGCCACCACCGCCCGCTGTCGCCTTTCCGGACAAAGACTTCCGCTTCTTGTCCAAGGTCGCAAACTTCGCGGCCGCGTCCTCGTCGTCCTTCAGAGTCAAATCGTTGTCGTCGTCCATCACGGACCGCAACACCCGCTGGAAGAAGTTCGCCTGGCCCGAGGACCGCTCTTCGCCTTGCGCCGCGATGTCGCGCTGCAGGAGCTGCAACCGACGCAGCCGATCCTTGTCCGACTCGCCGAAAAGGGTGACCGGCTGGTGCAGTTTCCGCAACTTCGCCTTAATTTCCGCGGGGGAGAGCAAGTCGTTCTTCGCCGCGCCCCCGACAGACAAGAGTTTCAGACTGACCGCGCCGACCTGCATGGTGGGCTCCGCGCCGTCCTCCACCTGCAGGTAACTGTGCAGCAGCTTGTTGCTGTTCGTGATGTTCTTCGCTATGCGGGAGGACGCACTGGCGGCGGTGGACTTGGACTCCGCGACTTTTGTCTGAATCGGATCCGCCGCGACATTGATGTTCGGTAAAGCCGCGCCCCCGCCCCCGACGTTCCCGGCTTTGCCGAGAAGAAATTTTGCCGTGAAGGAGTTCACGTCGAAGGCGCTGTCGGAAGTAGAAGTCGAGGTTGATGAATCAGCGACTGCGACAACCGCGCCAGCATGCTTGTTGGACGCGTTGTTCTCACTGTCGTCGTCAGGAAGAAGCTTTTCCTTCGTCGCTGTGGACGAACTGCCGTCGGCGGGGATGAGCTTTGTGTCAGAAAGCTGGACCGGTTTGTCTTTTTTACTGGCGCCTGATGCTGCCGCTATTGATGTGGACGGGGTATTCATCTTTGCGTCGTTTTTAATTGCGAGCCCTGCTGCTCCGGCAGAAGCTTTATTATCCTCCAGTGCAGGAACAACTGCAGCGGTAGTTTTAATATTCTTCGACTTCTTCCCGTCCAGATCGTCCTCGAAGGATCGAAACCCCTCGGTTTGCTCGCCGCCTTGTGCCGCCAACATGCGCTGGCGCTCCTCCTCCTGGCGCCGCAGTTGCGCAATCCGCTCGGCGTCTTCCAACATTTCCTTGGTCACGGGGCCGGTTTTGGTCGGGAAGTACTCGGTGTACAGTTTTGTTAGCGCCTCTGCCTCCTTGCCCTCCTTCTCGTTCTCCTTTTCGATCCGCTTCTCAATCTTCTCCTGCTCCTCCGCCGCGGCCACCTCGCCGACGTTTTCCTGTTTGGTGAACACCGGCGGTGCGGCGGCCAGCTTCCCCTTCAACGTGCTCTTGTCCGGCCGGCCCTCGTTCATTTTCGCTTTCTTCTCCTTCATCACGGCTTTTAGGTCGAACATGCCGGGTAATTTCTTCTTGTCGCCACCCCGACCGGGGTTCTTGTCGCCGCCCCCGCCGAAAGATCTCATGCTGGGTGGATTCGTGGATTTCTATGCTTACTTCTCGTAGGGCTGATAGGTGAAACTTTTTGCTTGGTGGAAGTGGAGCTACAGTTACTGCAATGTTGCTACATTTTCATCGACAGAGCCGGCAATTGGAATCAAGTCGTTATTCTACTCGCTAGATATCAAACAGCATGCTCCACTGATTTCCTCTTTGATACTACATAAAGTTGCTGAGTGACACTGACACTGTCATTCCTTGCGGTCGGATGAATCAAGGTACATTGTGAAGAAAAATCAAAATCAACCATGACAAAACATGATCCGCGTGGGAAAGCCATCGTTGATCTGCCGGATCTCAACAATTTTTTGACTCATGCTTTTGAACGAGCAGAGCGAAGCCGGATTAGCACCATTTCGAGATCTTTAGAAGCAACATCTAGCACAAAACAGAAAAAGTTAAACTAGAGGATCTGAAAAACGGGAAAGGTCAGTAGAAGTTCACAGCTTTTTGAGATCGCCGGGAACACGTGCCTGCTGAGCAAGTGCTTATAATTCATTGCAACTTTCTTGTGGACAAGCAGTGGCGCTGCAGTTTTTCATACGAAAAAAAATTCGGGCACGGGAGATCCATATTTTTGCGCGCATACTTTACAAAACGCCCATCGGGTTCAATCATCGGGGGATCTTCTCCATGACCCGTCTACAGATCATCCTGTTCCTCATCGGAGACTTCTTCGCTATCAGAAACTTCCTCGCTATCGGAAGCCTCCTCGCTATGATCGGAAGCTTCCTCGTTGTGGGAAACATCCTTCCCGTCCTGCGAGTCCTGTAAGCCGTATCCGTCTAGCGCTTCGCCCACTAGGTCGTTCTCTTCCTCAGAGTCGCTCGGTCCTTAACCTTCTTGCTCCTTGAAAACTAGCCGAAACTCAATGGCGTGCTCCTTGGTGAAAGGAAGAGGCAAGCCATTCTCTTCGCGCTTCTTCGTTATTAGTTTGAGGAAGTCCATAAATTTAAACCCATTCAAGTCCCCGAGCTCCGGAGCTTCCTCGCAGAACCACTGGGCGTCACAGGCAGTGTCCAGCTGTCGGCAGAGCTTCCATTGCTTGCGCTTCACGAACACTTTCCGGAGCGTGTCGCTTATTCGACACTGACATGTATTCAGACTGTCACCCCAGTAGCCGTCCGCCCGCGCAAAGAGCAGAATCCAAGATGGAATCTCCTCTTGTGATAGCTCCTGCCATGTGTCTTCGAGGCGAATTCACGCAGCCATTTGCAATCCCACAACGAATGTACCAAATCGGGAACATCATCCAGTGGTGTTGGCGGTTCGTTATCCTCGTCATAATCTGCCCGAAGTAAGACTCTCGGGAGTGCAGTAGAATCCTGACCCTCCGCGATCACTTCGTCTGAGAAACCATGGATAATTTTGACCGCGATCGGAGCAACATCAAAAAGCTTCATCACTCTGTCCTGTGTATTGAGATTCTCAATAAAAGCGCCACATGATCTTGGCCGGTAGCTACCAAACATGCCACCTAGTCCCTCGCCGAGGACGAAGTGCTTGCTTACAGGTTTGTATGCCTTCGTACATTGCTCTTGCAATGCGTCTCTCCATCTGCTTGCCTCACTTCGCAGACGCAACACGACTTCCGCTGAAAATCGCTGTAGCGCGTCGCAGTACTTTTCGGACGATGACGGATTTTTCAACTCCGGCCCGAGTTCCGTTGCCTTCAAGACCAGTGCCTCGTCGAGACGCTTCCTCGCACGCTTCAAAAATTGGACGGGCCCTCTGTCATCATCCGGCAAAACGCAAACCCTGTCGGTTTTCAGAAACAGCCGCTTGCTTTCTTTTTCACAGCCGCCCGATTCCCTTGTCGTCCAAACCTCGTCGAAACCTCTTCCAGCGGCAACCGCAGCGTCGAATTCCGAACGTGTGAACAGCATGGCATCCTCCTTCAACTTGAAAGCGCGTGGGAGTTGCCAAGTCTTCAGGACTGGCTTGTCGTCCAGAAATTGCGAAGATGCTGATTCTGCGGCTTCCATTTTTTTGTGAGCTGTGGGATTCTGCAGCAAAAAACGAGCGGCGAGGAGCGCAAGAGTGAGTATGAATCAAACAGATACAACAGACAGGTCTCCAAAAGATACAGCCGCTGACGACGCACAAACCTCAGTATGTCTTAGAGCACTCACATACTTCATTTCGATTCCTTTTCCTGGCCAGAAACGCAGAGCCCGAAATAAATTTTCTACGACAAAGGATCCAGTAAAGCAGTTGAGTTTGCTGGCGAAGATCACGATCAGTAGTTTTCAGCTTCTTCTTTCTACGGAACACTCCTGGAGGGACGCTTCATTACCTTCACCTTTCTGAAAGAAAAAGACTCGGAGCTTCAGTTTTGCATACTCCAAAAAGAGTAGAAGGAATTAGTATTTGACTCAGATCCATATGCATGGTTTTGCGCACTTACTTCGCTCACGTCCTATGGGGTTCGGGGAATCACCACGAACGAATCTAAGGGTCGTCCTCCTCATCGGAGACCTCCTCGCTACTAGAGACTTCGCCGTCGGAAACCTCCTCGCTACTAGAGACTTCTTCAGAATTTCTTTCCTCCTCGTCCGAAAATTCAATTTCGCCTGCTGGTACTTCATCTACCTTGTCGCCTTCTTCCGAAGAGTCGTCCCAAATACCTTCGATTTCCTGAAAGACAAGCCTAAACTCGATGGCATCATCCGCGGTAAATGGAAGAGGCACGCCTTGTTCCTCACGCCTCTTCGTTATCAGTTTCAGGAACTCCAGGAAGTTGTGATCGTCCAAATCCCCGAGGTCCGTAGCTTCCTCACAGAACCATTGGACGTCACAGGGTTTGTCCAGTTTCCGAACGAGCCTCCGTTGCTGGCGCTTCTTAAAGAGTTTCCGGAGCGTGTTTTGTAAACGGTCCACATGAAGGTGCAACTTTTCAGCACCATAGTAGTGATATGCGCGCGTAAAGGGCAGGACCCAGGGCGGAATCTCCTCTTTTGATAGCTCCTTGCATGTCTTGGACGCGAATTCCTGCAGCCATTTGCAATCGTCCCAAAAAGTGTATATTACGCAAGACACAGATGCTTCCTCTCTTGAATTGAGGAAAACTCGGGGAAGAGCTGTAGCATTCCGAACTTCTGCGATCACTTCGTCTGAGAATCCGTGGATAATTTTAATCGCGATCGGAGCAAAATCAAAAAACTCCAAGGCACTTGCCGCTGCATTGAGTCTGTGAGTAAATGCGCCACGTTGTCCCGTCCGCGCCCGGTTAAATTGCTTGTGTACGATATCGAATGATCTCTGACATTGCGCCTGCAGTGCTGTTTTCCATCTGCCTGTCTCATTCGTCAGCTTGTCCCCAACCTCAACCACAAATCGCTGCAGCGCCTCGCAGTACTTCTCGCCGGAGGACGGATTTTTCAACTCTGGCCCGAGTTCCTGAGCCTTTAAGCGCAAGGCGTCGTCGAGCCGGGTCTTTTGACGGTCCAGATACTGGGCCGGTCCGCTCGAATTATCGGACAAAATGAAAACGCTGTCGCCCTTCGGTAGCAGGTACTTACTTCTGTCATCTTCGGAGTCGCCTGCTTGTTCTGTCGTCGTCCAAACTTCGTCGAATCCTCTTCCAGCGGCAACCGCGGCGTCGAATTGCGAACGCGTAAAAACCATGGCGTCCTCCTCCAATTTGAAAGCGCGTGGGAGTTCCCAGGTCTTCAGAGCTGGGCTCTCGTCCATGAATTGCGAAGGTGCTGTTGCTGCTGCGTCCATTTTGTTTTTCTTCTCAGTCAGGAGCAGTAGCTTGGAGCGAAGAAGGAAGAATGAAGTGTTTTACAGTGCGTGGTCCAATGCGATGGCTTCGATGAAGCAATATATATGACCTCACTACATACTACGTAAAACAGCTCTAAGAAAAACTACTTACTGAACGCGACGGATCTTTTGTGAAGTTCCAAATGAAAGAGGAGCTAGACAAATTTCTTCAGCCTGCGTCAAAACGTTCGCTCACGTTGACAAACGAAAGAGATCCCATACCCGTTTCCTTAGCGGCTACACAGTTAGTTTGCCTCCGAGACAGTCGATATCAGGGAACAAAAAATGCAACAGAAAGCACAGCTAGCCAGCGTTCTGGTCGAACCTCGAAGTCGTTAACCACATGCGCAGATCAGTCGACAGTCATCCTTTTATTTTATCGAGAAAAATCGCAGTGATTTTTTGTTTTCCTGGTGATAGTACCTAGTCAGAAAAGAAATCTAAAATACTAATACTGGTTGATACAATCAATAGATCGCCTGCACAATCCGCTGGTCGTCGATCACACCAGCGTCAATGTTGTCTGGCAAACCGCGCCCCTGCGAGCAGAATGACAGCCACTGCATGCTACTCCGCTCCTTCATCCTCCTCCAAATCCGCACCCGCATCCGCTAACTCATCCTACCCCGAATCCTCGACGGCATCCTCAGACACTGGCTCTTCTTGAAAAACTATTCGCAGCTCGAGCGCGTTACTGCTTGTCCAGGGCGGCTCCTTTCCCGACGCTTGGCGGCTTTGTAGGATTGCCTTGTAGAAATCGAGAAACTGCATCTCGTGCACCGCCCCGAGCCCCTCGGTCTCTTCGGAGTAGAGTTCCACCCAGGTGCGTTTTTTCAGATCCGCCTTGGCTTCACCGATAAAAATTTTTCCGAGTTTGTCCAGTAGACAATGGTATTCACCGACAAAAATATTTTCGAGGATGCCGTTGCGCAGTACAGAAAAGTCACGATTACAACGCGCGAGCGGTCCCAGCCATGGCGGCAAGTCCTGCTGCTTCATTTCTTCCACAGGAAGACGGGCAAATGCAAATCTGTTTGCTTCGTTGTTCCACATGTGGTCCAGCCAATTCAGCACGTCGAGCTTCCGATCCTCGGGCGGGTCACGCATCCCGTCAAAGAGGAAATCCAAAACTTCCGCCTCCCCTTCGGTCAGCACTTGATCGGTGAACCCGTACAGTAAGCGCACGTAGATGCCGGCGGCCTTTTCAAACGGCTTCAGCATAATTTCGTCAGGTGGTCCAAAAATACACTGATCAGCATCGGAGCGACGGTCATCTCCTCCAAATTTCGCCGTTGCAATCCGCTTCTCTAGGTCATATTTCATTTCGTGAAGGGTCGACCAGTAGGTGTCCCCGCAAGCCCCTGTCCAGTCCCGCTCTCGCTCAAAAGAAGCGGAACACGCAGCGGCAAACTTCTCGAGCGCGACGTAGTGCCTATCTGGCGACTGATGTGATGTAGCTTCCAACTCGAGGATGAGATCACGTGTTTCTGCACCAAAAGCATCTGCGACGCACGCCCTGACATCTTCATAGAAATGCGGAACCGCGTTCCCCCACTCGGCGTGAGATGATGGAGTTGTGTGCGGATGCGGAACCACGGAAATCAAGTCGCCACTCTTCGCCAGCTGTTCGCCGCCGCGCTCAGCAGTGTTTGCCTCTTTTTGCTCCCAGAGTGCGTCGAACGACTGCCCGGCTTTTTGCGCGGCCTCGAACTCGGATCGCGTGATCACCATAGCATCTTCTGGCACCTCAAAGGACCTGGGCAAGTGCCACTTCTTCAGCGTGGGAACTGCACTCATCTCGCAGACTGGATTTTCCATCGTGTGCTTGTGCTTAGTGCCGCCTTGCTCTGTCTATTGTTGAGTAAAAAATTTGAGCACGAGTGCGAGAGAATTTGACCTCATAGATTGATATTTGGTTGATTGGTACAAGATTCGGTCCACAAATGCTCTTTGCGTTCGAAATCAGCTCCCGAAGTGGGGTTTTCTTGCTTTTTCACTCTTGACCTCGTGAAACGTGATGAGTAAGTTTACGATTGAGCTTTATCACGCTCTAAACTGCTCTGCTCGTGGTCCGGTTTTACGATGGTCCTCACGATCGCTTTCTCACGCTCTAAACTGCTCTGCTCATAGCTTTTGGTTTTCCAGCACGATTATCTACTTTCTTACATAAAGAGTTGATGGCTTGCGGTCGATGTGGCTAGTCCCGTTGCCAACGTCGCGGCACACTTACCGCAATTTGACCCAGAGTTCAGAAGTTGGTTTCGCAGCGGAAGTGCAGGAACAACCTTCGAAAAAACAGGAGAGCTGTCGAAACGGTGCAGCACCTGCCATATGGAGTGCGTGATCTGGTGCGCCCCGCCCCATTTCTATTGGTTGTGGCTCTGCACGTTTGCTCCAAAAAAAACAAAACCAGAGGTGAATATCTCTTGTATCACCAGCTTTCAATGACCGTCGTGCTGTTGGTATTATTCATCTATCTAGTTCCTCTTCGTCATCATCTTCTTCATCAATCGCAATTTCGGAGTCACTGCTCGCATCGTCCTCTTCCTGAAAAACAAGTCGGAAGTGGATGGCGTGCTCAGCTGTGAAGGGAAAAGGCAGGCCGCTTTCTTCGCGCTTCCTCGTTATTGATTTCATCAAGTCTATGAAGCCCAGCTGGTTTACATCCCCGAGTTCCGGGGCTTCATCGCAGAAAAACTGAGCGCGACACGGCCTCTCGAGCTGTCGCAGGACCCTCCGCTGATTACTCGCGGAATAGAATTCTTGGAGACGCTTCTTCGCGCGTTCTGCCAACTCGAACGAAAAATCCGAACGTACAATATGCCTCACCCAACACGGAAGCTGCTCAACTGCCAACAGCGATCCAAAATCATCTTCAAGCAAATCCCGACACGTCCACCGTAGAAACTTCCCGACGGAAGGTTTGCAATTCCCTACGTCATTCGGGTCTTGGCCAAACCGTTTATCAAAAAGTTTTTCGAGAAGGATAATGTCATCATCACGTTCCGCGACCACCTCCCCAGAGAAGCCATAGAGAATTTTAAATGCGACCGGAGAGACATCAAAATATCTGCCTATGAGGTAGTCTGTGTCAAACATGGCATCGAATTTGCTGAAGAAATGATAGTTGTCGCCAAACTCCGTATTGAAAAACCTCGAACCGCCCCGCTCGGAGCGGAAGTCGTTGGCATCTTTTTCAAACGCATCGCATGCAGCTTTCAATGCCTCGGCACACTGCGCAGCTAGCGATTCTATCCAACTTTCTTCGTGGCCCGTCAAACCATCCACAACCTCATCCGCATATCGTTGCAACGCCTCGCAGTATTTCTCGCTGGAAGACGGACTCTCCAGCTCCGGAGCGAGCTCCTCAGCCTTCAAGCGAAATGCCTCCTCAAGGCGGCTCAAATGAAAATCCGCACACGGCACAACGTCAGGATCGTAGTGGGACATCGCAAAAATAGTGTCGCCGCGCGGCAAAAGGAGCTTCCTCGATTCTGCGTCGCTGCTTGATTCTCTCGCAGCCCAAATATCGTCGAAGCCTCTCCCGGTGGCAACCGCGGCACTGAACTCCTCGCGCGTAAATACCATGGCATTCTCCTCCAATGTGAAAGTCCGTGGAAGCTCCCAGGTCTGGAGCACCGGAACTTCCTCCAAAATCTGGGATATTGTTCGTGCTCCTTCCATTTTTTGCGTTCGGTTGCTTGAGTTGAAATAAAAAAGCCGAGTCCTTTCGGAAAAGCGGTGAAAATTTGACGTCAGAGAAGCGCCATATAAGTACGTCGGTTCTTAATCTCGTAAAAAGGTGTCTTTGATTCCTGTGACACGTAAAGCGAGACGACACGTCGAGAGGTCCATCAGGGCAGTGATTCCCCTTCTGGTGATCGAGAAGGGCATACAGCGACGATATCTTCTGAAAACAACAAACATGAAGCTGGTGCAGTGATCCTTTTGGAACAGGATAGGCAACAATATCGCTCCGTCATCAAGGTTAGAGGTGAAGCGAGACTGAAGAGACATCGACTGCGACACACCTTTTTTCATCGACATCGACTGAAGAGACATCGAAAGCGCGAACCTTTTTTCATGATCCAGCTTTATCAAAAAATGCATGTGTACGTGAATGATTCGAGTGACGCATAGAACACGACAAACAGTAGCTTCTTTGGAGTGATGTCTAAGTCACCGCAACATGTCAGTCTCACATCTGCCACTTCAGCACAATATCGGCATGCAAAATTTTTCGCCAGGCAGTGTAATTGTGCCTCGCATGCGAAACCTGGCGCACGGCCTTTCGACTACCATCCCCGCCTTCGCGCGTCATCCAATAAAGCACCACTGGAAAAACTTCTAGAGCTGCTGCCGCGATAGAATTCTAGGCCTTCTACTTTGTTTTGAAATAAATGCAACGCGACTCCACGCTCGGTAGGATAGAGCTAAAAGACACATACAGCCTAGGTTCGGTCAAGGAGCGCGGCTCTTTCTCTGCGTAAACTATTCTTCAAACTCAGCGTTGCCAGCAAACGTGGCTTGTCGTCGCTTCGCGAGACGCGGGATGTTTTGATTTCATCCCAGTAGATCTGTAATGTGAAAATTCCTATCTTAACACGTGGTGTCGACGATTAGTGTGGTTTTGGAAAAAAAAAGTTACAGCGGTGGTGTAGCGTTCTGCTCTGTTCTTTACCTATTGTACATTTTGTTCTTACTTCCACCACCAACACCTCCTCTTCATTCTCCCGCCCTCGCACTTACTTTCCAATGCGGCTGAACCCGATCACAGCGACCGTTGTGGCGAAGAGGTTGAACGCGAAGTGGGTAAAGATGCCCAACAGGTAGTACCTTTTGAGATTTTTTCCCATGCATCACCTAGTGTCAACATGCCCGCATGACACAGAACAAACCTTCCAGCCAATCGCTTTCCCAGTAAAATCACCGCATACCATACTAGCATATGCAAATGTATATCCTATTCCTGCATGACAAAAAGCCACATCAGTACTTGAAGCCCTGGTCGCGGTAGGAGTTCATTTCGCCGACCGGGTCCTGCAACCAGTAGAAAAACAGGGGGTGGGTGCTCTTCAGGTGGTGGGCCGCGGCGGCCTGCTGCACGGCCAGCCGGAAGAAGGGGCGCTGGTCGTCCCGCATCAAGCGCAATCCCGACCGGGCGTGCGGGTTGTTGAACTCGCCGCAACGGAAATCACTGCTCACCTGTTTTATTGTATTAAAGTAAGTACAATGTGGGTGCATATCAGCGACGGAGCACAGTAGGCGGCTCCGCAAGAGTGAGTTCGTGCAACAAGCGCACCCCCTCCCTCTCATGCAGTTTCAGCATCGAATTCGAACAAAAAATCGAAATACTCTGGTTGAAAACTCAAAATTTTACCCCGCTGCAGCAGTTCAGCCCGACGGCCCAGAAGTCGTAGGTCTCCAGGGCCTGGTTTCCGTTCACGATGGGCGCCACGCAATACAAATCGAGATTCTTGAAGCCCATTGCCTTCGATGTGTCCAGTCTCGTGTTGTCGGCGAAGTACACTCGCCCGGCGTCCATTAAGCGCTGGCCTGTAGTTGTGTTTTGTTTTTGTATACAGCACTCGTGCATAGTGACGCTTTTGCACACTCGCTAGCGTCGTTCCTGTGTGTGCACTGAATTGCATGAGAGCTCCCGGGATCAAAAAAACATACCTGTCTGCGTCGCTGGGTCCACGGACGGGTAGGTGTTCAGGTTTTCTATGTCGTAAAACGGCTGCATGTTGTACCAGAAGTTCATATCACCAAAAATTGCGGCGAGCACCACTGCCAAGAAGAGCATGAGACCAGAGAACAGGTACCTTGGATATAGTTTGTGTCGCGTGCAATATCAGCTTCAGATTTGAGTTGACCTTTCGAGAGACACTTCCTTACAGTAGATGATCAAGTGATAAGTGCGGAAACCATGATATCCAGCGTTTTCCCTTACCAGCTCGGATCTCTGCTCTGCCCTCTGCTTGCAAAAGCAACACCAATCGCTCCGAGGGAGACTAGCAATCCCAAACCGACGCAGAGCCACGCTGCTGCAGGCTGCTGGTAGTGGAAGCTAAAGGAGAGAATCGCGTAAAGTGCGGCGAAGAGAAACCTGAAGGAGTGTGAGATTTGAATATTGAATGTCCATTAGAAAGGAAGAAAATTGAACCACATGAAAGACTTGTTACTTGGCAGCACCGTCCGAGTAGCATGAAAAATAGTACTTCAACTGCACGAAACAGAAGCTTACCATGGCAAGAAGATGTTCATGCATACTGCGACGAGATTTATCCTCTTCTTTTTGCCCGGTGTGAACACCGTCTGGGCCTTGGCTCCCGGTTGCGCCGGCAGCATCTTGCTTGGGCCCGGAAGGTGCAAGGGCCTACTTCTCGATACTACCTTGACTTTCTCGCTGCTCTTTCTGACCAGAACAAGGACTACTGAAATTACAACAAAAGAACCTAAAGGGCTAAACTCAGGTGATGTTCGCGTTGAAAAGTGTGGACACAGCAACGCGAAAGATAGCACGTCCTGATGACGAATGCAAACAGACCAAAAGTAACATTCATGAAAACTGAATGACCACAAGGACCAAGGACGTGTGGAAGTCAACAAAACAAAACAAAACAGGAAGAGAAACAAAGGAAACTTGAAAGATCGAAAATAGTATATTCCTATGTGTGAACTTTGATTGTCTTCGCTGATTGAAAGATGCTCATCTCATCTCTAGCGCGTCACTGATACCTTTCTCGGTCGTGTCCATTTTGTTCCTTGCAGCAACTACTACAACGCCATTCATCTAGAATCCTCCATTGGTCACCCTTCTCGAGAACAATAAAATTGCTTCGATAGTGCCAGCCTTGTTCCACTATCGTGTGGTCGTATTCCGGCGCATCCGATATGTATTACAATCTCCTACACTCTTTCTTCATGACTTTCTTTTTTTCTTGAAAAAGATAAAAAGAGTAGATTATCACTTGATGGTAGATGGCGCGCGGCGCTCGCTCGACGAAATGCTTTTGATTTCGACGGCACAGTAGCGACTAATAGATGCAAACTGAGAAGCTTGTTTGTTTGTTTGTTGTCGTGGAGCACGTGGCTTCCGGAAGCTTGAGAAAACCGAGTTTCTTCGAAACTCTGTCCTGCTGTTATAGCTTTGCTTTCGTATCTATACATGATGTGTATTGATGAATACAATAGCATCAACAAACAGGCTGTATAGGACAGAAAAAATTCACGTTTTCACCATGCGCAGCTCGGATCGATGGGATCATCACGGGGCTCAGCTATTTGTCCGCGTTTTTCTTAATGACATCCCAATCGTCATCCTCACTCTCTTCGTCCTCTCCTTCTATCACTTGCGGTCCTTGTGGCAACAGAGCGGCTGCTGGTAGCGCGCCCGCAGGCTGCATACCTGGAACGAACTGCTGCCCCGGCATATGCGCCGCTGGCATGACGCCCGGCATGTTGAGCCCTCCGCCTGGCATTACCATTCCCGGCGGCATTACGCCTGGTACTATCCCACCTGGTGCAACTCCTACAGCCGGTGGTAAACCGCTTGGGATAGGGCCCGCGTCTGGAAGAAGGCTGAAGGTGGACAAATCCTCGACCGGCGCCTCGGTCACTGTTCTGTTGAATTGCGGATTTTTCTTCTGCGCAGATATGGCCTGGCGGGCCTTCTGCTGCTGCATAATCATTTCCGCGGAGCGGACAGTGACTTTTTCCTCCTGTGCGTAGAAGGATTCCAAGTCAAACACGGTTTCTATCTTTGGCACCACGGCTTTGTCGATCATGGACGGTTGTTGGACCTGTAGGTGTTGAGTTATTTGCTGCTGAAAAAAAAACTTCATCGTAAAATTTTCAACTTTGCAAATTGGAATAAAGCAATCCGAAAATGTTGATCTTATGCGAGACATCGATGGCTTTCGTACCCTTTGCGCCTGCGCGAACTCGAACCCGTTGGTCTTTTGGGACGAGAAGCTGGTCGGCTCATTGTGCTTCTGCAGCTGGCGCAGTTGATCCACTGGTGGATCCCGAACGGCGTCGGGCGTGAGCTCCGAAAATTCGGGCAGCGATTGGTAGCTGGCGAAGGGGCCGTCAAGTATCCTCGCGAGGGAGTACAAAATCCAACTTTTGCGGTCCTTGTAGCTCGTGACGAGGTCCTGTTTTTTCATAAGCATTCTTGCTTTCGGTCGAAAAATTGAAATTCACGTTTCATTTTGCATTTATATAAAAAGTTGAAAAAAGTTCTACTGTTACAATGGGTCGCGATAAAGCAAGTAAAAGCAAGCACCTGTGGCGCCGTCCTATACTGGACGTTTTGCAGCACACTTTGCAGCTCGCCCTTTGCCGCTGTAGTTTGCACCGCGGCGGTCGGCTTTTTTTTCTTTTTTATTCCCTGCAAGGACTTGGTCAACGCCTCCGCAGCGGGCTGTTTCGTCAGAATAGACAGAAACGCGGCTGCGAAGGAGGTCCCCTCTATTCCGGAGTCCTTGAGCTTTTGAAGAACAGGCGCGGAAGGGACTACGTCCACTTCTGTTATTCCCAGTTCCGCTTTCGCTTTGTCCTTCAACGCTGCTACGAATCGTCCCATGTCCCGCAGGTCCCAGCTTTCCTCGTCCTTCTGGGCTTGCGCGCAGATGTAATCGAGCATCTTTTCCAGCCGCACAACCATGGTTTTTCGAAACTGCTCGTCCGATGTTGACGCACCATTCGCGTTGGACGAGGAAGAAGAGCTGGAAGCAGACGACATGGCGCCCTCGCCGCTGGAAACCAGCACCGCAGACTCGGACCCGGTGGACAACGCCTCGGTGTTTTCCGCCTTGTTATCCGTGCTGCAGCTCCCGGGCGTGAGTAGGTGGTAGGCCCAGACCTTGTAGGCTAGAGTGATGATCTGGTGCTTGACGTCCAGTGCCTCCTGACCGAATGATTTCGCGAGCCGTCTAACCGCATCTGGTGCGTAGGGGCGCGGGACTTCCGCTTGGTACTCGCCGAGGATCCAGACAACCGAGGCCCGTGCGACAGGACTAGTCAGGTCCGTCAGCGAACGAGCAAGTTGGGAGATGACCTGTTGACCACGGAAACGGATTTTTTATGTTGTCTAATCAAACGAAAATTTTTTTTCGCCTTTCCGGTGGAACTACACAAATCTGTACTTACCCATTCTCGCACGATAAAAACTACCTGGATCCAAAATTGGCCCTTGTTCAAAGTTCCTATGCCTCCTTCCCCACTTTTCTCGGCGTCATTGGTGGACTGCAACAGCGTGCGGAGCGCAACTACGGCCTCGGAGCTCACGGTTTCACATTTGGAATCCAGCATCTTTACAAGGTCACGTAGGCAACTATCCACCACACTGGAGTCGACCTGAATTTTTTCAGATTGCGGTGTGAATCGATATAATTTGGGATTGCAAAGTGAAGATGAAACGAACCAGTTCTAGTGGAAAAGATTCTTGAAAACCCCAAGAAATTTCACAAACTGTGTACACTCAGTGCGACGTTGCTGATGGCACGTATGCTGCGTGCCACCAAGGGTCCGTAGGTGTGCCATCGGACGTACTGCTTCAGCTCCGCCAGAATCAAACTGCAATTTTTCTCGTCTGCGAGCAGCTCCAGCACTTCTATTTTCAGGAGCTTTATGCTGTTGGGGTCCATCTGCATCACGAAAAAGTCGGACAGGTACGGGCGGAACAAACCGGGGTGCGTTCGCAAAATCGGCAGAAACCCGCTGAACAGCACCGCCATGCTGTCCCACGAGCCTATTCGGACACTCCGAAGAAGAGCGGGGATCACCGCCTTCACGTCGTCCTCCCCGCGGCTCAAGTAGCACAGCGCAGCGCCGGCACTGAGAACGACGCTGGTCGACTGTGCGCGTAGAAGACTGCGCAAGCACTGGATTAGACTTTCAAAGTCCGCGGAAACTGGAGGGGCTGTGGGAGCAAATTTTCATTCGTAGAGGTTTCTGAATGTGGTCAATTACAGCGGCCTGAAAACAGAAGCAGCAATAAACTCTTCGCAAAACGAAACCCAGAACCTCATGTTCTTACTTACCTTCCGACTCCTCTTCCGCTGGTTTGAAGAGAAAGAGCTTGGCGTAGCGCAGCATAATGTCCGTAAAGTAAGACTGTGCCCACTGATCCATACTCGCGGCGAGTGGCAAAAGCCTGCGGAAATAGGGGTGCAGCAGCGCCAGCGTCGTGCCTTCGGGCTCTGCCTGAAGGTGAACAAAGGAAAGACATATTACAACTCGCCACACTTCGACTTCCTCAATTTCATTCTATGTGCAGATTACATGCGAGTTGTCTAATTTCAAACTTTTAACACTTGTAAGTATAGTACTGTTGGCCTCCGGGCCACGCACAGGTAGTGGAAGGTCGTGATTGCGGACGCGACGACACTTGTATTGCGATCCTGCAGCAGCTTGACGGCGAGGTCTCGTAATGGGATGTAGAGATCCCGATCCACTTCGTAGACGCGGACGATGCAGGCCGTTGCCGTCTTCCGCACGTACGCACTGCTGTCGGCGAGCGCAGTTCTTATGGATTTTACCACTATTTGGATTATCTCCATCGTTCGAACCTGGAAAGAGCAAAAAATCCGCCTGTGGCGAGGCATGCGTTGCACAAAGAAAACGTCAACATTTGAGAGACTGATACTCTAATCAACCTGCTGATCTAGAAACAGTTTTCAATCCATCGGACTCCTACCGACGACAAGGCCCGCAAAGCCGACGCCCGTATGAGTTGGCTTCGGTCGGTCAGGTCCTTCTGAAAACTGTTGATGGATAAGAGTGCTAACTCGGGTTTGCAATCCGCGTACTGCACCAGGTAGATGTACGTCAGCTTCTTCAGCTCCAGTGATTGCGTAGCCACATTCTTTACCACGTGCGGAAACAGGTCGCCGCAATCGCGACCGTAGGAAACAGCTGCAAGAACCTGATGGATGTTGAAGTGGAAAGAGATTGATTTGGCAGCGCAGGGTTAAAACTTGAGATGATAACACGAGAACGAATACATGACACCAGGCGGGTCAAATCTGCATTGCAACGCAGTAAAATCCTGCACTATCGCCTCCTTTACCTGTTTCATCGCGACGATTTTCTTCTCTGAGTCCTGGTCCCCAAGATCCAGGACTTTCTTGATGTCCGCCTCATTGTACCTGTCTTCATCGAAAAAGTGCGCTTCGGACACCTGCAGCGAATCCACGATGGACTGCAGGTCCGTGGACGCCTTGTCCATGTATGGCTGTACGTAATGCATTTTGACGACGTTTGTTCCCTGGATGTGAAAGGAGAAAGTCTCTATCCCAGACGTTTCAGTTTGTTCCAAACCGCACAAACTCCGACACAACCGCTCCGGCAGCTAAGGACGGCGCTACCTAATGGGGCGAAAGCCCCGGGCACCAGCAGCCAAAAAGGGTGCCTGTGAAAAGCATGGCTGCTCGTCGTACTCAGGCGGTCATGATTTCCGGTACCTCCACTTCACTTGATGTTCCAAACGGGATGTCAATGTAAGTATGGTTAGAAGTACGTGTTGTAGAGAGCCGCGAGAAGGTTTTTGTTTATTTGATTTTCCTTATCTTTCTGCGATGCAACACGGAGCCACGCAAATAGATTGATGCGATGTAACTCGATGACATTGAGAAGTTGCATTTTTTTAGCTTTAGATAGGTGGTGATTGGCGTTGCTCCAAACAGACAGCGACAAGACATGAAAGAAGTTTCTGCTTCTTCGGTGTCAGATCATCGATCGGGGTTTTTCGTTAGGATCTGAAAAGCGGTGCCACTGAACACCGAAAGAGAAAAGAAAAGTGGTCAATGCGTCTTCCCGCCCCTGAGGGGACCAGGATACCGCTTAGAGATGAGCGCTCGACTACTTCGTCGTGGGTGAAACTCGAATGACCTCAATCAAGACGGAAAAAAGACTGAAACTATTCTACACGAAACTCGAGTTTTAGTTTTTTGAAGCTGCTAGTGGATATAGTGGCATAATGCTCTCGCAGATACAAGCTCCCATGGTGACCTTGTACTGTGAGGAGAGAGTTACTGTTGTGAGGGCTGCCAGTCGGCCGGCAAGCTGTTGTCGTCATCCTGCTGGTCATCCATGCGCCGCTCACGGTCCTCTTCCTCCGCTTGCCTCTGCTGCTCGTACCGTGCTTGTTCCTGTTTCAGAAAGGTGCGCGCCATCAGCCATTCTTAGGAATTTTCTCATTCAAACGCGAGCTACACAGATGAAAACAGATCAACATTTTCAAACTCCTAAAACCCTATCACCATACCTCTTCGTCCTGTTCTTGTTCCTCCTCTGCCCTGCTGTCCTCCTCCCGTCGCATGCTGTCGACTTCTTTCTGCTCGTTTCTTCGGCTGCCTTCGACTAGTTTGATTTCCTTGTCTTCCGCAATGAGTTGGGCAGTGGTCGCCGCTTGCTGTGTAGTTTAGAAATTTGAAATTTCTGCATAATATTTTTTTCCTTTGGAAGAACAGAACTACGCGACGGTGGCACAATTTCCTGAAAAAAAAACTTTCCGACATACTTGCTTACCGCGGTTCCCAGCGAGCCCACCTGTGTCTTCAGGTCTGCCAATTGCTTCGACAGAACCTTGACTTCTCCCTCCAGCGTGACGGCTTCGCTAGTTTCGTCCAGCCCAAAACAGGCGGAGGCCCGAATTAGCGTGTTAAATTCCTCGATCTTGTCAAAGCTGTTCGGCCCAAACAGGTGCCGCACCGGGGTGCCGGTCTTATCGGTGGCGATCACGCCGACCGGGTAGGCTTCGAACGCAGCGGGGTCGACCGCGGCACAATTCGTTTTCATGACGCAGACCCCTTTCTCTCCGTCCGGAACGAGGGCAGCTTCGCCGCCATCCTGATAATTTTGGAAATGAATGTCACTTCTTTCAATCTAGTACTCCTGGTCGTGCTATGTTCCTCCCGTGTAGTACGGAAAAAGTCGTAGCGTCAGGGAAAAAGCAACAAGCCGTCAAGAACTACTATACCGGCGTTGCGACAGTTTCTGCCGACCCAGCCGCACTTCCGGCCGTTGCGTCCTTCATCAACCAAGTTGAGATACAGTTACCGGGGCCGAAGGAAACCTGAAGAAGTAGAGATTGCCGTTGTTGACCTACTAACTTCTTTGCAGAGGAAATTTCCAATTCGATCATGAACAAACGGAAACGCATTCGCCTTCGCAAGAAGTCCAAATCAGCCTATACTCGCTCGTCGTCTCTATCGAGGCTGACAAGGTCGAGCCCTCGTTCATCGTTGTCTGGTAAGTTCGCGGTCTGTGCGAAATGCGCTGGGATAGCAGGTTGTGCGGGCAAAAGGGCGCTCGCTTTCGGAAGCTCTTGCGTAGTTGTTGTGCCTGCGGGCTCCGCCTTGCTCTGCTTGACCAATACAAGTTGCGGATCTGCAGCAGCTCCAGGGGCGGCCTGAAAATATGCGAAGTACTTTTATCCTCTTAGCGGGTATCAATTCGAAGTGAATGATTGGGTGTTTGTAATTATACAAATACATTTCTGGCTACTTAGTAGCCCTGATAGATTGACACTCCTATCCGGTTTGAACAAACACGATCTCGCAATTCACAACTCACCTGGCGAACCTCCGCAGCAGCTCCCTTCGCTGAGGTACGAGCAGCAGCTCCTTCAGGGCCCCTCGTCCCCTTCTCCTGCACATTCGGCTTTACTGCAACTGCCGACAGTTTTTTCAAACTAGCGTTGAGCTCTGGGGGCAGACCGCAGACGTCGCAGGCCACGGAGGTGTCAAACTCCTCGACGGAGTCGAAACCACCCTTACCAAAGCTGTGCTTCTGCAGCAAACCGGGCTTCTTACACGTAAAAGCGAACTCCACGCTGTCCAAGCTGACATTCTCGGGACAGTGCGTCGCCAGCACACAAGTGCCCGATTGCGGGTTGCGACTCACGGACACGCAGTGCGCCGGACCGTACGTGCTCACGGTGGAGGACAAAAATTCCTTCTGTTTCGCGATTTTTATCGCAGAGGCGTTTGCCGTGAGCAGCAGCAGTGCCGCCGAGGGGGTAGTGGGACGACGGAATTTCATCTTTGCGACGGTCTGGGCTTGGTATAAGTGCGGTGTTTCTCAAAAAAAACCGCCACTTCTCTAGCCGCAGCTTCTCGTCGTCCCTCCTTCCTCGCCGCTTGCGTCCCTTGAGGACCGCAGGCGCGCCGCAGTGGCGAGAGGCGCTCGGCTTGGGCTCAACAAACCGGTGGCTTGCGGAAAGAATAGGCGGTACCCGAGCCTTTCTCTAGAGTTGTGAAAAGAATTCGACGGAATGTATGACGAGTCAAAAATCAATGAGAAAATAACCGCCTCTTGGTGATAGTACTAGCTCAGGAACCAAGCAGAAAAACACGTAAAGGGTATAAAACAACGGTAAAAAATACAACAAAACTGAAGAAGGAAATGGTCCTCAGAGTCGTCTTGCCATCACAAATCCAGCCTCACTCTCTCGCGGACGAGCTTAGGGGTCGTATAGGCACCCTTCCACGTTCTAAATGTCTCGCAAGCTCTGCAGAGAGCGGAACAAATGTCCGTTCTTTTCCAAGCGTCTTGTCGCGCATTGGCAGAATTTTCCATTTCAAATTTTCGTCTTTTACACAGAAAAACGCATGCGACAGGTTCGTCAGATTAAAATCGCTTGTCAATCGCATAGAAAAGTTTGTGGTCGTTTGCTATTTTCCTCAACGAAAAAACTAGGTCCGCATCGTCATCTTCTGGCAATTGAGCAAAGTACTTCGCCTTTCTCAACCAAAGCACTGCGGTGAACATCCGAGGTTTTGAAATTTTCAAGATTTGCCTCTGATAATCCGTACTTGCGTCATCCAATTCCAATCGGTTATGTCTGAATACTTTCGCAATAAAGTTCTGTTTCTAAAACAAATCGCTAGAGGTCCTCAAAACAGGAGCACTGATCTCGTTGATACTAGATAGCGGAAGTAAGTAATAGAAGTAATAGTTGCTGAAATACCAAGATCGTTTCATTTTTCTCGGACTGGGAGTAGTTGTTCTTGTTCCTCTCCTCATCTCGACGACCCACCCGTCTCCAAACAGATTCCTACACCGCCCTATCGGCGCGACGACGGACCACCACGGCCGCGCATGGTGCCGGGGCTGCGCCGACCGTTTTTCGCCTCCTGAACGGAAATTCGTGCCCTGTTGAAGCTGGTGTCGTCTAATTCCCGGATGGCCTTCTGGACGTGCCGATATTCAGAGGAAAAATCCCCCCTCCCCATATTGAAAAGGCATGTTTCCAAAAATTTGTGTTGCGGATTTGAGGTCACAAGTCACATGTGTCTTGCAAGAAGACAAGGGCAGAAGCTTCCGCCCCATTATGGAAGCGATTTGTCATGCTGTTGGGCCTAAAGGGCAGTCGTTTGCCATGCTGAACAACTAGACGCATGCGCCTCTACCTAGCCTGGGGATCTGGCCGCAATGCCTCTCTGCAATACAAAGCTGATTTGTGGCCCCAAATCAGCATCACAAATTTCCGTTTTGATATGGGGTGGGGGGATTTTTCATTTTGATAGCCGACCCTCGGTGAACTCCACGAACGCGAAGCTCTTCTGTCTCCCCGTGTAGTAGTTATCCAAGAAAAAAACTGTGTTAGTGTAACTTTCTTTGGCTGACAGCATCACAAATTTGCTGTACATGACAGAGAAAACCTGTCATGCGTGGCTTGTAAGGGAAAACACACATGGAAAGAGGACTTCGTGGCTGTCTGGCATGACAGGTGTAACTCTCTTCCTCTTGCATGTTCTGCATTACAGAGTTACACTTACACAGTTTTTTTGTTGCATAGTAGTCCTTTGGAATGTACACATCCCGCACCTCGCCGACTTCCTTCTCGATCAGATCCTGCAGCTCGTGCTGTGGGTTTTCATTTTTGGATATAGGTGATTTTTTCTCATATCGTAATTCCGTTTCCTCGTCGTGTCCCGGTAGGAACAGGAACCGACCTACTACTTTAAAATTTTCAGAGTACAAGCACACTTCAGCAACCAGGCACTCGTTGGTATAAAGTACCTTATCCGTGGAGTCTGGCAATCCGCGAATCAAAACCGACAAGCCGTCGCCCCGGTTCCGGCGCTCCCGGCCCGCATCGCCCCCGCGGCCCCGGGAGTCGCGGCTGCGACGACGGTCCTCCTTCCGCGGGCGGCGCGAGTCCGACCGGCGGCGGTCCTTCTTGCCTCTGGACTCCTCCTTCTTCCGCGGCGACGGGCTGCGGCTGCTCTTGCGGCTACGGGAACGGTCGCGGTCCGCCTTCTTGTCGCGACGACCCGACGCAGAACGGGAACGAGATACGGAGCGTGACATGTCTACTTCGTCTTCCACACTAAATAACTCTTTTTTGGCTGAAAATTTCTATCTTAATGGAAGCCTACACTCGATTGCACGTCCTATCCAGTTAAAAAACCAATGAAGTCCTATCTAAAATTTGAATGTCGCTTGTGCTCCGCTGAAAAGAAATTAATGACGATACTAGTGAATATCAAGCAATTTTTTTTAGCGCACTTCTTGCTTCGCTAGAGAAAGGTACTATACTGAGCTTCCTGTCCGCGAAAAGTAAAGTGTCACTTCTGCCGTTTGGGTGCGGTTTAAGTGGGTGTCGAGAATTTTTTTTCATCTCAACCTACTGTACTGAGCATTTCAAAAGCCGATCGTGATCGTTCATGCGCTGCATTTCAAAAATTCTGTGATCATGCCTCGCGGTTTATTTGCACTTCGCGGGGTGGAACTGAACACCAAGGTTGATCCAAATATGATATTTTTCAAATAACTTATCTTCGTTGATTCCACGCGCATTCATATTTGCCTCTTTCTAACAACGCGGCATCTTGGTCTGGCGGAAACAGCATCAGCATTCAGAGTTCAAGTCTGTTAAGAGCGACAATCTTGTTCTAAATATCATTTGCATGGGTCCAAGGACGCTATTGCAAATCAAGGTGAGTGCTCAGAAGTGATAAAGCAGTGAATGAATTGATTCTATAACTATATCCTACACGATTTTTACGAGTGGGTTTCAACGCAATCTTTCGCTGAGTATCAACAAGTAACTCCATCAACTTCACGAATAATTATATTGATGGCAGTGATGGAAAGGGAAGTGGAAGTCATAATGAGTTTCGTGGAAGCTACTGGTAATGCTGGTCATATCAACAGCCTTCGTAAGAGGTTTTGCTATACAATCAATTCGCACACGTCAGCCATGCTGAGCATGCTTACAGACGGCATTGAAAAACTTTTTGTCGCCGGTGAGAAGAATCTTTTGTATCCGATTGAACGGAAAACTTGCAATCACGTGCCCGAGGCAATCCCCAACGCAGCCCGGAGAATTTTCGTACACTCCGCACCCGATATCGCACATTACCAATGTCTGCACACTTTCGCTGTCCTCAACTGTTTGGAAGAGAGTCCAGAATTTCTTCTTGACGCCTTTCATATACTCATTGTAATTCTCCGGCACGTCGCGAGGCTGCCCGTTCACGAAGCGATTGCGGTTGTACATGGCCAACGTGAAAACCGTTGCAGTTCTCGGTTCCAATGCGAACATGTAGTGGGGCCCAGACCGAAAAAACTGAACATCCGGCGTGCAAATTACTTGAAAGTGTCCGAGCGCGGGTTGCTGGAATTCTTTGTCCAAGATCTGGTGCGCTCGGACCAGGCCGGAGTAAAGCGTCGACTGCACACACAACGCCTCCTCCAACGCATGCCGGCCTCCAGTAGCGAACCCCCCACCGGGACTGAAACGATTGCCCGCATTCACGACACCGAGTGCCCCATCCCTCGACTCATCATGCTTCCAAATGCAGTCCGTAACAAGGTTCAACTCTTGCCATTCGACCACCGGATTGTCGCCTGTCCAAGTGCGTTTTGGTTTTTTCATTTTCTTCCCGACCTCCTTGTGATCATGAATCGATGTGCCAAACAGCATCGCTTCGCGCTTCGCTTTGAGATGAACGAAGGGTTTTTGATAAAGACAATAACCGCCATTCTCCGCAGCCGCCTGTGTGGTAGCGGCAATTTCATTTCGCCACTTGCGATGATTCCAAAACTGCCCAGACCGAAGCCACGCGAGTGCGTCTCTGGCACCCACCTCCTGGCGCGCCACCTGGCCAGGCGGGCCGCCAAACCCGACGTTGATGCCGTGAGCGGGTAGAATTCCCCAGCCGCTGTGTTTGTATCTAGTGCAGATTTCCTGCACAAGCTCCTCAAAGCTGTGTTCGACATTTACTCTGCTAAAGGTATCCTTGGGGCGTGCTGTTGTTTTTTCGGCTTCATGATTTGTATCCGCTTCTGTACTGTTTTGATTGCCGTTGTTCTGGCCCTGATTCTGTAGTGCACCAGCATACGTCTTCACAGGACTGCGACATCTGGGAAATGGAGTTTGCGTCGGCGTTTCATTTCTCTCATATGGGGAAGTAGATTTCCGGCAGCGCTTGTCACATACGCCTTTCCCCCCGTCACAGCCACGACTAGACTTCCGCTTCCCCGATCTAGAGCGCTTCGTCGTATCGGAGTCCGCACCGCCACGTCCGCCAGCCGATGCGCGCGCCTGTGGATCGTCTCCACCAGCCCAGACGGAAGTCGCGCCGCTGATTCCACAAGCCGCAGTCGCTTCCGCCAAGTATGCGACATTCCCGTCATCAGCCGACATCACAGAACAAGGCTCTTCTTCGAGGGCGGCCCAAACAGAAGTTTCAGTTTGATCATGCACGAATAGGTTTTCGTCCTTGACTAGTTCTTGCGGATTTTCGACAGGTGCGAATCGCTGCTGGACCATCTGAGTCTGCTGCTGCTCCGGCATGTTTAGGTCATCCTGCGTGTGCGCCGGATTCAAAATATCCGTGGTATCCGCAGTGTGGGTCTGCTTCAAAAATTCCTCTTCTATCTTAGCCTGCTCGTGGTTGTCCACTTCAACAACCATATCTGCGTTGCGAAAGCGAAAAGGAGCGGATTCCCTTTCATGAGGCTCACCGCAACTTGCGCAGGTTGTTGGTGTGGGAGCACTGCTGATGGTGTCATTCCAACAAGCCGCACTCTCGTCCGCTGTCGCAGCGACGATCGTATCGTGGCTGGCGACATTTAGCCCGGGCAGAGAGGTCGAGGGCAACGAGGATGCTGCTACAGGTTCGATTTTCGTGGGAAGCTCAATAGCTGAGATAATTCCAATTCCATGCGTACTTGCAGAGGAAATATTGTCAGTGCAAGCGTCGTACTGCAGCTCCTGCTGGCAAACGCCATTGCCCGGCGCATTCTGGGAACACTTTCCACTAGCCGATTTCGGAATGGGTGCAGCCAAACGTTGATGGTGAAAGTCGCCGTGGCCTGGTCCTTGATCATTCTTCGAAGCCGATAAGAGGCTCTTTCCGTCGATTGCTGCCGGTTCCCTGTCGTGCGCTGCCTTGGCAGCTTCCTGCCATACATCAAATGGACTCCAGTTCCACATTGCTTCCACACTAGATGAGCTGGAGTGCTGCGATTTGTGCGGGAAGCACGTATCGTAATCATCTGCGCCGGGAGCGAAGGACTTTTGTTGCTGTGGCAAACAAGTGGGAGCAGCACCACGTGGCCCGGAGTGGCGGCCACACAAGTTATTCGGGGCGCTCTTGAAAATGCTCGAGGGCACGAAGTTGTCCATAAAAACTTCTTGCGAAGATCCCTCTGGTTGATGAAGTAGACCGGTCTCCAAATCCCGAATGCTCGCCGGGTGATCTTCTTGTGGCGGCGACGCAAGCATCCAAGAGCAAGTATTACCCATTTTCGTTTTCAGCCACCGACCGGTGTGACCACAGTAAAATGATTGGTGATCAGGCTGCATTCAGAGTCCGCCATCAGGTCATGTCCACGAGTTCAGCGAGAAAAAGAAAGTCTGGATTCGATAATTGCGCGACAACGACCGCGGAAGAGTACTTATCACGGTCCAATCAGTGGGAAAGTGAAATATTGTAGAGTGCTCAGTTCTTTCTCTTATACACAGAAATGCTTTTGAGCGAAACAAAAAGCTTTATTCAGTAGATCGGGTTGAGGGTATTTCTTCAGATTTAGGGTTTATGTTCTTTCATTTTCTCCTTTCAGAGCAGAAGATAGCATTGAAAGAGCGATGCCAGCAGCATTGCTTCCAGTCCTGAAAATTGATTCAATGGAATTTCGTTTTCCTGCTTCTGCGGTTTTCCTTTCTTCTTGTCGAATGGCACAAGTGACTCCCCAGCTATTTTGGACCCACGGAAGGCATTAACACGCTTCGGCGACCGCGTTTGGACCCAGGGAAGGATTGCAGACGATCTGATACGGATCACAAACTTTCCCGAGCATTTGCGATCACATTCACGTGAGAGCCGAGGAGCATCTTTATCCCGTCTCGCATCAATGTTGCGGTTCTAAACGCAAGCCCTTGCATGCTGCCAAAGCCAGGCTTTTTGTTCCCTCCGCAAGTTCAAATCGGCGTACAGCTACAGCCTTACACATCTGCCTTGAATGGTAATCAATGAGCTTCCCCTCCTCCTATCAAAGTCCAAGTCCATCGTAGATCGGTCCTGATATGTAAAAAACATGTATACTTCTATCCAATGAGTGCGATTTGGCTTTTCGTATTTTCTTCTTCATGATTGGTGCGCTGCGCCCGAAGTACTTTGATGTATTAAAGTTGACTGAGTATGTATGTATTTTGATATGAATGCCTATACATCACGTGAGAAGTACAGAAAAACTGGTCCATTCTCCTTGCCTTGGTGGGCAAAACAATCCTTCCCGAGAGCGCCCTACTCAGACGCGTCGCACGATTTTCACCTGATCATAATTGTAGACCACCCAGATATTCGAGGCCTGTTGAAAAGAATCCTTCTTGCGATTGACCAAGGTTGTGAATCCCAAGGGTTTTCCAGGAACCCCCACAGTTTCTACCGCACCAAGCCGCACCTTGCATTCGAAGATGACACCTCCGTAACCCGCGTAGCTACGAGCGACATCCTTGCTGGACGTCAGATAGATCCCACCCCCGGAGGTTCCGGTCCTCCCGCGCAAAAATTTTCCACTACTCTCAATAAGGGTGGCGTTCGCGACACTGGTACCGTGGTACAACGTCGCAACATTCGAATCCAGACGAGCTTGGCGAGCCGCGCGGTCGTACCGCAAGGCACTGTTGCATCCATTATCCGTGGCAGCCGGCATGGTCCTGTTAAATTGTGCATTTTTGCAGATACTTTGGCTCCCATTCCTGTAATCGATATTGCGCTTGCTATGCATCACTATCACCATTCAAAAGAGAAGCACCAAGTGACACAAATTCGCGTGTACTTCTGCGCCGTGCAACGACAGATCGGCTCTCCGCGCTGCTTTCCTGGAGGCTCCGGACTTGGATTTGTCGGAATATTCTCGATACTTCTTCAAAAATTAGATGTCTTCGAGGAGAGGGCACTCAACTGTTTTTTGTCTTAAAGTGGTACTTAGTCCAAGATTTTGGAGAAAATGAAAAATCAATGTCCGAGACGACTTGCCGGGGGAATTTCTTATGTGTGTTCTCGCGCTTATGTACTTCTTTGTTCTTGTCAGAAAGTACAGAAACATTATCGCCCTGTCTGCATCCCAAAAATCCCTTGCAGAAACAGATTCCAATCCGCGTTGGTCTACATGCACAAGTCGATCTAGTGAAAAGAATCTGAGAACGGCCACCGCACCACGTCATGCATGATACAGATCTTCGTGTTTTGGATCGTTCTTTACCTTCACTAGCAATGCCGAGGAGCACGACGGCGGCGCTTACTTTATGACCTTTCTTCACAAGTGATCGCATGACCAAGCCGCGAGCGAGTGAAAACAACTGTCCCACATTCCGTTTCCGTACAATCTGCCGAAATCCAAACGATTCGAATAGGTTGATGATACTTCTCGTGTACGTGCTCCTGCGAGGCTCCTGTGATATTCTGAAATAAATCTTTAGTTGATATAAACATGAGATAGGGAATGTTCTAAAGTCAGTCCGTTCCTAAATGGCTCTAAAAGTGTGAGAATCAATGTCCTAACCCTGCCACCGATCTAACTGCACATTTGCATTTGGCAGCTGTGAAAGTCGGTGACGGTGAGTGCGCAAGCAAAGCTCGATTACTTGCTTAAACAAGGACATTGCGATTGCCCTTAACAAATATATCCGGTCAAGCAACGAGAAAGAAAACCTTTTCCATGTCATTTGTCTAATCCTACACGAGTCCTTGCGGTCCCTCTACCGCAAGAACTTACTGAAATTCTAATGAGTCTTCATAACATCTTCCCGATCAAGAACTTCCACCTGATCTGCGTTGTAAACGGCCCATTCCGGGTTTGGACACATCGTGCTCATCACGCTGTCATAGCCCTCTTTGCGGAGTTTACGGAATCGCAGCGAGTCGTCTTTCACGCTGATACTTTTCGTCTTTCCCAGCCACACCTTGCAGCGGTACACCGCGCCTTTCTCACCCGGTTTGACCACCCGAGTCTTGTGGATGGCCTCCGCTTTGCTCTGCGCAAAGTAAATCCCTCCACCCGCGATCCTGTAGTAAAAAGCAAAGCGAAAGCTGGTCTATCCGTTTCTACGAACGGTTCTGACAAGCACCTTGAACGCAGACTAGCATGACAAGAAGTCGCCAATTCTAGACGCGTAGAAGCAGTAATCAAATCAGTAATTCCACACGGTATTTTGTCAGAAACAGAATAGTGAAAACCCGGTCTTTCCACGCAGTAGTCGGCGCTTCGGATCTCTCTCGATCGCAGCAGCGCTCTCGGTGGAGGTGGCGTGATACATCACTGTGTACGAATGTAATACAAACACGCGCTTGTAGCGTTCCTTCCCTTCTTGCGATTTGCTCGTGCTGCGCTTGAACTCTTGAACTTCGCCTTCTCCATCCATGTGGCGAAAATCATTGTTCGACGCGGGAGACGGAGGAAACGCAGCCGAAGCTGCGTCCGGCTCTCCAAAAAGAATCGCCGTCATCCTGGGTCGACGCGGTTCGACGTTGTAAGACGAATCCTCCTCCTCTTTGTCGGTTCGGATCAAACGTACCGCGGAATAATATGACAAAACTGATAGGGAGAAAAGAGAGACACCTATGGGGAGCAGTACTGAGATCAACACAAACAAGGTATTATGGCCAGCGCCAGACATAAGTACCTCGCTCCTTTTCAAAAGAGTTTCAAAAAGGAAACCGATTTTTGCCGGTACGTCAATAGTTCGAGCTGCCACAAGATCTTCTCCTGTGGTTATCAACCGTACCTAGAGGACTCACTTTCAAATATTATACGTAGCTAGTCAATACGATGCGTGGGGACGCCGTGGCTAAAAATAAAAAAAAGCAACTTTAGTTTTGGTGTGTAGAAAAGGCTTCTCCTTCCGTGCGAGATGCCGCTCTGTATTGGCAACCTGTGCCTGTCCTGAAAATTGGTTCCATTCTGGCCTCAAGAAAAAAGTATAAGCATGTACTGAAAACTTCTTAATCCTATACTGGAGCGCTAATTAGTCCTTACCCGTTTGTCGTCGGGGTCCACCATTGCCCTCGTGCAGAAATAAGGTGCTGCGGCTCCTTCTGCGGCCCGATAACAGAGAATGAGACTCACCAAAATTGTCCCAACCACGATGCTGGAGACGAATGAGTTCTTCACGATTGAGCACAATGATAGCGACTTGAGATCACGACAATGAGACCATAACTTCGATTGCACGATGCTAGAAAGCGAGAAGTAGTAGAACCAACGTGTGTGCGCTTTTGAGATCGAAGACTGCGAGGATCAAGGCATTCCCACAAATCGGCCTAAGGAAGATCAGGATTGAGAACACGCTCCTATTTCTCCATAATAATCAAACCGGACTCCTTAGTGTCGAACGTGCAGTTTTGAAAACTTAGCTCGTAAGAAGACTTACGTAGTGCGGAGTAGCGCTCAGAAGACTTGCAAATCGATCTGGTTTGACGTGGCGGAGTGCGTAACTCAGTCACGAGACTGCGCCCAGGGGTCTCCTAGATGTAGATCTTCAGCCCGGCTGATAACATACAAACCTTGTGGACTATTGTTGACTCAAAAAATTGCGATTTGACCTCGTTGAGCTTGTGCGCAACATGGTTGCACCAGCTTCTGTTGACCTTGATGTAAAAGACTGGACTCGTCACTGAGGGTTCGTGATAGTAAAAGACTGGTAAAAGACGTGAAAATTTCTCTCGCGTCGACACAATCGTGAAAACGCGCTGCGCCGGTTCCGAGAAAAGCAGCGGCAACGCTATCACATGCTCGTGCTACCTGCGCTTCTGCAGTGCTGCCGCCATCTGCCCGGGTTTGAGCGACCGATTCTTGTTGTTTCTCGCCGCGGCGCCACCACCCCCGACCGAGGAGCTGGAAGACCCGCTCGGCAAAGGTGTTGTTTTGTTCAAGGTCGTCGGGTTTCGCGAGCCTGCAATCAAACGGTTCGGCTTCGCCCTCGTGTCCTTGCACTTTGGAATGTGCCTCTTCGCGGCGTCGGCCGCGAAGCGGCGCCCACAATGCGGACAGGGTACTCGATCGTCCGCGGCGGCTGATGTGGGCGTGAACTCCGGCATGGGGCCACCCGTTTTCTCGGCGACGGCTGCGGAAGAAGAACGTTGGTTTTTTGGTGTATGAACAATTCGTCCACCTGCGAGCAGCGAACGCTCGCAGAGACAACAAGTAGGGAAAACGAAAAACCAATAGCAATATCAAATCACAAAAACAACAAAAGTAGCGTTAAGTATACAAATGAGCCTCGCATTCCTGATTGCGTTCCGGAATTCTTCAGACTTCGTTTTCCACTTCTGGTTTTTCACCAGCGGGCCGGCTTGTTTCTCCTGCAGTGTTTCCTTCCGTAGGGCTTGTTTTTGCTCCTCCTCCATGCGTTGCGCGGCGACGTTGAATTCCTTTCGCTTCTTCATAAACACCTTCTGGCAAACCTTCACGTGCTTCTCGAGCGGCTTTCTTGCGAAACGCCGGCCACAGTGTGGACATGGTATGCGGTCGCCTTCATTTTGATCACCTCCACCTGGGTCTTGATCGTCGACGTCCGGTGACAAGTCATCGCTTGTGTGTATACCTCCACCTCCGAAATGATCATAGCCCGCATTATCACCAGGAGGCGGCGGGTGGTGGTAGGGCGAGGGGTTGAAGTCAGCGGGGCCTTTTATCGTGCGTATGTGGAAGGAACTTTCGTACTCTTCGTCTGCAGTGGTGCTACGGTCGCTCGCATGCAAGAAGGATTGACTCTGCCGCTGCGACATGTAGGAACCTAGGGTAGAGGATTCAAAATTCAAATTGCACACACGACAGAAGCAGAAATTGACATTGCTCTGAAATCGTGAGCACGAGAACCCCACACGCAGCAGCACAAACTCCACGAAAAAACTTACCTTGCGGAGGTATGCCGTGTATGTCCTGGAACGACGCAGTCCCTTCTACCGGCGGAGCGGGAAAGTGGTCATCTGTAGTATACTTTTTCAATTATGAAAAAGTGCAAAAGCGACAAGAGCAAGACAAAAAGAACCACCGCGTTCCGACTTTGAATTCCAAAACAAAAAAATATAGCTGATAGTACTCAAATTCGTTGGCGACTGCGGCATGTTGGTAATATTATTCGGCTCCGCTTTCATCGGCGGTGCGGCTTTGAAGCCGGGCGGCCTTGCATTCTCGGGCTTCTTCCGACGGCGCGGTAACGTCGCTGGAATGGCGCCCGCGGTAGACGAACTTGCCTTGCTTTCGCCGACCTTCAGTGCAGACACGCCAGGGGAGTTCTTGCTCACCAGTGGGGATGCGGGCGTGCTCTTCCGCCGCTCTGCCAAATTCGTGCCCTTCGGCTCAAGAGGTGTCGGGTCCTTGTGCATGACGGTCGTGTCATTGTTCCATTCTTGCGCTGCCGGCGGGCGCCGCGGACGCCGAGGCGCAGCAGCGGGTCCTGGCGCACCGGAATTGGAAGACTGCGAAGGTGTCCCCGTCCTTCCAGAAAGAAGTGGCTCCTGGACGCTGTTGCTCTCCGAATTCATGCCTCCATTCTGTGCCGGTCTGGTGCGACTACTGGTTGCGTTGGTCGACGGGCCTCCGTTCGCTGCGTGCAGATTTCGCACCGGCTGTCTGCGATTCCCCGCTGCATCGAAGCTGCCCGCAACCGCATTACTCTTCGCACGAGCACGCCTGGCTGGGTTCGGCGGACCGCTTATGTCGCCACTGGCGGTCGCATGATTCGTTGTTCCGAGCGCCGCTCCTTCGCTGCCCAGTCGCGGCCTACCCCGACCTGGATCGGGATCAGGGTAAGTATCGGCAGCCGATCGCGAGCCTTCGTCTTGCTGCGGTGCGGAAACAAAACTTTGCGGTGGTGCAAAGCCCGACCCTGCGCGATCTCGTCGTGCTGGTAGCACCGCAGGTGTGCTTGCCGCGGACGCCGCCACGCTCCGGGGGTGCCGTGCGGCGGGGGTGCGGCCGCCACCGATCGTGGCGGGTGTGGCGTCTCCGTCGTTGTTATTGACGTTGGTGCCTTGAAACGTGGATGACAACTTCCTGTGCGTTCGGTCTAGCGAGTCCGCGCGGTTTGCTGCTGGGTTCCTCGCCATAGCTTGCGACTGCTGGAAAAGCTCTTGCCGGTTTGCCAGAACGCGCCGAATGTTATCGGCATTTGACGTCACGGAAGGCTGTATGTAAAAGAATATGGAAAAAATGAAGAAACCTCAGCAGTCATTTTGGTTGTGCTTGCGGCACACTCCTTCATCAGGTTCCTCGAATCAATTGCCAGGAAAAATCGAAAAAACAAGTACCTCTCTCGGCGCAGGAGCGTTATTCGGCGGGTTTGCTTCCGCCGATGCGCGGCGGCGCGTTACGCTGGTAGGCTCTACTGCGCCGGGTGGACAGCTTTTCGTGGCTGCCAACGGCACCTCGACCGGTGGGGGCGGTGGAGCTATGGTTTGGCTTTGGCTCAGTTGCTGCACGTACTGCTGGTGGTTGTGATTGCTGTGGGACTTGTTTGCCCTCGTGGAAACGGTTTTCGTCTTCAATAACCGCAAGTTCGGCTGCGCGTCATTGACCAGCTCGCGGAACGTTCGATAGACGCTGTCTGCGTGCGGCCCGACTGTGTTGCATGATCAAGAATGTCCGCGCTAAATTGCAAACCAGAACCGAGCTATTTTTTTGATACGCGTTCAAAACCTAACCTACTGCTCATCAATGCAGAGTATGTAAGTACTTAAGTACCTAAATGAGGATCGGGAGCAGACCCGGAGCGGGACGCCCTCTCTGGAGAATTGTGTCCCTCTCCTGGTTGTGGCGGAAACCGTAGGAGTGGAGCCGTTGCCATCGGATTCGGCCCTCTGCTCGCCTGGGTCGGGGTGGAGCCTGTGGAGTGATTGAAAAGCACGACTTGAGACATCAATACTAGATGCGAATTTTACAAAAATACAGTGAGATTTTGGAAATCAAGCGAAAGCGAAAGGTCTGTACGTTGCATGCTGGGTCCACTGTAAAAACTCTTGCCGAGCAAAGTCGGTGTCCCATATGCGGAGGGCCCGTAGGCCGAGGGGCCCTGGTAATGCAAGCCGCCTTGCATGGTCTTCGTCTCTTCGGCACGGAAACACGTCACTTAACCAATGGCGACGGCCGTCACGGCAATTTTTCAAAAAATCTTCGTAGCTTCATGGCAGACGCAGCAGGAGGAACAGGACGCGCAAATACTCATCGTAGCCTTAACCTTTAAAAAAATCAATCTAAAAACCCATTCGGCTGTGTTTGCGGGCAGAGGCACTCACACTCCACGTCACATATTCGAAATGTTTGCTCGTTTGAAAGAAGCGACTCTCTTAGCCGGCGCTCGCGCTCCAAAAACTTTCGCCACTGTTGCAATGCTTTTCGATGCTTCTGCACTCTCTACGATGCGAAAACTCTCAACCACGTACTGCTCTACGATGTGTTTTCTCATCATTGATCGAGGGAAGGGAACGATTTCGTCGCAGCTGAAGTAAACTGAGAATGCCTTCGCCAACGGCACTATAACAGAACAAAAAAGGGTTTGATTTACAGAACCACACCCTACTGCTGTACTTCGTCGCTTTTATTGCTTTTTTTCACCTGACTGCGGGCGTAGCAGCCTCCTCCACGACGTCTAGTTGCGAAAAGTCTATGACCCGTCCGGCGCACATGTTTCGCTCCGAGAGCGTGCAAGCTGCGCGGGTGGTGGCCGTGGGCAGCCCCGTAGTGGGCGCCGGGGCCGTGTAGATCTCCATCGTGCAATATCTGCACAAATACTGCAGGTTTTGCAGCGTGGTCCTCAACCCCGGCATCCCTACCGCGCACTCGATGCGTCGCTCGGGCACGGGCGTGGTCCAGTACTCCAGCCGCGTGTCGTGCGCCTGGGTCCAGCACAGGGGCTCGTCCAGCATCGCGCCCACGATGCACTGATCGACCTCCGGATCCAGCGGGACCGGAAAAAAGTTGATCACTTCGTCCGCTGGCAAAGGCGGCGCCGTGATGTTCCGCAGGTACTGGTGCTCGATCATGGCCTCCGTCATGAGAATGTGCGAAGTTCCCGCGGACAGGAGCGAAAACCACTGCTCGAGCGACAGTGGCGAATTCACGATCTGGGCGTAGTTGACGTACTGGAGGGCGTTGGGAAACGGGTAGGAGAACAGCGTGTCGTTGAACAGATTCCGGTTCCGGCTCAGGATCGTCAGGTCCAACGCGTACGACTTCGGCCAATCCAGCTTATTGAGTGAAAACTCCCCCCTCCCCATATCGAAAAGGTATCTTTCCGAAAATTTGTCTTGCTGATTTGGGGTCACAAATCACATCTGTCTTGCAAGAAGACAAGGGCAGAAGCTTCCTCCCCATTATGGAAGCGATTTGTCATGCTGTGGGGCCTAAAGGTCAGCCGTTTGCAATGCTGACCAACTAGATCCATACGCCCCTCCCTAGCCTGGGGATCTGGCCGCAATGCTTTGCTGCAATACAAATCTGATTTGTGTACGCAAATCCAGCATCACAGATTTCCTTTTTGATATGGGGAGGGGGGATCTTTCCTTTTCATACAGCTGTCCCGTTATTCTGTCCGGCGTGTAGACCAACTTCGCCTCCGTGTGCGTCCGCGGATCGAGGACCCGGGCCTCGAGGTCTTTTGACACGAAGCCAGACTTGATCACGACATACCACACGTTCACGTTTTCCGGTACCGGCATGGGCGTGTCCTTCGGGATGTCGAAGGTCTGCGTCGACACGTTGACGGTACCTAGCATCTGGATGTCCTGGCCGTTGTTGTAGTTCTCGGGCGCGCGGAACCAGATCTCGTGCCGGGTCAGGCACGTCGTGTTGATCATCTTGATGTCCCACACGACGCAGCCGCCGACGCTGCCAGCCCGGGCGTCGGCATCGGGAAACCGAATGTTGCTGATCTTCGGCTGGTAACCAAGGTCGTAGAAAACCTTCACGAGAACGTTGTGCTTGTGCACGCCAACGTTGGTCTGCGCAAACACCGCCCAGTGGCTGTACAGGTCGTTTTCCGTGTCTACCGTTTCAAACACGTGCACAGGCTGCGGCGCGGCGTTGACCAGTTTGAACTTCGTCGAGTTCTGTACGCTCTCGCCATCCATAACGTAAACACCGAAAAAGCGTAAAGGGTTCCGGACCGTGTCCGCCAGTTGGAGTCTTATCACATGTGAAAATTCTTACGTTTTCTGTATCTACATGTCACACTTTGAGTAACTGCGTGCGATGAGGGTATAGGGTTTAGCGCCAGGTGAGTGTTCAAAGCGCAGAATTTTTTTCACCTACTTTTTGCAAATTGGCCAGCGTTCCAGACTACATAATTTAGTGGAAAAAGTGAACCCCTCCCGTTCTATTACAATCCGACCGTCTCAGGCTCCCCTGCACGCCGGCCCTCAGCGTTGAGGAAGTAGCTGCACGCGGACAAGGTTTTTCACACCTGATAAAATTCGCCGAAAAGCCCCACAGAAGATTGCCGCCCAGCGCCTCGCAGTTGGGGTTGGTGTCCGTGAAGGTCAAGCCCGTCCACGTCAGTACGTTGTCCATGATAGCGCCGGTCGAAGAGAACACGTCCGAGGCGTAGAGCACGTTGCTGGTGTCATTCAGATCCAGCAAAACGGCTTGAAAATCTAGCCTCGTGACGTTGAACATGAAGTCCGGGCGTAGCAGAATCTGGTACTGGTTGTCCTGCACATAGTTCACGGACAGATAGCACGTTTGCGTCGCGGTGCCCTCCTCCACGAAGACAAAGGTGCGGGGGTCGACCGGGACCTTATCGACGTTCGCCACCTCGATTGCGTCCGTCAAGTTGTAATCAAGCTCCTCGCACATCGGGTACCGCTGCTCAATGTTGTGCAAGGTACAGTTCCCAGTGGTCTCGTTTCCCCCGACACAACGAAGCTCTTGCGTCTCGTTGATGAACCTGAATTTGAAAGTTTATCACTATGTTGATGCAAAAGAAACTTGCTCTACTAGTACGCCTCAGTGCAGTCGCGACGTCTAGAATAAAACTGCGTTGAAAAGGAAGAACAACGTCTATACTTCGTCTGCAATTCACAAAACTCGGCCCGTGAAAATAATCAAAGATCCTACGTGAGCGTGACTCGATTTGCAAAAACCCCAGTGAAGCTGATTTGGAACTCGCCACCGCGCTCGTAGGGGTCGAGATCCGCGTCCTTAAACCCCACGGTGGTGACGGGCGTCTGCTCCTGCTTGTATGTGAACGAGTACGCGGTCGGGTAGGTGCAGTTCGCCACGGTTGTGTCCGTCGAGTCGGAGAGTCGACACGTCCCGCCCGTCCAGCCGGCGAGCACGCACCGTGCCTTGTGGTCGCACATGCTCGAGCACGACTGCATGGTCTGTCCGGGAATTGCCTCGAAGGACGAGACGGGGCACTTGCCGGACACCAAAGTTTTCAGCTTCTGGGCGTTGTTGCTCGGTTCCTGGACCAGCGCCGCGATACTGTAGTGGTCCCAGCCGCCCACGGTTCTGCCCACCATCACACGCACGATTTTGCCGTCGGTCGAGTTCGCCACGCCGGAGAGGGTCACCGACGGCTCCGTGTTCGCGACCTGATAGTCGTGTTTGTCATGTCAATGTCGAGCCGAAACCACATCTGAAAATGGCAGCCGATAGTACAGAGACCCAGTGCAGCAAGTTGTCCCATACAGAGACCACAGCACGAAGATCATGCTGTAAGCATAAAACAGCCAAAGAAAAAAAAAACCCTCGTACCGCAGCCCCGGGGAAGACCGGGAACTGGAATACTGCGATGTCCGACTCTGCAATGACGGCCGCCATGGTGATCGACGTTCCGTCCGGTGCGGAGGCGAGGTACAAGTTCGTGACGTTTTGCACCGTGTTCATGACGTAGTTAGACCAGACCGTCGTCTATCAAGTGTAAAAATGTCTGGTGTTTTGTCTGGAAACAAGACCTTGGTACAGCACGGGGAAGAGAACGACTTGAACTTTTTGAAGAAAGAAAAGAAAAGAGAACTACGTGGATGCACTATGTAGAGAGAGATTAAAGCATGCTATTATGTCCACCGGTGGAACTAACTACTGCTACTTATACTATCGCTTGCGCAACATACAAATTGGGTGCAGTGAACTTCTGCCCACGGGGTCCCGCAGGCTCTACCAAGGTGCTACGCTGGCCAAAGCGCTAGGCACCTGGGAGCCTGTGGGTGCTCGCGCAGTAGTGTCATGGCCGTGCGAATAGCACACCGTGGGTGCATGCTCACTACTATTCGCTGACACTACTGCCGTTCATGACCCTATCCCCAAATGCGCATTCGAAATAATTATACTAAGAACTATCACAGCATTTGAGCAAGGATCACCACAAGCATGAACTAGAAAATTATAGATCAGTATTTTTGTACGGAGATTTATTATGACATGAACATGAAAGGAACTAGGTGCCGGATTTTAGCTTATACATGGGGGAGCTTGTGTGTGTGTTCTGAATTTAGGAACTATCTATCTTAGGTAAAAATGTCTGGGTCTGGAAGATTCTAAACTTGTAATGCTGTCTCTGGATTCTAAAAAAATTTGTATTGCATGACCAAGAAAAGGACTCCAGTTTGTGCTACGTGGAGAGGGCATTTCTCATGCGGTAGAGGCATCACAAAGCACTCAAAAAATCTGTGATGCTAGGGCATGCATCACAGACATCATGGATCATTCAAAATATGCATGACAAACCCGGCAATCTTCCAGATCCAGACATTTTTACATTTGATATCGTCCCCGTGGGTCGCTGCCAGAATGCGATTTTCCCCTGGCGTATCCCGCCGATCAGCTGCAAGGCCGCGATATCAAATGTAAAAATGTCTGGGTCTGGATGTCATGCAGATTTTACATGACACATGACGTCTGTAATGCATAACCTGGCATCACAGATTTTCAGCGGGCTTTCTGATGCCTATCCCGCATGAGAAATACCCTCTCCATGTAGCACAAACTGGAGCCCTCTTGCTGGTCATGCAATACGGATTTTTGTACAATGCAGAGACAGCGTCACAAGTTGCAATCTTCCAGACCCAGACATTTTTACAGTTGATACGCGACCTGGATGAAATTCTCCACGGTCACACTGGACAAGTACTCCACCGCGATGGAGTTCTTTGCGCGCGACGGGGTATCGGTGAAGACCACCATCTCCTCACCGGTGGTGGGGGATTTTCGGTCCTGGTTGAGCATCATGACGATTTCGTCCGTGCCCGTGTCGATCACGGCCAGTTCAGAGATACCCGACTCCGCGGAGTAGTTCTTATCGAGCAGAAACGGCGCGGTTGGGGTCGTGCGCTGGAACACGCAGAGCGACCCCTCCGGGTGGGTCTTGTTTTTGCCGGACGCGACGACCAACAGCCGGCGGTCGAAATTCACCGTACTCGGGCGGACGTGTTCGCTGCCGCAGGGGTTTTGCACCTGATACGTCACGTTCAGAAAGTTCGGCTGCAGCTGCAGAATTTGCACCACGTCCGCACTGGCGACCACCAGCTCGTCCTGGTACAGCGCGATGGCGTCGAGCTGGTCCTTGCTCCGCGTCAAATTCACATTCGCCTGGGTGAACACGCGTGCGGCGCCGTTCCAGCTGGCGCCCTGCGCGTCCGTCTCGAACTTCGCGACGCCCAGGTCGGTTTGGCTGTAGGTATACACGAGCTGCTGCCTGCGAGAATCCAACTGCAGGAATGGTCGCACGTGCGCTGGGCTGCCTATGTCGACGTCCACGCTGGCCAGCCACTCGGCCAGCGTAACGGACAGGTGGGCGAGCAGGAGGGCTGCAACGGCGATCGCGCTCCGCTTTTTTGACCGAGCTTGATTTTCACTCGATGGCTGTAAGCCACGTATTCGTGCCTTCGTGCGCTTCGGCTTTATGCGCTTGCTGCGCATGATCTCCATCATCTGCTCCGCGTCTATCTTTATTTCCCTGGCCTTTTGATGTGCTCTGGGCAACATAGTTTCCGTATCCTCCTCCGCATGGTCTGGTGCTGGTGGTCGCTTGCGCTTGCGCCATGCGGCCCGCAAGCCGGAGGATAGCTGCCCTCGTTTTGGTCCCATGAACGGCTGAAGAGAACGCGGCGCAAGCAAAGCTACAGCGCTACTACGCGATGAAACCAACGACGGAAAACCACAACATGCATCTTGCTTTTTATCTTGTCACTGTGCTTTTATTGCGATAGCGTAAATCGAATCCAAACCAAATCGCACAGGTGGTTGTGTTATCAACCAGTACGAAATACGCCCAGCAGAAGACCACTCTGCCTTTGAACGACACCAAATAGATGGCGGCCACTTGCACTCTCTCAAGGCACAGATTTGTAAAGATAGACGTTCGAAATGCCACTGGAAAGAAGTAGCAACTCCGTCCACTTGCGCAGCAACACTCGACACCTACCCTCTTTCCCTCTGCAGCAGCCTTATGCCCGCTCCGCAATGGATGCTGATAAAGAAACACCCGCTCGGCCTCGGTCGGCCAAAGACCAGGGGTGACTTGAAACTTTTCCGCGAGTAGTATAATGCTGCAACAGACACTCGAAGTAAAACATGCGGCAAGTTTTCATCTCTCGCTTACTTGAGGTATGTATTCCATTCGTTTCTTAAGGTTGTTGCCTCGAGGAGCGCTTCTAGAAGTTGTAAGTAAAGAGAGTAGCAAAGAGAGGCAAGCAGCAGGCTTCCAGCAGTATTTGATACTCTTAGCTAAACCGATGCAGTGCCGCGTGTACGGAGAATACCTCCGCGCACGCACAACCACATCGTCTAACTGCTTCGAAAAAAAAGACGGTAAAACCTACTTGCGAGCGCAAAATGAAACAATCCAGGTGCTAACTTGGTAAAAAAAACACACCATACTGATGCTTACGGAAGAAACTTACAGAAACACTTACAATGTGCAAGAGAAACGGAACGAAGAGACGTCAGAGGAACAAAACCAACAGAAAATTTACAGGTTTGTTCAACCTCAGAAACAAACAAGTAGTAATTACGTAGAGAGAGATCGTAAACCACACTTGGCCACTGTACAAGAAGATAAACATGAGACTAGTAGTGCTGTCTTACTCTTCGCAGATTCCCATCCGGAGCTGATGTCCACGACTTCGACGCCTGGGATGCATTAGAAACCTCCAGGGGCAGGCTCAGCGTCCGGTTCCGGTTTCTTCTCCGCAGCCTCTTCTGTCGCGGCGCCTTTCCCGCCACCACCCGCAGCCTCGGGGCCTTTATCCTTGCCTTTCAACTGTTCCTTCGACTTGCCTTTCGACTCGTCCCCCTTGTTGCCTCCTTTGTCGAAAGCCTTTCCTTTGCCTTTATCTCCTTTGTCAAACGGCTTGCCTTTGCCCTTATCTCCTTTGCCCTTACTATCTCCACCTTTGCCCTTGTCATCCGGAGTTGGAGTTCCACCTGCGCCATCATTTTTTTCCGCATCGGACGCGGCATTTCCCTCGCCAGTGGGTGGCGGAGTGTCTCCCTTTCCCGTTCCGTCTTTGCCCTTTCCGTCTAGCGGGCTCTTGCCGTCTTTGCCCTTGCTGTCGCCGCCTTTGCCTTTTCCCTCGCCAGTGGGTGGCGGAGTGTCTCCCTTGCCCGTTCCGTCTTTGCCCTTTCCGTCTAGAGGGCCCTTGCCGTCTTTGCCCTTGCTGTCGCCGCCTTTGCCTTTTCCCTCGCCAGTGGGTGGCGGAGTGTCTCCCTTGCCCGTTCCGTCTTTCCCCTTTCCGTCTGCCGGGCCCTTGCCGTCTTTCCCCTTGCCATCGTCGCTTTTGCCTTTCCCCTTGCCGTCTTCGCCCTTGCCGTCTTCGCCCTTGCCGTCTTTCCCCTTGCCGTCTTCGCCCTTGCCGTCTTTCCCCTTGCCGTCTTTTCCCTTGCCGCCGTCGCCCTTGCCGTCAAACCACCCCTTTCCATCCTTTCCTTTTCCATCTTTCCCCTTGCCATCTTTTCCCTTGAAGTCCCACGGGCCCTTACCGTCTTTCCCCTTTCCAAACTTTCCTTTATCGCCATTGATGCCCTTGTCATCTTTGCCCTTGCCCTTGTCCTCGCCTTTCTTTCCTTTTCCCTTGTCGCCCTTGCCCTTGGCCGCCCCCTTCGGCGCTCCCTTCGGCGCCGGACCGGCATTCGCGTACTTGGCGCAGTACTCCGTTTGTTTATCGGGTTCCGCAGTCAACGGATACGGCAAGCACGTCGTGGGATTGGATCGCAGCCCGCTGAGCAATCGTACCTGCTCGCCGCTTTTCGACCTGCTCTGGCCAACTTGCACCTAAGTCCATTCATTCGCGTTTTGCTTGTTTCATCTGCTGCTTCTTGAATAGCGCTGCAGAATAGCAGCTTCATCTCACGAGAGGACAAGTAAAAAGCTGTATCATTCAAAAACTTGAACTTCCACGATGCTACGAAATTGATAAATGTCGGTCCGTCTAATCGAAACAGCAGCGCAGTGGCGACGAAGACCGAGGAAAAAGCAAGCACAATAAACCGTTCCTTACCAGTATCACCACGGGGTCCTCGTCTTTGTATTTCGTCTGCACGGTGCGGCTCTCCCCCGGTAGGTTCTCCGCGAACACCCTTCTGTCTTTCGGAAAGGGGGAATCGCCGTCACCGGACCGCAGTTCGGACGCGAGCATCATCTGCACCGGCTTTCGCTCCTCGTGTTGCAGTTTCTTCGCAAACCGGTCCCGCCGAGCGTCGTCCGCGATGTGGGCCTTTAACCACTTTTCCAACTCCTCCTCAACTGTCGCTTCCGGCTGCTGTCCTTGAGCGGCCGGCGGCTCCTGCTCCAACGCCGAGGAGGCTTCGAGCCCGCCATCCGGCAAGTAGTTGCTGCGATGCCGCACGCGCCACGTGCGGCCCTTCCGGCTGAAGAGCTGCGACTCGATGCGCTCCTGGCGAAAAGTCATCCGCTTTTTCGTCTTCCCGAGTTCCAGAGCGGACGCGGACGACGAAGAACTTGAGGATGTTGAAGATCCGGTCAACGCGACGGCGCTGCCCAAATTGTCCGGGCCGGCCGGAAAAAAGTTAGGAAAGTCCTCCCCGGCCATGCGCAGGACGAGCTCCGTCCACTGCCCATTCCGGATCATTTCTCGAAACTTCGCCCGGACAACGCTCACGTCGTTCGGCGGCGTGGGGAGGTTCTCGTACGACGTTTTTGCGGACCGGTCGTAAAACGAAACAGCCTCGAAAATCTCGCTGGGTACGTCGTCCAAGTCGTTTTCGGTGCGCAGCTCGAAAATGCTGGCGCCCTGCAGGGTTGCCGTGTGCGCGGGGGCGTCTTTCGTGGTGGTGTGCCAGCAGTCCTGCAGGAACTGTTGCGACCAGTAGGATTCGAGCATCTGGGCGATTTTGGGCTGCAGGAGCGTGTAGCGGTCCTGGCCGAAGGCGTAACTGGGGTTCGCGGCGGCGCAGTCATGCTCCCCCAGCGAGCAATCCATGCAGACGCCGGAACGTGGCGGGTTCAGGATCTTGATGACCGCGCGCTCCACGCACTGGTTCTTACAGTCTAAAAGCGGGCTATTTTTGAAGACTTCTCCAAACGGCGAGCCCTCCGCCGACCGCGGCATAAGCTCGCCGAGCGTAGAGGCCAGTTCGTGCTTCGTGCCCGCCAGGAAGGACGTGAGCGGCTGCATCTTCCAACGGTTGCTCAAATCCTGGCCGCCGGGCCCGGGCGGCCAGAAGCCCACACTGCCCTGGCCGAGGCCGTAGGGCAGCGGCAACTCCTCAAACTTGTGGAACTCCTCGGCGGTCAACAGGCGGAACTGCAGTCTTTCCGGAGCAAACTCCACGGTCCCGGTGGCATCGCCGACCAGGTTCAGAATGTCCTCCTGCGCGTCGGCCGGCAGCGGCGCCCCGTCCTTCGGCTGCTTCTCCTTCAAGATCGCGGTCACGTTGGGCTGCAGAATGTCGGGAACATCCAGAAAATACGTGATTCCGGCTTCTGAAAAGAGGATTTCCCGCCCCTTCGGCAGCTTCTGCACCTGTGGAATAAACGTATTCAACAGGAAATTTCATATAAACAGAACTGTGGTCCAATGCTCTTTTCTGGAAGACGGCAAAAGAGAAAGCTTGTTAAGCTAGAGTTAGTAGGAAACCACAACACAGAAGAGTAGTACCGCAACGCGTTCGCCTATTCTGCGAAGCATTTCTTCTGTGTTCAAGCAGAGGTCTAGATCCAGCTCCACCTCGTTCTCTCGGTCGTACACGGTGTCAATCGTGATCGCTCGGAAGTACTTCCTTAACTGCGTCGAGGAGAACTCGAACGGGTGCGGGTCGGGCTCCTTGTACCCAATCTTCACTTGCCCGGTACCGCGGTACTCGACCGCCGCGGACAGCATCATGCGCAGGAAGATCATCTGGTTCAGGGGGCAGAATTCCGTGCTCCACAGGTCCACCGCCATCACCGGTTTGTGCGCGAACAGGTGCCCCGACACCTTGGAATCCGCCACCATCACCAGGCCGTTTTCCAGCAGCTGGGTCAGCACGCCGTCCACGTCCGGCGGGCACACCGGCAGCTCGGGCTGCCGGTAGGGCTCGGCGCCGCCCACGCGCGGGTACCCGTTGTAGGGTTCGTACCCGGCGTCCGGGCGGACGAGGAGGGAACAGAGAATGCGCCGCAGATCGTCCAACTTCGCCGCCGTGCCCCGCAGCGCTACCTCCTCGTCACCGTGCTGCTTCTTCACCTCCTTCCACGTGCGCAGCGTGTACTGCTCGAAACTTTCCTGCGGCACGAGCTGGAAGTTCGCGACGTACTCGTCCTCGCCGGTGATCAAATCGAGCGAGACCCCGCCGTAGCTGCCGACCGGAATACACAAAGCCACCACGTCCGCCGCGTCCTGGCGCTTGAACATGATGTTCTCGTTCAGCACGCAGTCCTCGGGCATGCCGCGCACCGGATTCAGCCCCACGCGAAAGAAGATCGCGTACAGCGCGTCCCCGTACACCTCAATCTTCTTGGTCCACTCTCTGCCATCCGTCAGCACGTCCGTGTAGTTTTTCGTGAGGAAATCCAGCGACAGCATGAACATCTAGTGTAGTTGATCATGACACTATCAAGTGGGAATTGCTCTGGGTATAATTTGTACCAATGTAGGGACGTGCATAAAAAAATGCTACTGCTGAAATCAGCTTAAGTTCTTGCAACTTTCGGTCGAAGAAATTGAAAATGAAAATCCGGCAGATCATCACACCAGCGTGGTAACTACAACTCGTCCTCACGACCCAAACACGATATATTACCCAATTATCCACCATGTATTCTATACCTGTGAGGATTCGGAGCAGGGCTCGCGCGGCACGGCGTGCTCGTAGCTTCCCCGCTCATTGAAAGGGTTCATGTCCGGCCCTTCCAGCCCGTAGGCCCGCTCCAACGGCGAGACCGGGCGGTACTTTTTCTTGTGCGTCACTCCCTCTTGCAACACAAACCGCCCCGGCAGCTCGGCGTCGTTGTAATCGCCCTCGATGTAGAAAACCGGGCCGACGCCGTTCACCCGGTAGAACAACGGGTTTTGCCGCACCGGCTTCACCCGCAGCTCGTTGTTGATCTCAAAGTACACGCGTTCCTTGTACTCCGCGATGTGCACCACCTCCATGTCTTCGAACGACTCCCCCGCCGCGCCCGGCTTCGCCTGCGCCTTCTCCGCCTCCGCTTTCTGGAGTGCCTGCTTCGCTTTCGCCTGGACCTGCTTCGCCTGCGCAGACAGCTTGGCGCTCATACTCGTGGCCAAGTCGCTCTTCTGCATGTGGGTGATTTTCTCCTCCACGTCCAGATCCTCGTCCTCGTACATGCGCAGCTCCTCGCGCTTTTTCTTCTCCTGCATTTCCAGGATCTCGCTGATTTCCCCCTCCGACTTGCCCATGGCCTTCATTTTTGCCGTCATCATCTCTTTCTCCTCGTCGGACAGTTTGCCCGTGGGGGGGCCCTGCGGCCCCTTGCCCTTGCCCTTCTTCGCGTCTTTGCCTTTTGACATACTTTTGGGGGCATCCGGCTTACCCTTGTTCATATCGCCCTTGCCTTTCATACCCTTTCCCGCCGCATCGGACTCGCCTCCGGGCGGTGGGCCGGCCTCCAAGAAGGACTCGGGGGGGACAAGAAGAACGTCGGACTCAGCTGGTGCAAAGCGGCCGTCCAGTACGGCCGTGTCCGTTTGGCTGCCTCCTTGCTGCGCATTCGTTCGCGCACGCTGTCCCGCAGTAGAGCCGTACTGGTCCTCGAGAAACGCCGTCCCTTCCTGCAGTGTGTTGTCACCACGCGTACCTTTTATCTCTGCTGCGGTTTCAGCTTTATCTCTACCCTCTGGAGGTACCACGAACGTCGACGACCCTAGTCGCGCTTCGCTTGCCTCGCCGGCTTTCGTAGCTGTACTTGTTGCATCGTCTACATCAAGTTCCAGCTCTTTCATCTCTAAAAACGAGCCGGCCGCGTCATCATTTTGCAACTCGAGGAAGGATGCGGCTTCGGCGTTGGCCCTCTTCGTGTACGCGGCGTGGAGCTGCTTGGTGATTTCAACCAGTTGCCCAACCTTCGCCGCCGTCGGTTCCGAAAGCTCGGCATCGAAGTCTTCCTGCAAAGCGTCTATTGCGGGGATTATCATGTAACACAAAGCCGAAACTTCTGTGTAGTCGCGCTCCATCTGATGTAAGTTTTCGTTTTGCTCTTTCAGTGGTGGCACAGTGGGTTCTCATGGTAAGTACTCATTCTGGGTAAAAACCACTTTCACATTGAGGCCCTCCTGTCAGCAGTAGCGACGCTACGCAACACAAACAGACGTGGCACGGCACGCCATGCTACTTCCACTTCGATACAGACAAACCAGAAACAAAAAAACGAAACTGTACGTTCACTAGCCCGGTATATTCGTCCAGTTGGTCCACGAGTTCCTCCGCGCTTACCCGCGCGATGTGCCAACTCTCCTCGTTCTTTTCCGCCAGCGCCTCGAAAAACTCCTTCACCTTTGCGCTCGCGTCGCCCGCCGCTTGCTCGGCGGCCGCGACCTTTCGCCCGAGGTCCTCCTTCACCGCGACCATGTGGCTCCCGCGCATGCCCTCCACCTTGACCGGCCTGGTCTGCTGCAGCTTTTTTTCCACCGACTTTCGCACACCCAGGGTGTCCAGGTACGCGACCAAGTCCGGATTCTGGTCTGGCTTGAACGGAACTAAATCGCTCGGCGACATGGTGGAGACGAAAAAGTTTGGGTTTTTCCCGAAGATGTCCAGGTGCAGCAGCGTGTACCTCTTTTTCTTCGACTCCGCCAGCAGCCGCTTGTTCTCGGCCGCCCGCCCCTTGCAGTTGTCATCCGCCCACTGCGCCCGGCGCAGCGTCAAGATCGGCGCCTCCGCATCCAGGCTCTCGCTGCCCAGGTCGGTGAAGCGGACGTGGGCCCAGATCTCGTCCGGAATGTCGTCCGCGTTCACTTGACTCAGCACCAGCACGCCCTGCGGTCGCGTCTCCAGCAGCAGCGGCGGGTGCTTGGCCTTCGAGATTTCCCAGGACCGCTGCAGGAGCGACTCCGCGACGACCGGCGTGTTCAGCAGAGTGCTGCGGTGAACGATGCGCTGGCTCTTGGTCGACACCCCGCCGATCCAGTCCTTTTCATCTTTGAACCCACTGTAGATCCACGCCGGTTCGTCGTATGGCGTGAAGTAAACGTCTTCCGTGGCGGAGTAGGGGACGGCACAGTGTCCTGAGGAAAAGATGTGAAACCACGACACTGAGCATCGAGACAGTAAAGGCCTACCAAAATTATATCTTTTTGCTGACAGTAGACGGAGGTGTGACCCTCCACGAACATTTTTGCGCCGCACAACAGGACATGCGCGTCCAATTTTTTCATACGGTAGTACCAGTCTATGCGCTGCTGCAATCTTCGTCGTCGTGCTTGTGTGTTGCATCACTTGATTCCAAAAAAAAACTGCAAGCAGCCAAAGTCGCGTATGCATCACATGGCTTCAACATCTTTTTCCGCGGATACACAGACCCCCTGCTGCGGGATCAGAACTTGAATGGCCCCCTGGTCGACACAATCTTCCAAAGCGGCGCCACCGTCGCCGCCGCCCAGATCGCTGAACCGCTCCGCGAGCCCGTTGTAGACCGATTTCAAGTAGCCAATTGCGGTGGTGTCTCCGCGCGCCGCGGCGAGTGCCTGTCGGCGCCACATCAAATCCTGCGCGTCGAACTTTTCTCTTTCCTCGTCGGTCATCATCACGCGGGGCATCGCAGATTGCTTGGCCGTGATGCGCTTGAGCGCGGCCCGCGCAGGCTTCGTGGAGCGCTCCTGGTTGGTCGCGTAGGTGGCGAACGGGGTTTTCACGTAGCTGTCGCATCCCGGCGGCGTCCACAATCGCGCCGGGGACCAGGCCTGCTCGTACTCCCCGGGCGAAAGAAAGTGCTCCGGACGCCTCGCGTCCAAATCCATCCAACGCTTCACCGTGTGCGGGAAAAAGTTGTTGCCGCTCATAGCGCTGGACGTCACGTAGGCGCCTGCGACCACCGTTCCGACTGCCACCCCAACCGCCGTCCCGAGGCATACCACCGCGCCGACGGGATTCGCGCACAAAGCAAGTGCCGGCGCCGCCGGCCCCGCCAGAGCTGCCATAGAGCCCATGACAGTGCCGGCCGTGCTTATCGCGCCGCCGATACCCGAGAGTATGCCCAAGGATGTACCAACAGCGGCACCAACAACCGGAACCGCCGTAACACCGCCAAGTGCGGGGGCGATAACACCAGCAGCAGCACCCGCGATGGCCAGTCCCGAAACGCCAGCAACTGACTTCCCGAAAGTCCTGTGTTGAAGAATAGAAACTTTCGTCGATCTGAATTCGCTTTCGCAATTCCGCGAAGAACGCATCGTGCAGGCAGCACATGAAGATCTTTTTTACATCATTTCCTCGTCGTGTAGAAAGGGCAAAACCCAGCAAAAATCAAAATCTACAAAAGCAGATCACTACCTTGCTGCACTGAAGCCGGCGCCTCCGTAATTTATCTTGTCAAGCTTGCGCCCCTCGACGCCCTCAACAGCGAGGGGCCGCTGCGGACCCGCGTGGACATCCAGCCGCAGGGCGCGGATTTCCTTTTCATCCACTTTGCCGAGTCTCTCCAGGTCCACTCCGAGCTTCTCGGTCAACGTCGTTTTGCAGGTTGACGTCACGTCTTTCAGCCTCTTCAAGTCCAAGGCTACTATGGGCTGGGGATACAGGTATCGTGGGTCCCGCAGGTCGGGGCGTTCCTTGATGCCCACGAAGGGAGCCGCCGCCTCCGGTCGCAGCTGCAAGACCGTACCGCCACCATACGCACCGTTTTGGACAGTAAGATCCCTTTTCAGCTCTTCGTTGCAGGACGCGCCCGCCAACCACTTGTCTTCATCCCCGCCGTCGTCTCCTCTCGTGTTCATCTCAACGAAAGAAGCTGCCTTGCTGTTTTTTTCTTCTTCCTTGGGCGCTTGTGCATAGAGAGCGCAAAGTTTCTGGATCAGACTGGAGGGCTATGGAATTGCACAACTCCCCTTTCCCCGTATTCGACGGGATGAACCGCAACACAAGCAGTAGCACAAACGTGGCTTCCGTGTGACGTTGTATCCACGCCCCGATTGTCATTTTCCATGACATCGAATGAAGGGAAGTTGAGTCATGCAGTCTCATAACGGCGGTTGATCCGGCGACAGTCCACGTATAAAATTCGCGTTTGGCCCCGATACCCCACCCGCGGCAAAATCATGATCCGGTATCCACCTGAAAATTTCCAAGGCCTTCTTTTTGTTTTTGCACTCTCATAAGGATATTAGCCAACAGTCATGCAGTCTGATGTTTCAAACACCATACAACCTTTCTTTTTTTATCGCAGTATTCAGCACAAGTACTTGTTGTTTTTTTCGAAGTCCGCTTTTTTGTAGTCATCGCGGTCCGTGACGCCCTCCTTCGCGGGAAAGACCGTCTCGGGTACGAGGCGAAAATGGGGCTTGTCGTGGTCCCAGAGCAGCGCGATCGCCGGAAACATGAACCATTTCCCCCCGTCGAACTTGCCCGTCGAACTACCTCCCACCGGGTATTTATCCCCATACCGCACGCCTTTGTAGTCGTAGTGTTCCGGCAGGAGCAAACACTGTTTGACACACTCCACATCACTCTCGATCTTGACTTCCCGCTTCTCGATTTCGAAAGTTTTTTCGTCCCGCTTAATCTCCAAGCACATGCACTTCTCCTTCTCCCAATCGCGCAAAACCACGCCCTCCAAAATTGCCGGCGGAATGAGGTCGATCTGGTTCCGCCGCCACTGCTGCGTGTTCTTGTCCACGCCGCGAGGGTTCCACCCCGGGTAGATGACCGACTCCCTTCTGCCGTGCGTGCCATCTACTTCCTTGGGCCTCCGCGGTACATACACCGGCATGTACACCTTGTGGTCGCACTTCGGGGGCGCGTCGACGGCCCCGCCCTTGGGAAAGGGCTGGTCGTAAACCGCCTCGAACATCTCGTTGGTGGCAAAAAAAAAGGCGCCCGCCGGCTCCTTTCCCTTGCCCTCCGCATCCTCCTCCACCGGGGGCAGAAAGGGGCTCAGCAACGCGTTCTCCACACTACCCTCGTCCGGCTGCGGGTGCGCGCCCAAGTGCTTCTCCGCCAGCGTGGGCGCCTGGGTCGTCGTCGTCGTCTCTGATTCGCCGAAAACCTGGATGAGTTGAAGGTAGACCTCGTGCATCATAATTCACAAGAACAGCTCCTACATCTACACGCCGGGGACGGCCGCGTTTGTCATAGCTATAACAACAACTTGGAGCCAACAAAATTTGTTTAGTACTAACAAATTTCATACCGCGGAGAAAAGGCCCCACTGAACTTCCAGCAAGGAGGAGCCAGCCGTTACTCTCGGCGTGGCCCCGGACGGAATAGCGCCCCCGATCTTCTTTTTTTTTCTCGTGGTTCCTGCTTCATTTGCATTGGTCGCTGCTGTGTCATCTCCACCCGCGTCTGACAAGAACTGCGCCCCGAATGCGTTTTCGGCGTTCATGTTGATTTTACTTCGCGGCGCGCCAGGCCCGAGCTCTAGGCTGGAAAAAGATCGCGGTTCTCTGGTCGTGCCACTGAATAAAGTGCTGTCAAATTTATGACGGTCCTCGTTGGTTCCCGAACTCTCGCTGTGCCTCCTGGACACATAAATAACAAACCAGAAGGCCACGAGCGCGACGGCAACAACAGCGGGCAAGCGGCTGCTCTTGCGATGCGGCGCGACGTCCGATTGCGTTTCTTGCTTCTTGTTTTCCAGCGTGCACTCGTTAGTACCTGCGACATGACTGCGAGAAATTATGGGCCACCGGTGAAACAACCGCCACTCGCGTAATCTCCTCGCTGTACACCGAGCGGTCCGGCGTGTGATCCGGCGGCACTGCCGCACGGGCCAGAATCGCTTCAAACAACCGCACCTACTGCTTGCTGTTCTTGAAAAATCCCCGCCCTTGATGTCCCTGCTCCCACGCCCCGTGTCTCGCCCGGACGTGATTTTGACTTGCTTGTTGCCTTTTTCAAACCAGGCGGGTTCGTCTTCACATTCCGTCTCGGTCTCTGACGTTGTGCGACTGCGCAAACGGGCCGAGGAACTTGATGAGCTTGTATTTCCGGGCTCGAGGGGAAATAATTCCGGCTGGATGTCGGCCGTGCTCCCCGACTCTGGGTCGTCCCGGCGCACCGCTTCCCGCTTCCCCCGGCGGCGCCCCTCTGGGTAAAATAAAGGATCATGATCATTCACAACACCAAAGTGGAGGTGATCCTCCTCACCATTGGCCTCCGTGCCGCCCGTTTCCCCCGTCCCGCCCACGGACATCCCGGACCTGTCCAGGGCATTGCTGTCCCCCTCGCGCCGCAGTCGTCCTTCTTCAGAGAGGTCGTACGCGGCCGAATTGTGAACTGATCCCCAATATGTTGGCTCCTGCCCCGCAACACCCCCGCTGTTGAGTCTGCTAGTACCTCCTGATGCAGCTGTCCTTGTCCTCGCACCATCGTGGTCGTCCCGACGACCCTCCGCGGCGAGCAGACGCGAGGCCTGCAGGACGGACTCGAGCTCCTCATCCTGCAAGGCAGTCGGATCTTCCAGAAGGTCCTCCTGCTCGGCCCCGTCTTCGGGGGTGCCGGGACTGGAATCATCAGCGCAAAAGAAACACCCAACTTGCGGCGTTTCCGGGGATCCAACCGGTTTTTTCTTGGTCATACCCGCCAGTGGCCATGGTGGTGCAGCTCTGGCTTTTCCTCACGTGGACGTCGTCCCCGCGACATTTGGTCATTTGCGCAACTCAACCGCCGCAACCATCCCCGACGGCAAAAGGGCGGAAGCTAGCTTTAGTACCAAACGCGAGCGTGGCAGTTCTCCATTAATATCAACAGAAGTCGCGAGCAACATACAAGAGGCATTGATTCAAGGCATAGGTTGGTACTTATTCTGCGCACCACCCACTCCGGTTTCTCTCCTCTCACGCAGAGAAAAGAATTAAAGTGAAAAATCTCTGTACGTACCTGCTCCGCAAAAAAGTTTTTACCCTAGGAGGTAAACAGAAGCTCCTGAATAAACAAATCAATTTGCAGCACTCTCGCTTGACCTCTCGCTCATCGAGACGCTGCACTGCAGAGCGTAGAACCGGCCTGGGACCCAGAGAGTCATGGCAAAAATAAAAATCGCATGTTCGCGAACCGCCCAAGCCTGCTACTATTGCAAGCACTGCAACCAGTACAAGGACTTGAAGGATGCCGTTTGCTTTCATTTTTAAAGAAACCGAAAATTTGTTTTACGTGCACAATGAATGATTCGTCGTTCGTGTGTGTTTCTCTTTCTTCGTCGACAAGAGGCACTCCTAACTTCTCACGCAGAGGACTTCTGTTCAGTAGTCATCCCACCGGTTTGCGTGCTGCTTGTGAAACATGTCCATCCGACGCTGCTTCAGCTTCCGGGTGTTCAGAAAGAACAACTCCATCGGTCGGCAGAGCACATTGGGAAGAAACATGTGTTTCGCGTTGCACGGGGGCGGAGCCATCTCGGGGTCTGCGGCGTACATCCGGTGCTTCTTCAGGTAGTTCAGTTCGTCCTATGAGAGTGCACAAGTCCCCCATATGCAATCATTTGTATTGCAGGTAAAGCACTACAAACACCGCCACACCTGGAGCCTGTGCATGGCAAATTCATGCGCCTAGTGTAGTACTGTTTGGGCAGCTTCCGGAATCTGTCATGCATAGTAGTGACGCAAGGGCGCAATTCGATTTGAGATTTTGCATGAGAAATGAGAACGAGGGGAAATTGTGCACTTTCATACGTCCAACCAGTACTGTTCCCCGACCGGGGACAGCCGGTACCGTTCGTGCCACCAACTGTTTTGAAACGTCGCGCGCCCGCCCACCGGCCCCTCCGGCCACATCTTGTGCCGGGACTGCGGGTACTTCATGTTTCCAAAGTAGTCGCGCGGCATGTAGTCCAGCGCCCACGCCTCCCAATGCTGCGAGGGCGAAGTAAAAGACGTTTTAACCTGTCTCGTTGCCGCTGTTCTACTTTTCCCCTGCATCACTGTACTCATCGACCTCGACATTAGACTGGCCCCGGTGCAATGGCTCGGAGGGACCGATATTATCGAGTGAAGATTCATCTGCGTTGACTTCTCATTCGCACGCGCGGTACTTGATGCAGATCCTCCCGGCAGATGGATCCAATCCCAGAGACTGGGCAGCTGAGAGGTCACAGATGATACTACCGTCATTATTGCATTCCATTGAGATGTTTTATCTCCAGACACATCAGAAAGAATGAAACACTTTTAGCTTCATGTCATCTTCCAACACACTACTTCACGTGAACGTCCTCGATCTATGATATTCTGCACGAGCCTTCTCGCCGAGCTTCATGATTCGAATTCCGAGTGCGCCATGCTTGCCCAACGGGACGATTCTTCTTTTTGGCGACTTTCAGTGGAAAGAACCGATAGATGTCTACGAAGCGAAACGACGAGAGAAGAGACGATGGGCGATTGAGTCTTACGAAACGATGACGACGACGAAAAAGAAGCATGCCTCGTTCAGTTCCCCTGCTAAATTCTTCCAAAACCCGAGGCCGAGAAAAACACGTTTCTAGCTGTGCAAGTCAAGATTGGGCTTGAATAGGGTTCCAGCCTCGATTCCCCCGCTCTTGCAGGATTCCTGCCTCTTTGATTTTTTCTATGCTTCCAGGGTCTTTCTAAAGCAGTGACTGAGTTTCATGTTTGGTACTTTTCATCTTGGTGTCTGTTGTCGTGTCTTCGATTTTTTTTTTCAATACCTTCCCGATCTGATTTTGCATCAAAGTCGGTAGTTGTTTCTCTTGTCTACCACTACCCACTCGATATGTGGAAAATTTATGGAATTTCATTTTCTAGTGTTGGGTACGTAACAAGGTCAGTTGTACTACAACTGGAGGGAAAATTTTTGTTGTACCCGGTTACAAAGTGTCCTATCTTTCGTTTCCTTTTCCATGATGCTGTGTTGTTTTGTGTTGTGCTTCTTCTACTATTTTTATTCTCTAGTGATATCCTAATTTTCTTCTTTCCACTTCTGCTTTCGATTCACTGCTACTCGTATGCTATATCATTATGTTTGTCAGAAGATTCCAAACATCTTACAAGTCGTTTTCTCGAAATTCATACCAAAACAATAAGTGTGTACATTTTGTGTTGAACTATTTCAATCTAAGAGTTACAACGTGTTTTTCGTGGTGACGGATTCCTCTATGCAAAAATTTGATACAATGACGATTGACGGATATCTTCTTGTTCTGTGTTGAAAACTTTCGAAACTTCTCATTTTTTACTCATGCAGTGATCACACCACTCCCCCGGTGCATCTGCACAACCGGAGCGCGGGTGACTCTACCCATTGAAAGTCAATATGAAAAAAATCTAATTGCCACATTGCATTTTTACGAGAAAAATAGTAAAATTCACTTTTCGTTTCTCAGAGGTGAGTAGAACGGATAAGCATATGTTGAAGGCGTGTAAGTTGTACTCGTATAGCGTAAAATTCTTGTTTCGTTGCTTTTTGCCGCCTCGTTTTCATCAAACAAATCAAGTTGTACGAATCTTTATCATACTGGCCTAACTCGGTGTCATTAAGGGTTAAAAAATATATCGCAATAGACAACGTGCGAAAACAGGAGTCGCACTGGCGTCTCCCGATCTCGACTTCATAGTCAGCATGCATCAAGTCAAAAATTTTCTAGAAATCTTTATCTTGGTGCCCTAGAAAGTCTTCCTGGTTGTATTTTTCCCAAAAGGTTTTTTATAGTTTCTTCCCGAAGAAAATTACTCTATCCCCTCCCAGCTCTTTGTCGCATAATTTTAAGTTGCAAAAATTCTGCCGATAAGAAGTCTGAGTTTGAGTCTCTGTTATAAAAATCAATTTTGGATTTCACGCCTTTTCGATTTAGTATCGTTTGTTAATGTCAGCTTTTGCTCGCTTTCTTTGCGAAAGCGAATAACAAAACCGACTTCAATCATAAACAATTTCTACCACGTCAAGGTTAAACAATCTCAGAGAATTCTACAAATACTTTGTTTCGTACCTTATTTCATATTTTCCGATAAATTTTCGACTCAATTCCAATCATTTTACTTTCGAAAGCCTACTGCTCCCCTCCAAGTCTTCACTGTTCCTCCACGGATCCCTGCCGGCTTTCAGAGTTCCGGCGGACCAGGATGTTATCCGGCCCGCCAACGATCGCCGTGATGCCGAGTTCCGACGCTCGCCGCGACCCGTTGTCGTTGTTGATCTCCTGCAGCAGGTCTTGCAAACTGCCGCTCGCCGTGCCGCCGCTGGTGTGGAACACGATGGTGGAGTTCGTGGCGACGATGGTAGTCGTGTTCTGCCCGTTGTTCATCTCCCCCGACGGGGAATTCGGCGAGCGGATCGCGGTGATCTGGTTCGCGTCGCACAAGGTCGTTTGCAAGTTGATACCCGCCGGCGTAATCATGCCCGCCGGCGTGCCCACCACCACGTTGGATTCGGGCGCGGTCACCACAGAGGACGGCTTGCTGGACGGCTTGCTGGTCGAGGAGACAATCTCGTTCTGATGTTCCTTCTTACTTGCTGTGTGTTCCACAACGACATAATTCGACGACTATCATGAGGAAAAATCTCCCCCCCCCATATCGAAAAGACAGAAACACAAAAAAAAACAATTTATTTGATACCTCAAATCAGATGTAGTTTTTTTGATCAAGATATCAGCCGCGTTTTAGTTTCTTTGGTGCGGATATCAACCGGGCGCGGGAGAAAGTGGCACTTGGGCAAGATATCAAGCGGGTTTGGGTTTCCTGGGGCCACCGTAGCACGCGGATTCCGCTTTTTTTCAAAAGTGCGGCACTTTTTTGAATCAAAGACAATCAATCGCGGCGGCACGGCCGTCCTTTGGGATGTCCCTACGTTGCGAATCCGCATGGTACGGCCTCCCCGCAAGAACCGCCAAAAGGCGCCGGGCCTCGGCCGCAGCATAGCACCGGGATTCGGGTCCCCCGCCGGCCCCAGGGAGGCCGTAGCATGCGGGTTCGGGCGCGCTTTTTTTTTGAGACCCTGACGCCCTGAGACCCAAACCAGCGAAACACGACGGCAGCGTGGTTTTCTTGTGTTTAGAATGACGCAAAATAAATACTCATAGCATCGCGATTTCGATTTCTCTTGTTTTTTGGGGGATCCGCCTTTTCCACGGGGATCCGCCCGTTCCCCGGGGATCCGCCTGTTACTCGGGGATCCGCCCGCTCCCCGGGGATCCGCCTTCGCCCAGGGGATCCGCCCGTTCCCCGGGGATCCGCCTTCGCCCAGGGGATCCGCCCCTTCCCCGGGGAACCGCCTTCGCTCAGGGGATCCGCCCGCTCCCCGGGGATCCGCCTTCGCGCAGGGGATCCGCCCGGTCCCAGGGGATCCGCCCGTTCCCCGGGGATCCGCCTTCGCTCAGGGGATCCGCCCGTTCCCCGGGGATCCGCCTGCGCGCAGGGGATCCGCCCGCTCCCCGGGGATCCGCCTTCGCCCAGGGGGTCCGCCCGGTCCCAGGGGATCCGCCCCTTCCCCGGGGATCCGCCTTCGCTCAGGGGATCCGCCCGTTCCCCGGGGATCCGCCTTCGCTCAGGGGATCCGCCCG